CGAACAGATCAAAGCTGATGGCGCCCTCATTTCTCTTGTCGAAGGTCCTGAACAATGTATCAACAAAACCTGGACTTAGTCGGTATCCAAATGCCACTAATGCGTTGGTATATTCCCCCAAGCTGATATTTCCGCTACGATCAGCGTCAAACCGATCAAACAAAGAGCGCCATGCTGCTAAGAATCCCCACAATCCGCAGAATTCCTCGAAACCGATCAGACCGGAGCGGTCCGAGTCGAACATCCGAATCATCATTTTAACCGTGTGAGGATCGAAGGCAGTCCAGTCGCCATTTACAAGCGCAGCTCGAAGCTCAGTTTCACTAAGCTGCCCACTTCCTACAGAGAGGTTAGAAATGCAAACAGAATAATCAGGTGAAGGATCTCTACCATCTTTATCGACGGCCTTGAAGAGAGGCCACAGCGCAGGATCGGCACCATTCGGTGGAGCCGGCGAAGGAGGAGGCCGCGACACTGGAGGGGGCCGTTGTTGAGCTGGGGGAGGACGTCCATGGCCTGAAGCTGCCGCATATCCCGATGCAGATGTTGACTGAGACTGACCACCATATCCTCCGTGGCTCGAGGCAGGCGGCGAGCCACCGTAGCCATAATTTGCTGAGGGCTGCATTTGCGGCGACAATCTTCTTGGATCTCTGCCTTGTTGTCGCTGGTCTGGTCGCGGTAACGAGGGTTGTGGTCTATTACCGTACTGCTGTGCGTATGCAGCTTCCTGCGCGGCGCTGTGATGTTGTTGCGCGTGGTGAGAGTTATGATGTTGAAGAGGTGGGGTTTGCGAGTGTGAGGGGGGAGCTTGAGGAGGAGGAGGAGCGCCTTGCTTCTGCGAGAGGTTAGTCGCGTTTATATGGTGATGGTGAAGCTTAGTAGAAGCCGTGAATCAATACCCGCTCTGGTTCTGCAAAACTGTAATAGTCTGGTCAGCTCGACTGCGGGGCAATCTGGAAAAGGAGGAGGGGCGGCTGATCATACGCTGGGAGACTGTCGGGATTGAAGGTTCGGTTGTATGCCATGATGATTCAGCGCTGAAGAAGCAGCGCCTGGTAAAGGGAGTGGAATTGCTGGAAAGGAACGGTAGATTCGATGTCAGCTTTGAAGGTTGGCGGTCGAAGAGAAGTAGATGCAGAGCCAGAAATCTCACAGCCTTGCCGGGATGTACTGAATTTGAATGGAGCAACGAGCGAGGGGCACAAGGGCAAGGCGCAGTTCCAAGGCTCGGCTACTGGACTACATCTGCACAAAGGGATTGTAAACATCAGGAAGGCCAGAGACAGTCAGACAATGCGAGTGGTGTTGAATAAGAGCAGGGCAGGAAAAGACGAACAATCACGTTTTTCTTGTGACACACATGAGCTGGCTCGCGGAGGACAAAATAGGTGTCAGTCACCTGCCCACCCGCAGTAATTTTTGGACTGAATAATCAGTCAGCTTCGAATAGAACTCAAGTATTCTGTCTGGTTTACTGGAAATAATTGACGGAATATGTGATTGCTCTAAGTAGATCCAGTTTCGACTACCACTTATTTTCTCCACTGCGAGGCTGGTCAGCAGTAGCCTCTCGCTAGCTCAATAATCGCATAGCTTTCGTATACGGAATACTTGGCGTCTCAGAAACATAGTCCCAAGGCACCACTCCCTCGGAATTATATATTCAGTCTGCCGCGATTCACAGACATCAAACCGTCGATAATCAATCTTCCTACCGGTATGACAGGAGTAGATTGAATAAACTTTTAGCAACACCCCTACCGACGCCACCACCACGTCTTTTGCGGCCGAGGGGTCCTAGTACTGGCCACCACAGCATCAGCAATCTGACAATCAACTTTTCATATACCCGAATTTTCCCAACTAAGCTGGACTGACAAGATGTCCACCGGTAGCAATCCAAGAGAAGAGAATGGCGAGTTCTGGCTATTTGGCTACGGGTGCGTCGATCTCACATGTTTGTTTGTAACCATTACCAAGCTTTTATGTTTGCCATCAGTCGGGTACATGCGCGTGTCATTAGGTATCTTTGAACTCTCATCGGGTGTCACCTGCTTCTCATATTCTATTAAAAGCGTTCCGTTCCTCTTTACCCCAGTTCTTATGAAAAAATACACTAAAAGTCCTGACTTAAACCATACTGTTGTTGCCCCTTTCACTTTTTCTCACATCAACATGTCTCCGCCCGTACAGGATCTATAGGACAAAAATTGACAAAATGTAATAGGAGCTTGATTTGGAAACCCCCGCCATCATTTGGTGCGTAAAGCAGTTGGCCCAGAGCTTCTTTAATTTTCCTTACTGACCACCACCAAAGATAAACGAATTCCAGGTTATGTGACGGGATACGTCCGGAGATTTTGGCAGGTATATGTTCCTTCCAGTATGTTTACTAGCTCGCACCCTGACTATCATCAGGCTAGGTAATGACCACGATCTTTCTTTAAGCTGGCAACCAGTTGAACTGAACAAACAAGTCAAGATCACAGAGGTACCCCGGAAGCTCCTGGTCGAGTGGTGACGTTAATCGAGCGTTCGTTTTGGGAGACTCTCCATGATCCTCATCCAGATGCAAGCGACAAAGTATGGGGAATCGCTTACCGAATCGAAAAGGCAAAAGTTGACGAGGTAAAGGACTATTTGGATATTCGAGAAATCAAGTAAGTGTGACCTTGGTATACCTTTTGTTGACCGCTGTGCATCACTTTAGTCTGTGTCAACCTCGTGAGCAAACTACTGACCCCCTTTAGTGGCTACTCAGTCCACTACACCCAGTTCTACCCGTCCGACGGCTCTGATACCATCAATACTTTAGTTTATATAGGAACACCGGACAACGACCAATTCATGGGCCCGCAAGACCCTCAAAAGCTAGCAGAACACATCCATAGAAGCGTAGGACCAAGCGGCCCAAACATCGACTACTTGTTGAGCTTAGAAGTCGCGTTAGATTCTCTCAGCACGGAGAGCGGAGATGAGCATATTAAGGATCTCGCGAACCGAGTCCGGAAGACCCAGGCTGGAGTAAGTACGAAACAAGCTTTAGATCGAGAGCTTGAGAAGAATGGAAGCACAGATGAACAAGAGGAGACAGAGAAGCCAGGTTTCGGAGACAGCAAAGCCAAATAATTTCCCTTCAGAAAGGGCCATTATTTCCATCCACTAGACTAGAACTGCATCTAGAACTGTTTGTCTGTACCTTTCGTACAACAGACCCAGGGCAAAGCCATCCGTAGTCGAAATCAACTTATTGAGTCTAATGATTATTGGGCAGGTAACTGACACTTACCTTGTCCAGGCTGGACGTTAATAGGTGATATAACTATAGAGAGAATTGGCACTTTTTTCCAGAATATTCGTTTTTAAACCGATGTACTGGCTCCTCGTGGACAAAATAAGTGGCAGTCGAAGCAAAATTTCTTCGATGAAGTGCCAAATTATCATATATTTAGTGGATTGCTTCACATTATTGATTATTTGTTCCATTATTTCAGGTAAATAATGCCGCAAGCCTCTGTTCAAAATGAGCTTATTGAGTCCAAAGATTATTGGGGAGGTGTCTGACACTTATCTTGTCCTCCGTGAGCCTGGTCAAGTCCACTGAATAGCACCAACGCAGACAAGCACAGCAACACAGTTCTCGAAACACTATCACGGAGGTCCTGATCCACAACAACCGTAGATCTCCAGATGTCAGATATCACATTTCCTTTCGATCCTCAATAATTACGAACTATCATTCTCGAGAAAAAAGAAGGGCTCAAAAAGCGGTGTGGGTCGTTTACAGCCCTACGAGCAAGCGCACTCAAATCGGCCCCCACTGCCACTATATCATATGTGGAGAAGAACATCGTTGGACAAACCGACAACTAGCTCTTGTCACATGATTTTTACTCCATGCGAGTCACGCTGTGTGAAATGATAAAGGATGATAATAAGGCCATGCATCAGGTCTGTACGCCATGCAAGGTCATTGAGATGGATTTCATGTTCAGACAAGTGGTCTTCAAATGAGGACGACCAAACTAATACATTTAGTATGAGACCATACTTTGTGCTGTGCTAAGGTCAGAAAAGGCGCCAGCGAACGAAGCGGAATCAGCTATCTGATCCCCTAGAAGCAGCCGCAAGAGCACGGCGCACAAAAGCAATGAAGGGGTGAGTGCGATTGTGACAGATCCGACAGTCAGGCCAATCATGATGATATTCCAAACAGGGTCAATAGGGTAAAAGCATATTTTGAGGCTTTTACTGACGGTAATGGTGTGCTACCTACTTAGGTATCCATATGAGGGATTGTCGGCATGGACTCAAGGTAGAAAGTGAGAGCAAAACAAGGAAGTATGATCATGGCGCCTTACGACGACTTGGTACGACGCGGAGACCGAGATTCGACGTCTGAGACTGGTCCACACAAGTTTTGGAACACAGAAAATATCCCAGACCGGCTGCGTGGGCACAATAATGACAAAGGACGCATGTCGTTGAGTTTCACACTCGGCTTCGGGAACCATCAAAGCGGCGGGTGAACGGGGACATTGTTTCTGACTCTGCCTGAGCAAGGTGCATGCAAAGTGCGATGCCGCTTTTGCATTTCTGCATTTCTGCATTTCTGCATGCCAAGCTGTCAACGTTATCGATAGATGCGAGATGGAAAGGCACGACGAAAGGGACACACCCCCCACTCAGCACAAGCCAAACTCAGCACACCGAAAGGTGGCAAAAATCTCTGGGAAATAATTTGCTTCCCCCTGTGCGCGCAAGACATCCCACGGCTTCCGGTGGTAAGGTTTCTCGAGCTCGCTGCTCGCATACAGGCGCGAAGGCATTGGCGGTCGGCAAAGATATGTGAGTGTCATACGATGGCTGTCGTCGCGGTCGAGGAAACGGTAAGAAGTAGGTATGAAGTACGCCATCTGCCTCTGGAGGCTATCCATATTTCTTATGGTTCTGCTCTCTCTTCCCGCATGTCCCTGTCAACCCTCACAAGCAAAGTCTTTTGCCGTTGACTTCACCCGGTAGACTTGCCGCGTCGTGGGCGTAACTACGAAGTATACCTAGGTAGTGATCGAAGGAGGAACAACCTCGCAGACTTCCGTGCCTTCGTATTGTGAGATGACGGGCGCGATTAGGTGAAGGAAGAAATACGCGCCAGGAAGGCAGAAAGACCGTGAGAGCAGTGGGTGGTCCAGAACAGGTTCACGCCCATCGCCAGTTTCGAGCCGGTGAGCTGTGAGTGGTGAATGGTGGGTGAATGGCCACCTGTGAGTCGAGGACTGGTGAAGAGACGTCGTGGTGGTCGAGGGGCGCATTCAACCGTTTCGAGACTAGCGTCAGTAGCCTTGACCACTAGGAGGCCCGCGATGAGGGGCAGAGGTAAACCCTGGCTCGCGGGGGACAAAAATTCACATGAGGGAACCTCCTTACTACTCGTATTCTGTACGTATTATATACTGTAGAGCTGGCAAGCAGCTTGGATTACAATCTCTCTCGAACAGAGTTGAAAGGAAACATGTTTCTTCAAAATAATTGACCAACTAACGATATTTCGTCCATTGTTCTGAGCAAACATCGTGCTGCGACAAACCGCGCTAGCGGATTACGCGAAGGCGGGGCAGGAGGGGCAAGGTAGGTGGTGCAGAGACTGCAACCCTCGCATATCTGGGCCTCTCTCTTGACCTGCTATCCTCCCATTCCCACCTACCTACTTCCCCCACTCCCCAAAACTTCTTCGCAAGTTTACCTATCTGTTGCACGATTCTTCCCGATCTACACCAAGAATCATCCCCCCTCCGTTCGTACTGTCCTTTCAGTCGTCCGACAAAACAACAACTCTCGGCCAACAACAGCGCCAACTTTCGCCTCAATCATCCAAAAGTTCGTTGATCTCCTGCTTGTGCGCTGACTATTCTTCTGCCTTCCATCGACATCGTGTCGATGAAGAAGAAGATCACACTTCACCATTCCATTCCATTCTCCGCTCTCCGGAGACTCCTGTTCTGCCTCGATGTACATTTCTTTGTGTGTCCCGTCATGTCTTTCGTCCGTTCTTACCAACGACACCGTCGCCATGGCGCGCTTTCTTGTGTGTAATTGGCCGCGTGGAAATTGAGACTTTGAGCCAGATCTATCCAAATCAACATCCCAAGATGTCCAAACTCTTTATCGGGTAAGTTTCACCTTTGCGCGTTTGCTGTTGCAATACATCTGCTGACCTGTTACAGAGGCCTCGCATGGCACACTGATGAGAATGCTCTCCGTCAGAAGTTCGAGGAATTCGGAGCCGTTGAAGAAGCCGTAAGCACACTTGAACTCGCAATCTTACAAGCGCAACGCACTAATTCTTCCGGATACAGGTCGTTGTCAAGGATCGCGACACTGGACGTAGCCGTGGTTTTGGTTTCGTCCGCTACGGACAAGAATCCGATGCCGAAGCCGCGATTACTGCAATGAACAACATCGAGTACGTTTCTTTCCCCACATATGACGCCATCAGTCGCTAATCGTTGTAGGTTTGATGGCCGCACAATTCGCGTAGACAAAGCTTCTGAGCGTGGCTCGGGAGGAGGGAGCGGCGGGGGTTTCTCTCGCGGCGGGGGTGGCGGAGGCTACAATCGTGGTGGAGGTTATAACTCTGGCGGTGGCGGTGGATATGGAGGAGGCCGTGAAGGCGGAGGATACGGAGGTCAGGGTGGAGGTGGTTACGGTGGGCAAGGCGGCGGTTATTCAGGAGGTGGTGGCGGTGGTACGTATTTGAATCAGTGTCCGTCCAGGAAACTTTTATATACTAATCAGCTCAAGGTTACCAAGGAGGCGGACAAGGCTATGGTCAAGGCGAGCAACAAGGTGGTGGGGGTGGGGGTCGATGGCAGTAAATGCATTGTGATGAACCAGTTCTCTCCGACCTCGACATCGACCTCGACCTCGCGCGTTCGTACGACTTAGGGCAAGAAAAGTTAGCTTGGGTGTTTCAGTTGCAGTGAAGGTGCTCTCGTGGTCTTTTGAATGCGGTTTCGACCTTGCTTGCTCTGGAGTTGGGGGGGGAGGGTTATCACCTTTGATCACATGTCGCCATATCTATTTACTGAAAGCAATTGACTAAATATCTGATAATGTGCCAAGTTAATCCACTAAATATCTGTTAATGTGCCAAGTCAATCCACTAAATATACGAATATGTCAACTTCATCGAAGAAATTTTGCTTCGACTCCCCCTTATTTTACCCATCGGGGGCCAGGACATCGGGTTAAAACGAATATTCTATTAGAACGATCAACTTTCTCTATAGTCATATCACCACTACTGTCTAGCCTGCCACTTTTGATGTCGAACAAGCTCAGTCACATTTTTCGAGAATATACAAGCGAGACTACGGTTGGGAGAAGACTTGGGGCGAAGATTGTGCTTCCATAAGAATGAGGATAGACATATGGTAGTTCGCACCACACTCGAGCGTCGTTTCGAGGTATATTTCCGAACAGCGGCTAATACTTAAAGTTACCATTACTCATAGGCTGCCTTAGGGATGAATTCCTGCGCAAGAAATAGCAAAATGTGCTGTTAAATAAGAGGGCGAGAAGCCAATTATGATAAAGTAATCGCATGGTGTATGATGAAGAGCAGAAATATCCGAATCCAATCTTGCAACTTTCATTTGTCAATAATCAAGCATTGGTAAAAGTTACCTAAGTTTAGTTTGGTTGCTTTCATTCTAGCTGTTACTGGATCTTAACGATTACTCTCAAAAGAGCTCAAGCTTCTTGACTCTACATAGCAATTCTCATACGAGATACATAAGAGAAATGCGGTTTGATAGAGAAAAATCTCATGGAATGCCCAAGGGCAAGAGAGCTTTCGGGGGGTTGTACATTCATATGTCATTCAATTCGAGCCAATGAAATGCCATGTACTCGATGAGATGGGGCAGCGTGTGAAACAATCTCGCGGGGGACAAAATAAGTGTCAGTCACTAACCCACTAAACTTGAACTAAATAATAAGTCGACTTCGAATAGAGAATAAAAAAATCTTATTTACTTAAAATAATTGACGAAATAGTGATAATGCTCTAAGTTAATTCGCTAAATATACGATATTTCGTCAACTTAATCGAAGAAATGTCGTGTTTCGACTGCCACTTATTTTGTCCTCCACGAGACAAAATAGCACGAGAGTTGTCACAATTCAACATATGTTATTTGTGCCTGTATGATTTTCCTCTGGAGTTCTAGATTGGAACTGTGTAGGTGAGGATTATGTGAGGGTTCCAAGTAATACTCGGTCACCACTCATGAGGGAAGCTAGAGTTCCATACTCGGGGTAAGCAGAACGGCTTGGTATTCGAAATAGTTTGTTTCGCACCCAAAATTCTACTTTCGAAATATATTAGAACTCGCTTGTTTCAATAGTGTAGCTTATAGTATTTAATTGTAAACAATTTAGTGAAATAGAAAACGCTTCTGTTGACTTATATCATTTTTAGTATAGTTATGGTTATAGTATTCTTGAGGTCGAAAATTTAGAGGTCGCGAAATCCCCCGATTTTGGGAAAAGAAAAGTGCGCCTTCTTCATAAAGTCCGAAAACAAGCCATTTCGGCTACCAAGCTGTTTTGCTTACCCCGAGTATGGGACAAAGCTCCCATCAACGAGTGCTCAGGTGGTGACTGAGTATTAAGTGTTACAGGAGTGCGGTCATGCTAGCTTTACCATACAATGGTTAGACGAAAGCTGTATTTTACCTTGATCCGAAGAATGAGGTGTGTTGCCATAATAACACACCTGCTACTCGGATCTGGAGCACCTGCGGTGAGCCATAGACTGTCCAGGAAGATGATGTTGAAAAAAATGAACGTGATCAGGCCCAAGGTGTGACTTTGGAGGCGACGGCGGGAACGGAAAGGCTGGCTCGTACCTTACAGTACTAGGTGGCGGCGCTGGAGCTATTTTTTGTTTGACAATTTGTGCAGGGTCTCTGACTGGCTATTAGCAAGAAGTATCTGGTTATGGAATGGCTTTCCAAGGTTGTATTACAACAGTCACCTTATCTTTTTTGAATCCTGACTTCGACAGCACAATCTGCTCTCTACGGAGTAAGTGTGTCAGGATTCGCAGGATCCACGAGTCCACGAGTCCACGAGAAGTGCGCTGGCACCCTGGCAACCTTGGAGGCTTCCAAGTTCCGCCGATAATGGCCTATGTACCTCCAATATTGTGGGGAGCAAATGCGTGCGCGCCAGTGGGCGCAGCGACTCAATCAAAGTCACATTTTCCTCTCACACAGTCTTTCTCCTGAGGCAACCTTCTTCTCTCTCCCCCTTCAGTAAACCCAATACAGTGACCCAAAGTCTTGTCTCGAGTCTATCTTCTTCGACCGTGGATTAAAGGTACGTGAATCTCTACCGAGCGGGAGCGCACCCTTGTTTTGTTGGGGTTAGAGCGAGTGCGTGGAACACCAAATATCTTTTTTTTTGGCGCCTTTATGAAATTTCCAGGGACTAGACTAGTCTTCCGACAATTGTTCATTCACACCCGTCATTCTTCCTTTGAGCCCTTCTCTAACAATTCTGCAATCCAGTTTACGAGCGATCAAGTCCTCGCACCAAAAGCTCAAAGTTCGCTTTTGTAAATAATACCCCACCTCTCCATCAACAAAAACATCTTCACCGCCTCTATCATGTCTTCGCGCCCCCAGAATATCGGCATCAAGGCCATTGAAATTTACTTCCCAAACCAGGTATGCTAGGATCGCCTTCGTACAATGTCCAGGAAAATGCAGGTTTGGTAATTCATATGGCTAACCAATTGCTCGTGTGACAGTGTGTTGAGCAGTCAGAGTTGGAGAAATTCGATGGCGTGTCCCAGGGAAAATACACAATTGGTCTGGGCCAGACGAAGATGAGCTTCTGCGACGACAGAGAAGGTATACTGGAACTTCTGACACCCTCACCTACCTCCAGCTGACCCTGTTCAGATATCTATTCCTTCGCTCTCACTGTTGTCTCGAGACTTCTCAGCAAGTACAAGATCGACACAAACTCCATTGGCCGTCTCGAGGTCGGTACTGAGACTATTCTTGACAAGTCGAAGTCCGTCAAGTCTGTTCTTATGCAACTTTTTGGCGACAACACGAACATCGAGGGAGTTGATACCATAAACGCTTGCTACGGAGGAACAAATGCCGTTTTCAACGCCGTCAATTGGGTCGAATCCTCTGGCTGGGATGGACGTGATGCCATTGTTGTAGCAGGAGACATTGCTCTCTACGCAAAGGGAGCTGCTCGCCCAACTGGTGGAGCTGGTGCCGTTGCCATGTTGATCGGCCCAGACGCTCCAGTCACAATCGAAGCCGGTCTACGAGGAACCTACATGCAACACGCCTACGATTTCTACAAGCCAGATTTGACCAGCGAGTACCCGATTGTGGACGGTCATTTCTCCAACAGATGCTATACCGAAGCCGTCGACGCCTGCTACAAGGCGTACAACAAGAGAGAGGCAACTTTGAAAGAGGCTGCTAAAGGTGTGAATGGCCATGCCAATGGAAACGGGGCAACTCCTTCTGGTGGCTTGGACAGATTCGACTACATGACTTTTCACACCCCAACTTGCAAATTGGTCGCCAAGTCATACGCCAGACTGCTTTACAACGACTTCCTTGCCAACCCCTCTTCTCCAGCCTTTGCTGATGTCCCCGCGGAACTCAGGGATATGGAATACGAGAAGTCCCTAACTGACAAGGTTGTGGAAAAGACCTTTATGGGATTGACCAAGAAGCGGTTCAACGAGCGCGTTGGCCCAAGTATCCAAGTTCCAACAATGTGCGGTAACATGTATTGCGCGAGTGTGTACGGTGGTCTTGTGAGTTTGTTGGCCAATGTGGACAGCGCTACTTTGCAAGGAAAGAGGATCGGCGTTTACAGCTACGGAAGCGGTTTGGCCTCGAGTTTGTTTTCGTTGAAGGTCAATGGATCAACCGAAGCTATTCAAAAGGCGTTGAACTTGCAGGAAAGACTTGCTGCACGCTCAACAGTAGCTCCACAGGTTTTCGATGATGTAAGTTTTTGATTGTGAACTGGTTGAGCGCTACTAATAATTACTCTAGATGTGCGAACTCCGAAAGAAGGCGCATTTGCAAAAGAGTTATACCCCATCTGGCAGTGCCGAGACGATTGCTAAGGACGTTTACTACCTGACAAAAGTTGACGACATGTTCCGTAGAACGTATGAGGTGAAGAATTGAGTTCAAAGCATATATAGGTGTTCATGGTGTCATTTCTATCTCGAATAGAATGTGGGAGTTTCGGGCAGTAGATGATCAACCTAAAGCATGGGGTTTCGCGTCTTAGAATTAAAGATTAAATTAATATATTCGTCTGTTTTTGGTGCTCTGTGGGCTTGCGTTATCATCATATAGACAGTGTGCACTTGACGGCGGAGGGTCAATTGATTCGTCGCGCACATGAGCTGCCCTGTGCGAATTGACATATGAGCAACTATAAGCTATCTCTTTTCTAATGGCATCTTTGTATACTAAAGTAGGGCCAATTGCTTCGATGCAACCGGTGAGATTGCAATACCAGTCACTTCGAAACATGCCATCTGGAAAGGGTTGGTGCCGCTCAGATTACTATGTTGTATATACAAAGCTCATCAGTCATTTACAAATATACTAAACCACAGTGCTCAAATCTCACTCTTTACAGCTTCGAAATCTGATCCGGTTTCTGTGCCGTCATCTTCTCCACTCTTGAGTTCATCCTCCCCAAAACCTCTTCATCAGTAAAACTGCTCAGCTTCCCCAGATCCACAGTCTCTTCTGCCATAGTTTTCGCCCTTATCAAGGTCCCCTTGGTGACGACTTCCCGTCCATTGGTGACATCTGAAATGAATCCTGCCCAGCGATCGAAAAACAACCTACTTGAAGGCAGAGCCTCAAGAAGCATCGCAAAACAATGAGGCATCGCTTCATATTCCTCGTACACAACAGGAACACCTTGCTTCGCTGCTTTGTAAGTGACGTATTTGTCTTCGTCGCTTAAGAGCTCTTCGCCCGTTTGCATGTAGATGGGACAAGAACCCTCCCAGGACTTTGCGATAATTGGAGACACTAGAGGATGTGTGAGGACTGCGTCGTCTGCGTATAGTTGTTTTCGAGGCGGGTTGGTCGGCCATATATCGCATGCTGGATAGACGCGACCAGTGGCAGGCACATCATGATGAGAAGGGAGATAGTCGTAATGTCGATTTGTAGAGCATGAGGGAGATGAATGAGTTATATCGCACCATGCTGACGCGGTAGCTACTCCTGCTGGGAGAGGGATTTCTCTCTCAGCACCGTTCCACATGACTTTACGGTCCTGTCGTTTGAATTCTAGCAGGAGTTGTAGGAGTGCAAGTGCTAGATTTCCACCTGCTGAGTCGCCTGCAAATGCAATATGTTCTGGTTTTACAGAGTCATGAAAGGCATCCGAGCAAGGGTATAAGAGGTTGAGGTATGACACTAGAGCGTCGAGAAGCTGAGTTGGAAAAGCAGCTTGGGGAGCAAGTCTATAGCGGACCGAAAGACATCGGCCTTTCGTTAATTTGGCCAGTTTCTTACAAGTAACACGGTGCGAACAAGGATCCATAAGATAATATGCTCCTCCATGGAAATAGAGGACTGTAGTTGAAGAGGTGGCTTCCTTCATTAGTTCTCTATATTTCTCTTTCTCTGAGATCCTAAGCTCGGTTGATGCTTTTGTTGCTCCAGACCGGTAGCCCGTCCACTCTGCTTCTACTGGCACCATTGATGGATGTTTGAACCCTCCCCGTGGTGCACCTGGCTCTTTCATGGTCTCAATTGCGGAAAATAGGGCTTGCGTCACATCGTCCTCCTTAGGCGTCGACAAAGTTGTCCTACTAATCCACATTCTGCCCTTTACTCCCGGATCTCTCAGAGTTAGTTTCTGAGTTTTCGATATTGCACTTGGTGGCGTATCGATGATGAAGGAGCGGATGACGTTGATAGTCATGGCAGTCCGCAAATCCCATTTGCTCGACTGCTCTGAAAAACCTAGAGTATGGGAGAATGCGGTCTTACCCAGCAACGGGATTTTGGGGACCAGAGCCTTTATCAAAGCCGCAGGAGAAGCGTCCATCGTGATTCTCCAGACACAAAGACGCGTGGACTTCGATGCAACTGAGTCGATGACGGAAAAGGAAAAGGAGATGGGGATTGAGCAGCGCCAATAGACTCAAAACGCGAAATAGCAATAAATAAATGATACGAAAAGAGAAGGCCCCAGAGAGGTAGGAAATGAACAAATCGCAAGAATACTTATCCATGATGTAGATACTAACAGGTAGAGCTTGCGAAACGCTAGCACGAAGCTATCCGGAGGCGAGGCCAATAGCTAAGACTACATGCCGAGCCTCGGCACCACTTTCCCCGCCTGACTTGGAGGTCCGAGGCGATTCCTTGCGAGGCAATGTTGGGCCTATTGGCATCGTCGACTTGTCGAGACACTAACGGTCCTGACGTGACTCCTGAGTGTAAATGCATGCAGGGCGACAGCTACCCTGGGGGTGATTGATTTTTTTCTCAGAAACTGGTTGATAACCGGGCGTGTCACAACGTGGCTACAAAGTGACATGCATCTTGCGAAGAGCCAGTTTACTGAGACCGTCGACCCAGTCGACACTAATATTTGCTTTTCTTGTGTGTTTGAACGCATAGGCGCTATGAACATCACTTTGTGGTGATGACAATAGATAATATTAGTAAATGCGGGAACCCAAAATTCCCAAAATTGTTACATCCCATGTGCGCCATCATATGCAAACCTTCATTATCCATCTACCCATAGGTAGAACCTGACTTATGCCGCTCCAGATGTCTCCTGTGATCCATTGTTGGACCCTGCTGCACTACTACCAGATGTGGCACTCTTGTTCGAAGCAGCGAGTTGCCATGCTGGAATTGCAGCTTTCCCGGCTGGTAAGCCAGTACCGTAGGAACTGGCACTCCTCCCACCTGAAGTCCCAGCGTCTGCGCCTGTTCCATTGCTTACTGTTGCCGGTTTGGGTATCGCGGTATCTGTCGTCGAAGCTGAGTTTGGCGTGCTAGTAGTGGTGGCTGTTGAGTTTTGTGCTGATGACGGACGACTATATGAAGCGGAACTTGATGTAGCTTGTGGGTTTAGCCTCTGACTCATTAGAGTCTTGAGACTCTTGAGTTCGGTATTCAGCTCTCTAAGCCTTGTGTCGGTGGTTTCCTTCTGTCCTTCCATCGCCTTGGGTACGAGATCCTTAAGACCCCGAACCTCATCGCTCATCCGTCGAGCCTCTTCTTCCCGTCTCCTGCTAGCAGTTTTAAGTTCCTCGATTGTCCCCTCCACATCTGACAATGCAGTGTCTAATCTCTCTGTACGGGCTTGCTCCGAGGTTTTCAGCGCATCTGTGTCTTTAGAGAGCTGTTCGAGCAATGAGAACGCTTTTTCAAATTGATCGTCGATAGCTTGCTTGTCTTGCTCTAGCTGGGGTGCGGTGGGTGGCGCAATAATCGGGTATACGTATCGCTGATCAAATTAGGCTTCTGCTCAGTTTTGGTTCTGGTTGGATTACCTTTGCGACAAAATATAACCCGTAGCCAACCCCGCCCATTACTGTGGCCATAATGAACCAGTCTCTCCAGTCTCGTTTCGGAACATCTGGTGGAGGTAGCTGCTGCCATTGATATTGTTGATATCCTCCATAATTTTGTGGAGGCTGTCGAGTTATTTGATGAGATGCATGATTCGAGTGGCTTGGAGGAGCGGACTCTCCATTTGCTCTGGCAAGAGCAAGATCAACTTCCTCTTGAGTCAAGTTCTTGGACTGTAGAAATGCTACTCGATTCTCTATTGGAGACCCGGCGACACTTGGATCTTGAAGAACTGCGACAGCTGTTAGGGACATTCATTCTAAGAGCAATAGGTAGGATAACATACATGTCACCTATAAACTATTAGCAAATTCTGTTGGAGCGGAATGGAAAGCTTACAGCTGACGCTACGATATCTTCTCGGATGGCCATCATTGCGATATACCTACAAAATTACACGCATAGAGAAGAGACGGGAGGAAGTGAACGCTCCGCTTCCAATTTCGACGGAGTTGTCAATCTAGAGTCTGGAGAAGAACGACATGCGCGACTGAGAAAAGCCGGTGGCCGGAGCCGAGGCTGATAGCTCAGCAGCACGTGATTTAGCAGATAGCGGACGGCAACCAGATTTGACGCTAGGCTTAATCGGTACTTTTGTTTACAGCAACCCACTACAGCCCAATCAGCTAATGCGATTCTGTTGTTATCAACCACATCCAAATATATTGCATTTCGCGCTTTCTAACGCAATACATAAACGTGCCATATCTTACATAGTACTACTGGATTACTCACTTGCTTTGAAGACCGTCCGCTTTCGAGGCGCAAGCGCGACAAAATGTCTCAAGAAACTGGCATATTCTCTGTGCGCCGCCCTCGGGAAGTAAGTATACATCCATTGTTGCATTGTTGATTCATTTCAAGACGAACATGAGCTAATGAGTTCAAAGACGCTGGGTGGGATTAACTTCAACTCGAACCTGCCACAACCTGCTTCAGCATTAAAGCGCTCTAATTCGATGTCTGGAAATCACAACGCGCCGTTCACAGCAAGCCATGGGCGATCAATATCAGGTTCGCGCGCCTCGCTCGCGCCCTCGAGACCAAATCAACCGCAGTTTGGAAGATCGTCGTCCGGTACAAACTTGGCTGAACTAGGAATGTCATCGGTGAAGAGGTCATCTTTTCAAAATAGCGCTGCGAGGAAGAGCTTTGCGCCTGGCGGAATGGGCCAGCAAGAACCCACCGAACGACGAGGGAGCATTTATAGATCGCGGGCTTCTTCTGGCGGACCTATGGCTCACCAAAGTTTCTTTCAACAAGCACCTCAACCCGCGGGCGTACCGAAAGACCCGCGTCCGCTCAAGGACCGATCATACCAGACGAAGATTGGCCAAGAGCTGTTGGATTACATGGCACAAAACAACTTCGAAATGGAGATGAAGCATAACATATCTGGAAACACTATAAAGTCCCCGACCCAAAAGGACTTCGTCTATATGTTCCAGTGGCTTTACCATCGGATTGATCCTAGTTATCGATTTCAGAAGAGCATCGACCAAGAAGTCCCACCCATCCTAGCCCAATTACGGTATCCCTTCCAAAAGAGTATCACCAAAAGCTCGCTCAGCGCAGTGGGATCAGCAAATTCATGGTACATCTTCCTAGGGCTTCTTCACTGGATGATGCAGCTCGCTGTGATGCTAGATGGCTACGGAGCCAACCACTACGATGACGCCTGCGCGGATGCCGGTATCGATGTTAGTGGTGATAAGATCGTCTTTGAATTCCTTAGTCGCGCATACCGTGACTGGCTATCCATGGACGATGATGCCGCGGACGACGATCAAGATCGGGTCCTAGCTCCACATGTTGAAGCAATGGCGCAGGAATTTGATGCTTCAAACGCTAAATATTTGAATGAATTAAAGATGCTAGAAGCAGAAAACGGGCGTCTTCAGAAGGATATTGAGGTTTTGGAGAAGTCAGGTTCCGATGTTGCCACCTTGGACCGCAATTTCAAGATAATGGAAGAGGATAAGGTGAAATTCGAGGAGTTCGACAATCGAATGAACCAAAAGTCAGAGAAGTACGAAGCACGTATTCAGTATTTACAAGAAGAGCTGGATAAAGTCATGCAAGAACTAAAGGAAGCCGACGAGGAGCGATCAAGTCTGCAGCAAGCTGTCGACGATCAAGGTATCAGTACGGCAGACATTGATCGGATGACGACGGAAAGAGAGCGCCTCCAAAAGGGGATTGAGGCAACATCTTTGAGGCTTGAGGAAGCAAAGAAGAAGGTATCCGAGAAGGAAGGTGAAGCTAGTCGAAAGCTTGATGACCTGGAAAGAATGGTTGAGAAATACAACAGTATTGGATACCAGATTGGTCTTATTCCATCGACGGCGCCAAACGCTAAAGGAAAGAACTTCGAGCTTCAAGTAATGGCAAATGAAGGCCCTAATTTTTCGGCTTCTCAAATGGGTGCATCCAGCAGCGGGAGCCCAGAAAGCGACAGACTGCTTGCCGATGCTGTCACTGGTTACCAACCCGCCCATATGCTCAATTTAGATCTTCGCGGGCAATTGAAACCTAGCTTTCTAAGTCTTAGGAAAGAGATATCGGAGCGTAGAACGGTAGCCATGGACGAGATGATGAAACACCACGACTTACTCGATGGCATTAAGGAAGCCATCGAAGACAAGCGAGGTGAGGTGGAAGCTCTGGAACACCGAGTTCGAGCTGCGGAAGAGGAGTACGAGAAGACAAAAGAGGTAAGCATAGTATTCTGTTCAGACACTTGCATGGGCTAACACCAACCAGATCACCCATACACAGAAGCTAGCTTCTGACACACAAATTGAGAAGATGGAGAAAGAATTGGCGAAGATGCGAGCAGGTCTTACTGAATCTGTCCAGCTTATGGAGCAGCGAGAGATGAACACAAACATTGAGTAAGTTTCCGTCCAACGTCCCAGGATGGACAATCTAACAGAGTTAGGTTTGAGCAGCTCACTCTCCGAGCCAACTCCCTACGAGAGGAATTGCATACAGAAATTGAGAAAATGTTGAACGACATTATCAGATTCAAGGTCCACATACAAAAGAATCTCGAGGATTACGAAGGCTTCGTTTCTGACGAAGTAGAGAAGGAACTTGGAGGCAACGACGAGGTTCTTGATGATACCCAGGATGTTGAGATGAGCTAGACAAGCTTGTCACGACTGTTAATGTAGATTTTGCCGGCGTACAAGTGGGGATTACAGTGGATATGGTAGGAGTTGATGGTGTAAAGATTGGATTATCTGGAGGATACGGCCAAGCTGTTTATAACAGCTTGTTTGATGAGATATGAATGTTCTGCTTCTAGTACCTGCTGATGAAGATTCAATGTTGATTTCCTTGGACATCCGGTCGGCGTTTCGTCCTTTTGAGGTTCCATATGTTGTACCGTGTACCTAGATGTCTTGCCCTCTGGATTTCATCAGAGCGTATCAGCAAGCAGCGATAGAACTTTATAGTAGAGACCTGGCGGTTCGGTACCCAAGCCCAGCCAGTAATTCCAACTTTTCAATTCTCGCCCTTTAATTGCGGTACCGTCTCTCCACGGAATGCCTCTGTCGCATGCAAGTTCGTCACAAAAGCCAGTCCAACCTGAGGCATGAATTCGATCTTGCGCTAGCAAGCCTCACATTGCCTCACCTCGACCACCACTTCACCAGGCCCATTTGTTGATGCACCTTTGCAAGAAAGCCTGTGTCGCGCGTACAATCTCTCACTGATTTATTTATTTCCAACTCGATACCGACGACAAACACGCTTCGGCGTCGCAATTAGCATTGACTTCAGAACCGCCACAACTTCAGCGACATCGAGCCCACGATGACGGAGGTTTCTGCGACTAGGCTTTACCTAGGCAACCTCCCCCGCAATGGTAAGTATATCGCTGCGCGACTGCTTTCTCCTGTTACAAGTCGCACGACCCCAATGTCTCTCATTGGAAAGACCTATTACTGACAAGTTGTCGCAGCGACCAAGGCGGATGTGGAAGCCCATTTCAATACCCACGGAACTGGCGAGATCACGGAGATCAAGCTGATGAATGGATTTGGTTTCATCGAGTATAAAGATGCCATGGATGCTCGCGATGTTGTTCCTGGTACTTCCTCCTTCGTCCCCCCCCGATCCAAACCTCTTCAAGATCCCTCCAGTGTGGTTACTTCGACGGAAAGCAGACTGCTTATACTTTTCTAGCTTTTCACGGTTCAGACTTCATGGGTGAACGTTTGACCGTCCAGTTTGCGCGAGGGACTCGCAATCGTGATGGCCCATTCGCCAATAACGAGAGAACTGCTCCTCGCCCTCGTCGTACCCCTCATCGAATGCAAATATCTGGACTTCCAGGTGAAACCAGCTGGCAGGTCTGTCTCCCCCGTTCCTTCACCCGGACTCTTGGATATCACGTATTGCTATTTGGACTCTGAGCAACTTATACTGTGGACGGATCCATTGTCCACAGCCTATCCACTGGCATGCTTTTCTTAGTCTTAAGCCCGCATCATGCCCTGTTTCGATGTACCTTTATCATCATTGCAGGTGTGTTAGTGCATATGCCTGAGCAGCCTCGGACTTTAAGACTTTACTCTCCCTGTTTCTGGCCTTTCTTATCCTTTCGACTCCCTCATGATCTTATTTGTTGCTACCATCTGCATATCTGGACAGCAATCACATCACGTAGGAAGACCTCCAGCAGTAGGGGAAATGTGCTCTGCCCATAGGACTTTGGTACTGGCAACTTTTGGAGGCTTCTTCCAAGGCTTGAACTTTTGCACCAACATACCGGGACAACAACTTACATGGGATTCGGAATTTAGGATCTAAAAGACTTCGCACGTCAATCCAGCCTTGACGTTGTGTATTCAGAGACGGGCCGCGACCGAGACGGCAAAGGGTTAGCATATCTTCTGCGAACGCTCAATTATTCACACTGACTTTTCGTTAGGAGCTTCGTCGAGTTTGAGACCGCTGCAGATCTCAAAACTGCAGTCGAAAAACTCGATGGACGCGAGTTTAAAGGTGCTCGCGTAACCTGCGTCGCAGATGTATGTTTGACCCTAGTTCAACTCTCCATGATTGCTAACTTCTGTAGACTCAGCCTGATGTTCCACGCGATCAACGACGCTCTCGGTCACCGGGCCGAAGACCATACCCTGATGATTATGACCGGCGCGGACCTTCTCGAGGATACAGTCCTAGACGTGAAGGAGGTGGGGGCTACCGTGATAGGAGCCCCCCTCGCCGTGGCTACTACGACGACGACCGCCGAGGATATCGCTCTCCACCAAGAGCTCGTGGCCCAATTGACGACTACCCGCCTCCTCGCGGCCGATTTGAGGATCCCTACCGTCGCGACTATCCCCCGGATCCATATATGAATGGTCACGGAAGGCCCCCATATGACAGAGGGCCAAGGGATTATCCACCACCAAGGGAGCGACGTGGTTATGGAGAAGATTATCCACCGAGTCGCTACTAGTAACCCTTTTAACCTTACAGGACATGCTTTGGGTTTATGCAATGACAGACTGTCGGTATTGAAAATTAGTTACGTATCGTTGAACAGTCTCCAAAAGATAATGAGGGATTATGGAACGTACTCGGAGACGGTACTGGCGATTGATGTGCAATGCGGTTATATGAATGTTCTTTCAGATTCTTCACGAAGTTATTTCCTACAACAAAATTTTACCTCTTTGTTCGGGCGGAAGAGTGCACTGTCCCTGAATCGTCCAGCATAATTTGTACATCGGAAAACGACGTTTATGTATTTGATAGGAGAAACAAAATGCCTGATTTTAAAAGACCATACCTCTACGTGCGATTCCGAAATATTGATCGTGTAGCCAACTATCACACACCATCATGATGTGTGACATCTTTGGCTCGTTTGCCAGGCCCACGAATGACCTAGAGTTGATGAAACGGATATTAATCTACTACTATACAAACTACACATGCAGATATGAATCTCAGAATTCTCTGCTGGCGCCAATATCACAAACATCAAATACGCCAGTTTCTGGCAGATTCTTCCATTTCATCGCTTTTTTCAACAGAGCAGGTGGTTCTAACACGTCTTCCGCGGTCAGAACCCATGTGCCCCAATGAATACCCATAGCTTTTTTGCACTTCGTGTCTATAAAGATATTCACACTGTCGAAGGGATTCGCATGCATAGGACTCATGATATATCTAGGGTCATAAGCGCCTATAGGTATTAGACCAAGATCAAATGGTCCTCGCAGCTCTCCGATCTGCTTGAAAGCAGGACAGTGTGGTAAACCGGCGTATTTCTCTCCATAATCATCTTCTACTTCAGGAAGTTGCGGGACTGTGCGGTAGCCTGTGTCACCTCCGAACCAGACAGACTTTCCGCCCGAAGAGACGGCCCATGAGCACCACAGCGTTTGGTTCTTATCAAAAGCTGTTCGTGCGGATGTGTGCTGACAAGGGAGACAAGAGATTCGTGCGGTGATGTCTGAATTCGAAGAAGTTTCTGGGCTTTCCGAGGAGGCTGTTGATATCCTTTTTTCTCCGGTCTTCGGGGAAAGCGTAATATCTACGTCCTGCCACCAATCCAGTTCCTGCACATTTTTTACGCCGCTACTCTCGAACCACTTCTTCAATCCAAGTCCTACTACAAACTGCGCGTTTGGGTGGTATTTGTGTATCTCGAGGATCGTAGGATGGGAAAGATGATCGTAGTGGGAGTGGCTGATAACTACAACGTCTACCATGGGTAGATCTTTGATGACGCAAGGTATTTCAGTATATCGTTTTGGTCCCATGAAGCTAGATGGCGAACAGCGGTCTTCGAAAACCGGGTCGAATAAGACTCGTAGTCCACCGGGATACTCAACGTAGTAGCACGCATGCCCAAGCCAGGTTGCGCGGAGCGACTTCGACTCGGCGCGGGTTGCGAGGAAGGTGGGTTTGATTACTGTAACATGTGGAGGAGTGGTGTCTGGCCATTTCATCTTTCCTGATATTATACGCCTTGAGTAGGGTCAGCGTGTGCTTGGCTAGAACGATACCATGGTACGTCTTGAAGGGCTAGATATAACATAGAGCTCAACATGTGAAAGTTGACTAGAGTTGGAGAACAGTATGTAGTCGCAACACCTAGAGTATGTACTCACCACGCCATAGACATTCCGATTTTCACAGGATTGAAATCAACATAGCTCGGCCATGGATTTCTAAATCCAGATCCTCCTGCCAGATGATGTTCTTTACCTTTTGCATCTTCTGGTACAGCTCCCAATGCCGTTGGAGGTGTCATGGACATCGCATATATCGCCGCAGTAGCCATACCACCGGTCGTTGAGGCTTTCAGAATATTGGTAGGGAGCAATATAGCTTTGGTAGCTCTGCGATTAAGGAATTTGCGGAAGAGTGAGCGCATTGGGGAATTGAGAGAACAGCACAACAAAGAGGGAATGGGTTCTTATGAATGATTCTTGCATTCAATTGTACATAGATGCCCTGGCTGAGGTGAGATTGCGTTTCAAGGCGCACCGCTCACCAGGTTCCAAAAGATGCGAATGCGAATAATTGGTGACCTAAACTGGTGATGACACGGAGTTAAGAGAACGTCCGCGGGAAATCGGTGAAACTCCAACTCCGGGCACAGATGTCCGTCTCTTGACGAAAGCCTAGTTTGTCCATGTCCATTATCACCTATGTACTCGTATCTGTCAAGGCTGAATAAACCCATGTGCCTGGTCTTGTCTTACTTCGATGTTTTTGTACATGCGACTTGAAGCGAAAGAATACGCAGTTGAGAGCGAGGGACAAGCTTTTTTGCGAGGTTGGTTAGTTGTTAGATCAGATAACCTTGGTGAAGCTGGACCTTATCCTTGCTACTGCTCCCGTGTTGGAGAACACATAAGGCTGACCATTAGTAACTGTTCGCAAGTTATTCTTAATATGTGCAACCTAGTCTGATTGAACCTAAGATGAAAGACATTGATCGCACTCAGATTATGATTCTACCTACACTCAAACCTACTATAGGTTCCTAATCAGTACAAAGCATGGTACAATCACTCTTGCTTAGATCGATACTAAAATCACAGGCGGTGAAGACTCTTAAGAGCAAGGCATCTGTTATACATTTGGCATTTTCGGCGCAGCTATAGCTACACCTAATTATGGAGCAGAGAACTTATAATCATACTGCTTCTTTGCCTCATCCGCCAGCTTTTTCAGCTTATCTTCACTCTCTTTGAAATCGTTCTCCTTTTCCAGCCTTTCCACATACTTGCTGTTGTAATTCTTACCCTCACTTGGGACATCAATTCCTTTCTGTACCGCCGGCCTGTCGTTAATTCTCTTCCACCACCTCTCGACATTCTTGAACTTGGCCAGATCCACACCAGCAAAGTAGGCCCAGTTGACCCAGGAGAACGAAGCAATATCAGCGATAGAGTATTTTCCACGTCCAGGTCCAATAAGGTAATCGCGGTCGGCGAGCTGGATATCAAGGATTCCATAAAGACGTTCACTCTCACCCACGTACCGTTGAGTTGGGTATGGGATACGTTCCTTGGCTAGGCGGAAGAAATGATTGGCTTGCCCTTGCATTGGGCCCTATTTCCAGTTAATTCATTTCCACGTCAAATTACTTGAGAACTTACCAAACCACCGTGTTGCCACGCGACCCACTGTTCGCACCTGCTCAAATCGTCCGCATCATCAAAGCTAAACTTATGATCTGGATCATAGTGTCTTGTGAGATAAGCTAAAATTGCGGCACCCTCGAAGACAGAAAACTTATTGCGGTCATGATCCACGATGGCAGGAATTCTACCGTTGGGTGACAATTTGGTGAACCAGGGCTCTTTCTGGATGTTCTGCATGATATTGATCGATTGTACAGCATAGTCCTTGCCATATGCATTTTTGAGCTCTTCTAGTAGAATGGAAACTTTATGGCCATTGGGCGTGCCAAATGTTAACAGTTCGATGCCAGAATTGGCTATGAGTCCTGTTGGTCGAGACATGTTTGATGCTGATGTCGCGTTTGTTACTTTGAGAAAGTGTCTTGAGGTTTGTGAGATTCTGAGGATAGGAGATTTGAACATCAGGACTTGAAAAGATTCTTTATGTAGGAAATGAGGGGTACTGCAAGTACTCGAGTATCCTTTGTCGATTGAGCTAGTGTCCGTTACACATGTGGGCTGGCTGACAATTGCCTAGGCCGATGAATCACAGAATGGTAGGACATAAATATTAGTCAGGAGCAGGAAATTCGAGGGTATGATGTACAGGATTGAAGGACATTGACTGGAGAGACTGCTCAAGAGGTCCTGTGCTAATAATCTCTGGTGGTCGGAGATATTTTGGTAGATGTAAGTGGATTGGTAATGATGTAATGCTACGAGGTAAGGTAACAGATTTGGACTGCCTTTGCGGGAACGGTACATAGAGGTGCGGCAATTCCGTAGCTTCGTTGAGGGCGCGACTGCACGGGCCGAAGCTCATACAGGGAAACAGGGTAACAGGGTAAGTATCAATTGTTCAATTATCTACCGGCTTGGAGAATGTGTAGTGCTTTTGACAATCCCGTGTTCAGAATCATTCCTTAGTTACAGAACAGTAACGCAGGTCAAAACACTCGTTGCTTTAAAAAAGAACATTCGTTACATTGGCATTTCCTTTTAGAAATACCCTCTTGTAAGAATTCATGAAAGCGAGTGCATTGTTAACAACAGAATTTCCCTTGGCACTGATATGGTATGACATGGTAATTGCACGAGCTGACCAGAATTTGGGAATGTAAAATAACAATGCCTATTTTCATATACCATTGCCTTGGCCTTTCTCAAAGCTCAAATAGAAATCCGCCACAATAATTAATACTACTACTTCGAAGTAGAACAAACAAGTGTCGGTATCGTAAGATGCAAGCGCTTTCTCTTAAAAACGATATCCTTGGACAACTATGTTTCCGAGTAAAGGAGAGGACCCAAGCTATGCCTTGCAAGACTTGACGAAGTTGCTCTCCGACTCATAAAATAATCAACCGCTGTATGCCTTTGGAGATTTAATTTATATTAGTAGGTTAACCACAGGAGGAACAAAACGATGTTGCCAGCCCAGTTCGGTCAGCCGTTCGTATTGCCCCTCGAATGGCAACAGAAAAAACACGAAGGAGCGGAAGATTCACTGGTCAGAGTGTAGGCCACAGAGCGATTTCCAAGTTAAACGTGTGAAATGGATCCTTTCTGAAGCTACATGATGACTGAGATATTCTTAGATATCGAGTTTGTTAGCCTTCAAAACCCTCTCACGTCTTGAGGTTGTAAACCGCCACACCGTCTACACCCTGCAGCTTGCAGCAATCTGCTGGCCCATGCGCCTCGGGCAGAGTTCAGGGTTCATCACACCGCTTATAATGAATTGCAAAATCAAATTTGCTACGGAATAAAAAAGAACCATGTATTTTCTAATGTAAGATCAATTTGGACTAGACTACCATGATCCTTCATCTACCGTCTGCTTTTATACCATGCTGAAACATAAGATTGCAAGGCCAGACGTAGAAAAGGTAATGGACCATAACTCGCGAAAAGAGAACCCTTAAATTCTCCACAATGGAGACCAATGCAGAAGCCAGAATAACCGGAGGAGCCTTATTCATCGTACAAATACCACCCTTGCGCCTCTCGTGAACGTAGACTGCTGAAGAGACAAGAATGTATGGTATGGAGCACCACAGGCTGATAGGGGAGAGGAAGTTGTGTTTATGGAGGTAGATTGGTCTGCGGGATATTGACGTTGTGAGCACATAGATTTACTGATGTCCTGCCTTTCGGAGGGAGCTGGCAAGCCACTCCAGACCTTCGTATAGACCATCTCCGGAGGTAGCGCAAGTGGATTGGATATACTATTACAAGATTAGAAACATTGTTTTAGGGTGTGAAACTCTCATGACTTACCCAGGCACGTTGTCTCAAACTGTGGAGGCCCAACTTATCTGTGATCTCGGCAGCGTTCATGGCATTCTGTTTTTGATCAGCGGTAGACTTTTTAATAGATTTTTTTATTTCACGTACTGGAAGATCCTGTTTGTTGGCGAATACCAACAGAATGGCATCTCTCAGCTCATCCTCGTTCAACATACGTTGCAACTCCTCCCGCGCCTCGACAACACGGTCACGATCGTTGCTGTCGACGACGAAAATGATACCCTGAGTGTTTTGGAAGTAATGTCTCCACAGAGGGCGAATCTTGTCCTGTCCTCCAACATCCCATACTGTGAATTGAATATTCTTGTACTCAACAGTCTCGACGTTAAAACCTACGATGTACATTAGCGGCAAGTTTCCAGACGATCTCTGCAGGGTGGCAAGGGATGAAGCAGAGCATACCGATGGTGGGGATTGTGGTGACAATTTCTCCGAGCTTCAGCTTGTAAAGGATTGTGGTCTTTCCGGCGGCGTCCAATCCTACCATGAGAATTCTCATCTCTTTCTTTCCCCAGAGTCGGTCAAAGAGCTTGGAAAATGTAAGACCCATGATTGCGGTGGGTATGGGTTCAAGGAAGGGTACTGTTGTGTTCGCTCGTGCGACTGTGATTCTATTGTTGGGAAAAGAAGCTATCAGTACGATGCTTGATTGCGCGATAAAGGAGGGGGAGGCCGAATATAAACAATCGATATAAGAGGACAGATGGATCGACTCTTGGTGTGGTGAATGAGCCTCTCACGGGGTAGGCTGCCATGAACCTAGCGGTCTCCATAGCAGGATTACTCCTCGGACGGACACGCGCGGACGAGGTGAAAGGCAGCCGCAGACCGAGACATCGCTGGCGCAAAGGAGACATATACTGGAAAGTTACTCACAGTTCGACGAGGGCTACAATGACCCGGTGGAGATGTTCGTGATGTGATTAGCGAGGAGTGTGATAGTCGGTAAGATGGTGAGAAGGACAGCGATGGATGTTCGTGGAGTGGGCTTGCAACCAGAAAATGCCCATGCACGCTAGACCTATCCTAGCCGAGCCGCAACGTGAATTAATTGTCCATTTCGAGGAGTTGACAGTCGCGAGCAAATCTGTCTTCGAACGCGACAAGCAAATCATTGCACGGGGCTTCGAACGGAGAGTATCCTTTTCACAACCACGCAGCGGGAATTGAGCTCAATCATCCCCAACATGCGATTTACCACTACATCGATCCTGCTAGCGGCCAGCAGTCTCCTTGGAAGCGCAGTTGCACACAACATCCAGCTTGCAGCACATGGCAGAGAATGTTTCCACGAGAGCTTGCACAAGGACGACAAGATGACAGTCACCTTCCAGGTGGGAGACAGAGAATTTGGCAGCGCTGGAAACTTGGATGTAGACTTCTGGGTGCGCAACTCCCGCTCCCCATACTCCTTTTCCAATGGCTTACTTCGGGCAGATACAAAATCCAGCGGGTGGTTATGAGACTCATCAACGATCCGTTTCCAACGGAGACCATTCATTTACGGCGAACCATGATGGCAAATACATTTACTGCTTCAGCAACGAGCATTGGTCGGCATCAAGCAAGGACGTCTCATTTAACGTGCACGGAATTGTGTATGTGCCCGAAGCGGAGGCACCATCTGATCCTCTAGAGGCGGAAGGTATGGATATGGCCCTCTTGCCAGGCCATACGGACACTAACTGCCGCCCTTAGTTCGACAATTGTCAGAACTCCTATCCCAGGTAAAGGACGAACAATCATACATTGTGGTCCGCGAGCGCACGCACCGGAATACAGCAGAAAGTACGAATGGCAGGGTAAAGTGGTGGAGCATCTTCCAGATGGGCGTACTTATTGGTGAAGGCATCTTTCAAGTTTGGTGGCTCAAGAGATTTTTCGAGGTAGGCAAGAACAGCTCAGAGCGATTCGGTTTTCTCAGTCGATAGATTGTCTGACATTGTCTCTGTAGGTCAAGCGGGTTGTATAATATTTCTAGGGCTCTTGATTTTCTGTAAAGGTCTTTCGGCGCAACAATCATCGAAGGCATCGGAATTGCGGATGAATGTAATTAGTGCCAAGAGCTTGGAACTGACAACGGTACCAAATTTTATGGTGCTTTGTCACAGGAATGGGCTTTATGGCGACTCGTGTCGCAGTGTCAGATTATGTTTTCAGTAAGATAGCGAGGTCGAAATCACACGTTCCACGAAACGATGACCGATATGAAGGACCCTACTATCTCTCTATCACTATACGCCTGATTTCTATACGAAGCTTTCAAGTTACTGCCTAAACTCCCTCCGCCTTATTGCCATTAGCAACTTGAGAAACATATCACTGGTTTGGTACACGCCGATAAGTCGCCGTCCAAAATCTGATCAGTAGTTCATGGAATCCACATGCGAAAGTCGTTAAATAGCCTCCGCCATCAGTATAGACCCGCTTTGAGCACCCTGTCACCGGGTACTAACGAAATAAACTAGCTCGACGGCATGCAAACACTGTCGGGAGTGATCAATTATATCGCCTTCCTAGGATGGTCTATTATTCTCTGAAGGCCACATGGTCTCAATTTTTATGGCCGAGCAGTTAGCACCTGCTTCAGTTCTTGAGTTCTTACGTCCCTTGGGCTGGTGGGAATGTACGAATCTCCATTTTAGCGATGTGTACTTCACTGGGAATGAGACGCCATCAATATAGGCGAAGTAAACTGGCCATTGAATCAATGTGTACATTCTGCAAAGCAAACGTGTTAGTATTTACATATTATACATATTGACATTACCACACATCTAAAATGCTCTAACCCCTTTATTTTCCTTACTCCAGAGTCGAGATCCGCCATCCAAACACCATATATGCCGCTAAAACCACTCAAAATATACACAACTCTTTCATAATCTCACATTATGCTAAACGGCGGCTGGCTTTCTAGCCATAATGTCCAGTCCGTCAGCTTGGGCGTTGATCTTCACAATTGCCTCATCACCGGTTTTCACTTCACCTCTGATAATCTTATCGGCTAGGCCGTTACCAATCTGCTTGGAAATCAGTCGGTTCAGAGGGCGAGCTCCGTATTTAGGATCGTAGCCGCGGTCTGCTAACCAAGCTCGAACCTCATCGTCCACATGAAGTGTGATACGACGATCCTCGAGGCGCTTTTGGAGTTCTTTCAGACGAATATCGACAATGTCTCGAAGGGCTTCATGAGAGAGACGCTTGAAAATAATACTCTCGTCCACTCTGTTTATGAACTCTGGGCTGAAACTATGCTGCAAGACATCGAGAACTGCATGTCGTACCTCGGGACTGATTTCCCCATCTGGCTCTTCGCGGTAAGGATGTTGAGGATTGTTTCCAACCAGAATGTCTGCTCCAAGATTCGATGTGAAGACAATGAGGGTGTTGCGGAAATCGACCTTATGACCTTGAGCATCGGTCAAGAAACCCTCGTCCAGCACTTGAAGAAGAAGTGCAGAGATATCCTTATGAGCTTTTTCAAACTCATCAAACAGTAGCACCGCATATGGCTTTCTTCGAATCGCCTCGGTAAGCTGGCCTGCATCATCGTATCCAACATATCCCGCAGGACTACCGATGAGTCGTGAGATAGTATGCTTCTCTTGGAACTCGCTCATATCGAAACGAACGACAGCGGAGTCGGTTGAGAACAAAAAGTTTGCCATCTTTTTACACAGTTCTGTTTTACCAACGCCGGTGGGGCCAAGGAAGAAGAATGATGCCAAAGGTCTGTTTTCTCCATTCAAACCGGCACGTTGCATCCGGACAGCGTTCGCGACAGCTTTAAGCGCCTCATCCTGACCTCTCACCGACTCGCGCAAAGTGTCCTCCATGTGGATCAGCTTTTCAGCATGACCAGATGTGAGTTTAGTGACTGGAATTCCAGTCACACGTGATACCACAGCAGCAATGTCGTCTGCATTGACGGAGTCGTGGATAAGCGAACCTCCATCGGTAGATGTAGCACCGCTTTCTCCTTCTTTTGGCAATTTCGATTCCAACATCGGTATAACTGAATATCGTAGTTCTCCTGCTCGTCCAAAATTGTTCTCGCGCTGTGCCTGATCCAACTCAACCCTTGCTTTCTCCAAGTCTTCTTTTGTCTTCTTGACGCCTTCAATCACAGATCTTTCCTCCTCCCATTTCTGGGTTAGGGTTTTTGCCTCTTCCTGGCATACTTTGAGGTCCGCCTCTAATTTCTCCCGTCTCTCCTTACTTGCAACATCCGTTTCTTTGCGAAGACTCTCGAGCTCGATCTGAAGAGTCATGATACGCTGATCGAGGCGCATGATATCCTCAGGCTTGCTCTCTTGTTGCAGTCTCAGGCCGCTGGCGGCTTCATCCATCAAATCGATGGCTTTGTCTGGTAGGAAGCGATCTGTAATGTATCTGTTGCTGTAAGTGGCAGCAGCAACCAGCGCTCCATCGGTGATTCTGACACCATGGTGGACTTCGTACTTTTCCTTGATACCTCGTAGTATACTGATGGTGTCTTGAATGGTCGGTTCGTTGACCAGGATAGGCTGAAATCTCCTGGCTAGAGCTACGTCTTTCTCGATGGCCCTGTATTCGTTTAAGGTTGTAGCGCCACAACACTGGAGCTCGCCTCGAGAAAGTGCTGGCTTGAGAAGGTTACTAGCATCGATACTGCCTTCTGCCTTTCCGAGCCCGAGCAGGATATGGAGCTCGTCTACAAATAGTATGACTCCTCCGTGGGCGTCTCCCACTTCCTTGAGCACCTTCTTTAATCTCTCCTCGAAGTCTCCTCTAAACTTAGCCCCGGCGATCAACTGACCAAGATCCAGAGATATGACACGCTTGTTCTTAATGCTTTCTGGAACATCCCCCCTCACAATCCTCTGCGCCAGACCTTCAAGTACGGCAGTCTTACCCGTCCCAGCGTTTCCAATCAGAACAGGATTGTTTTTCGTCCTTCTTGATAGCACCTGTATGGTCCGATGGATCTCTGCATCTCTGCCAATGACCGGGTCGAGCTTTCCATCTCTCGCACGAGCGGTCAAGTCGACACCATATTCCTCTAACGCCGACTTTTCCTCCCCCCCTCCAAGATCCATTCGATGCGTGCCGCCCGGGGGGTGAGGTCGGCCATTGGCATATCCGCGATGACACGCGAGTGGTGCGAAGTATCGCGGTGTAAACTTGACTATGGGCTGTATACTTGCGGCAGCTGGCGAGGTGTGTCGGACTATTGTAGTTCTCGTGGCGCTATTAGCGATGCGCCGTGTCGCATATCGCGATTGTCGTAACATGATTTTCAAATTTCAATTGGGGAAACTACTCGAGGTGGGACGATCTTTAAGGGGAAGGGGGAAACAGTCCTCATATTTATGTTGAGGCTTGCAATGGCATGATGTCTGAACAACCAAAAAGTAGCCTCCAGCAGCTTCGAAGGAAATCGAAGGTCCGTTCCATGACAGAGGAAAGATCCCTGCCGAAGCTATTCCTCGATCAGGTTAGTGTGGCAGCTAGGCGGGGGTCCCAAAACTCTCTACCTCAACGTTGGAGACTGACGATAATTATCACACAACAAACCGCCCTTCTGCTCGAGTCCCCTTTTCCCAAGTGAATCTGCGTATCTGCATATAGAGCTATCCCGATACCGACACCGTTTCCAATTCTTGTATGTTCCCTGCACGCGCCACAACTATCAACACTGCGCGACCTACCCGGCATTCCAACATTGCTGATAACTCCGACCAGGCTCTTGAATTAGTTACCTTTGTCGCTGATCTCTCATTTCCGCTATGGTATGTGCCTTTATTTGCGTGTTATCTGTAGAACCGTCCAACTAATTTGTGGTATCTTTCTAGTCGCAATCGGGGTCAGTCGATGATAACCCCACCATACCCCTCCATTTCCCCTCCTCATCAAGATGTTCTCGCAGTTCGAGGCATGGAATGCCCGGCGGTGTGCGCGGTCAGATGGGAGACATTACGTTCAACGATTGTGAGCCTTTACAACATGTGCTGACCGAACGCCTAGTGTTTCTCTGTCAATCGACTGCGTGCCGAAATTCAACGAGTTAAAGCTCAACAAGACGCTCAAGTTCATCATATTCAAGTTGACGGATGATTACAAGGAGATTGTAGTTGAAGAGGCCAGTGAAGACCCGGATTGGGAAGTTTTCCGCGAGAAACTTATCAATGCTGAGTCTAAGAACATGAAGACTGTACGTGGCACCTATGCACAAAACGGATGTGAATTTCCAGCTGATCCATGTTGTAGGGTAAAGTCACCAAGGGTCCACGATACGCTGTCTATGATTTCAATTACGATTTGGCTTCTGGTGAAGGTTCAAGGTGGGCATTTCCGATCAAATTCGAGATTCAATGGCTGTACTAAACGGATCGTAGAAGCAAAATTACCTTCATTGCTTGGTCGCCTGATGATGCTGGTATCCAGGTGCGTAATCCTGACAGGCAACCAAATGGCAACCTGCTGACACTTCAATAGGCCAAGATGGTGTACGCGTCGTCCAAAGATGCTCTTAGGCGCTCCTTGAATGGTATTGCCACTGAGGTCCAAGGCAACGATACTGACGACATCGAGTACCAGACCGTCCTCAACAAGGTCAGCAAAGGACTGGCGTAAGCGAATTTGCTGTGTGAGCATGTTTCATGTTCAAGTACGAATGATGGGCGCGTAGAGAAAGAGAAAATGAATATGATGGGAGAAACGAAGCGATGCCGTATTTCATTGGTGCTACTCAATTGATGTTGCTCATCTGGCCTTGGTGATATCGTAAGTATGGTGGGGGCGGGGCAGATGTCAGATAAATTATCCGAGTCTCTAAAATATCCCATGCCGAAATGGAAGGATATGCGAGGTTGGAAGTGCTCTGACGGCCTGCTTCCGAGGTGATGCACAAGACTAAACCATCAAGCTAAATCTTACCTCGTAGCGTTATGACCACTTTTACCATGCACCTTTCAATGATCTCAAGGTTTCGGAGTATCTAGTCCTCCCGCACGTTATGGTTGGAATCCCGTATGTCTAGCAATTATACAACGGCTCTAAATGCTTTTACCAGTCTATCCCCCTGAGCTTCGTCCTTCAACCTCTGGACCAAGAAGCCACGTAGGTCTGCCCAGAACTCTTCGGTCTTCAAGATCTCGTCTCCATGTCCAATACCAATTTCGACATCCATTTTATCAGCCGGATCATCCTTCTTCTCTACAGCAGCTGCCCCGCCAATAACCATAACTCCTAGCTCTACAGACCCTTTGTGTTCCGCCCCTAGGATATCCTTGAGTACTTTACTATCGGGTACTGGTTTCTTGCTGTGCAGTATCCGTAAAGCTTTCACAGGGATCGAAGCTTGAGATGACAGGCTCTCTTTGAGAGTTAGGATGGAGGTGTTTAAGTCCGCCGAAGCGATGGTGATTTCGAGTGGAGGGTTACGCAATGATTTCAGTATAACTGGAAATGTTGACGTGGCTGAGAGAGTCGACGCAGTAGTTCGTGGAATCAAGGGGGGGCCAGTAGATTTTGGGAGAATTATCTAGACAAAAGTAAGGAAATTTGCCTGTGAAAGAGACCACGAAGGTCCAGAATAGATACTTACAGCGCCGCGAGCTGGATACGTCTTGGGATCTTCGACATGTTCGGCGCTGATCTTATTTGGCCTCGAGTCTAATGTCGTAAGGAAAGACTTTGCAAACGACAATTCCGTCATCATGAAAAGTTTGTGTTTTTAAGTAGTAACAGGAATTCACTTTTGTTGCTTTGCGATTACTTGGGATATGGTCTAGAGTCTATTTAGAGAACCAAAGTTATGCCAGCCATAAAGCTTGCGGGACAGCCTTGGCGCTTTGGCGGGATAAAAGCGGGGCAGATTGAAATCTTATCGTGCTTCGCCAAAAAAAAGTTTCAGAGCTTCGTCGTGCCAGAATCCAAGCACCCGCTTCCACGGCCGTTTCCTGTTCTAATACCGCATCATTGTTGAACTACCGCAATCATGGGTGTAGGACGTCGAATGAAGAAGCAGGGACCCCCTGAGGCACTCGATGAAGCGCATTTTACGAATTTGAAGAGAAAGGCGGGAATGAGCGTTGCGCAATCCAGAGCGGAGTCGCAGCAATACACGAAGAAGCGGCGGACTGGGGATGAAGATGGAGAGAAGAAGAAGAGAGTCAGGAGTGAGAAAAGAGACAGGAAGGCCGCTGCGAAGAAAACTGATTCTGCAAAAGCCCTCACGGAGACGAAAAAGAAGAAAGCCGTGGATGTTCCTCTTCCTGCTTCCGATGAGGAATTGGACGATGATTCTGATGTGGACGATACGATGGCCGACGAGTTTGATGTATCTGCCGACGAAAAGTCTGGGGGACTAGGCGATGATTTCTTGGATTCGGGAAGTGAAATTTACGACTCTGCCGACGATCACGCAAAGACAGCTATGTTCTCCGAGGACGAAGATGAATCCGATGCAGAAGAGAAGTTGACTGCCGCCAATATTGCTGGGTTGACGAGGAAGTTGGACGAGCAGATGATGCAGGACGAGGAAGACGCGCAAGCCGAATTGGAGGAGGCTGCTATGCAGACTAACATCGCTGGTGATCGGCCGCATATTTTGGAAGATAGTGAAGATGAGGAAGGAACTGGCGTCAAAACGAACGCGCTACTGGCACCAGACTTGCAACTGCTACGAACGAGAATCAATGATACAGTTCGTGTACTTGATGATATGGCAAATCTGGCGGAAGAGGGACGATCCAGAGCGGAATACACCGCCCAACTTATCAAGGATATCTGTGCATACTATGGCTACTCGCAGTACCTAGCGGAGAAACTGTTCAATCTGTTTCCCCCGAAGGAAGCGTTCGCTTTCTTCGAGGCTAATGAAACCGCTCGCCCCGTTGTTATTCGAACAAATACCCTACGAACTCATCGTAGAGACCTCGCCACTTCTCTGATTAATCGGGGTGTAACTCTCGAACCCGTTGGTAAATGGTCAAAAATTGGTCTTCAAGTCTTCGAGTCAGCTGTTCCTCTTGGGGCCACTCCCGAGTATCTTGCTGGCCATTATATACTTCAAGCCGCATCCTCTTTCCTTCCAGTTATGGCTCTCGCACCTCAAGAACATGAGAGAGTACTCGATATGGCTGCTGCTCCTGGTGGAAAAACCACGCATCTTGCAGCGCTGATGAAAAACACAGGCGTCATATTCGCCAACGATAGCAATAAGTCTCGAGCTAAAGGTTTGATTGGTAATATCCATCGACTGGGGGCGAAGAACACGATTGTTTGTAACTACGACGCGCGTGAATTCCCAAAAGTCATGGGAGGATTCGACCGTGTCTTACTGGATGCCCCATGTTCTGGTACTGGAGTTATTGCCAAAGATCCTAGTGTTAAGACAAACAAGACCGAAAAGGATTTCCTTATGCTTCCCCACCTTCAAAAGCAATTGCTTCTTTCTGCCATTGACTCAGTGGACCATGCTAGCAAAACGGGCGGATATATCGTCTATTCGACATGTTCGGTCACTGTGGAAGAGAATGAACAAGTTGTTCAGTACGCGCTTAGCAAACGACCGAATGTCAAACTTGTTGAGACAGGCTTGGTTTTCGGTAAAGAAGGATTCACATCTTACATGGGAAAGTCATTTGATAAGTCCCTCAAAATGACACGGAGATACTACCCTCATGCCTACAATGTGGACGGTTTCTTCGTCTCCAAGTTCAAAAAGACAGGACCTACAACAGCAAGTGACATGGCTGCAACTACTACGAATGCCAAGAAAGCACCAACCGAGGAAGATTTGGAACTGGTGGACAGAAGACCTGTTCCGGAAACTGAAGAAGAGGAAGAAGACGCTTTCGGAGGCTGGAATGAAAGTGAAGACGAGGTTTATATTGAACGCGCAAAGAAGAGCGCACTGAGGAAGAAGGGAATTGACCCTAAATCAAAATTAGGGGATGAAAATAAGCGAGGCAAACCCAAGCCTGTGGAAGAAACGAATGGAGCGGCCGAACCATCGGAGGATGCGAATATTGAGCTGATCGCCGAAACGAGTACTAGCACAATTCCCAAGAAGTCCAAGAAAGTCAAGAGTACGAAAGTAGAAATCGTTGCCGTCGGGACAAATGGTTCTAAAGACGGCAAATCAAATCCGAAGGACGATGTTGTAAGTCCTGCTACGAATGGGGCGCCGAAAAAGTCGAAGTCAAAAGTTCCGAAAAAGGCGTAGGTTTGGTTATTAGCATAGGGTGGCGTTAAATGTTTATATGATTTTGTGGATTAGTAATACTCAAGATGATACCTGTCCTAAGAATATTATGTATCAAATCTACGAAGTACAGGAGGACTTTGGAGCAAATGATCTCAGTTATGTCACCATGGGCCAAGATTCTAGAAGACAATGATCGATACCATGTTTAATTACAGCGCACACTTGATTTTACGATTGAATTCGTGATAAGAGCCATGCCATGTAATATCTACAAATTGTTTCGCCGTCCCAAGTTCCTGTTCCTTGTTTCCCATGTCCGTACTCCCACCACTAAGCCTCAGATGAAGTCAACTCCTAAACCGCAAACATGCAAGGAATTTGCAAGCCATGTTCTATTGCAAAAAATGAACGAGGAAAGCAAAGGGGTATATATCTGACCGCAAGATTGCAACAACGCTGGAGACAAGAAAAAGCAAAATACGCTATGCTGCAGCATGTAATGAGGGCTATCGAATGAAGAAACTCTCGAGTCCAATATACTGACAACGGCTATGGGTCAGTCCTCTCCGTCGCTTATGGGATGAGCGCGAATTTCGAGAAAGAGGTCGTCATCTGAGGTCTTGTGTTCGATTTTGGATTTCTTGGCTCGAACGATAGAGGGTGTGCTCTTTAAATGTCCATTCATTCGCGGACTCACAGAGTGAGAACTTTTAGCTGAATGGCCATTACGTAGATCAGCCAATTTGCGCTTTTGTGTACCATTCATCGGATAAGGAGTGGACCGTCGACTGGGATCGATTTCGGGATTTTTTTGAATGTCCAACTCATCTTTAAGTTTGCAATAGTAATCGGCTGTCTCCCGCTTATTCTCAACCACCTCGGTCTTTAACTTAGAGATTTCGTCATGTAAAACCGTTTCCAGATCGCTAATTTTGATAGACAATGACGAGTTGTCTTTGACGGAATTTTCAATGTCCTTAATTTTACTCTTCCAAAGCTCTGTCGTCCTGGTTAATTGCTCGAGGGAATCGCGGAGTTGATTGAGCTGAGGAAACATATCCTGGCTAAATTGATCCGCCATCCGGTGAGACATATCGACAGTATTGATATTTGCGTATCGTGAATCAAGGTCGGAAACGGCGAGCCCGTTAGCCTCGCAATGATCCGCAAGCCGTTGAAGTCGAGGCTCAAGCTGCTGTAGCCGAGTATCAATATTCTCACGGATCGTTACCGTTAAGCGCTGATCGAGCTCTCTCATTTCATCCTTTGTGGGAAATGTACCGTGGATATGAGTAATAAAACTATTGTGAAGGTCTCTGATTTGCGCTTGGACCGAAGAATCGTTCGTCTTCGTAACTCGTACTTGAGTGTCTTCTACCGACTTTAGTCTACTATCAGTATCGGAACGTATATTCGATAACGTATTCTCAAGTGCGGCGGTTCGAGCCTCGGACGATATACGCGAATCTTGAGTGCTAGCCTTAAGATCGTTCATCATACCGCCTAAAGATTCTTCTATAGCACTTAAGCCAGCGAGATCGTCTTCCACTGTCTCGAGACGTTTAGTGATACTAGCTATTTCGGAAGCTTGGAGACTAGTTAATGGCTCGATCTCTTGCCTATCAACTTCTGTTGTATTACTTCGACTAGGCGCGTTTTCGATAGCCGAAGCCCTGCTCTCTAGCGTGGTGAGCCTCTCTTCGTATACAGACTGCCGAGATTCAGCCTCTTTAAATTTACGATCTTGGACCTCACGGAGTTTGTCCACGTGGCCCATAACAGCGGTGGATTTGTTTTTGTGTCCATCAATTTGAGTCTCGAGGCTTTTAACGGATTGATCTGTGCTGTCAAGACGGCCGGAAAAGCTTCTCATTTCGTCGGGCAACGTAGAAGTTGAATTCTCAACTTTCTCGTTTAGTGCAACAGCGTCTCGCTTTATTGATTCCACTAGTGTAAGTAATTTCGACTCTTTATCGTAAATTTTCTTGATGTCATCTTTAACATCCATTAAAGTCTTGTCAGAGTCTAGATTCCGTTGCGTAGCTTGATTGATAGCAGAGTCTGTAATCTCTCGCCAACGACCTAAGTTGTGAAGATTTGCAGCGGCTTCTCTACTTTTGATTTCGAGTTCGGTATAACGAGCACTGGTAGCTTGATCCCGGCGTAGAACGTCCTGCTCAATTTTGGTAGACCGCTCTTGGAATGTCCAGACACGCTTTTCGAGCTGATCTTGGAAACTTTTCATCGAGCTCTTCATCTCCTCCTGGGCACTTTCCAGCTGCTGGCAGCGTGCTTCCAAGTCTCTTTTGTCCTTTCTTAGTGTTTCGATGACTTCGTGACTGGCCGTGTTCTCCCCCGAACTACGAATGACACAATTGAGCTTCGTGCTGGCTAAGTCCGTGATGTCCTGCAAGCAGACCTCCTTCTCCTTCACATTCTGCGTTAGACTGAGGTACAGCTTCTCCGCATTGTCTTTTTGTTTAATCTGGACTTCTGCAGTAGAGGGAAACTTTTTACTAGCACCACTGCTTTGGCTCCTAATCATCTCGGTCTTCTTGGCTTCCAGATCGGTCTTAGCATTGAGCTGCTGGCGTTTTAAGAATGCCATATCGGTACTCTCGCTAACCAATCGGGTTAGAAATCCCATAAGAGCCGTACTGTCCGTACTATTCGACTGTGTCTGGGGCGACGAAGGGTGTGAATGTGAGTTTTCGGATGATGCATTTGCTTCGTGATTCACGGCGACCGAGACATCGAGCGGTTTCTGAAGCAGCGGTTCCCCTAGTAACAGCAAATTAATGAATATTTATATATTGGGTTTGAGGTTAGGCTTAGGAGTCTGTGAGGTGAATAGGACGGGAAAACGTCAAGCTGGGAGTATTGTATATAGTACCTTTAGCAAAAGTATTTTTAGGGGCCTGATGTTTAGGTTGTTTTGTATAGGCTCTGGCGTCCTTGGGTGACGATGATCTCGAGCCATCTTTGGGCTGTCGTACACCGTTACTCAGTCGCCTATCGTGCGCCGGGCGTGTAGGTGGCGACCCATCTCTAGAATAGCCTACGGCAACGGGACTTCTGTCACTACGATTTCCAGCACCGCGATAGCAATCGGCTGCAATCGGAAACTGGCCAAGGCCTCCTCCTCCATGTGGTCCACGCCGATAGTCCCTGGGGTGACTCGACATTGTCGACGTCTGTGCATAAGTCAGCTTTTCAACAATTACCAGCTTCTGAATCCTGGCATCAAAGCAGGTCAAGGAAAAACTAGGCTTTCAACATCGCGGAAGATGATTTGACCTGACCCCCCCCAAGATCATCCCAAGCGCAGTGGATGAGAGTTGAGCAAACATGCAAACTGCTAAATGCTAAATGCTGTTGATAGCCTAGACTACAGCGATAGAGTAGTGGGCGAGCCAAATCGCATTCTCCCGCAAGCAATCGTTATGGTGGAGGGGAAGCTGAGTTGTCTATCCCAGAGCGTAACTCAGTACCAGTGTCGGCCAACTAAGGCCGAGAGAGGGGATGACCAAGATAAACGACGTGTTACCCGGAGACAAATGTTTGCAAGGGTGAGGTCTTGTAAATAATGTTATTGATTACCTATTCTTGAAGAACGAAGAGAGTATTCTTGTCCAAAGGTCGCATAGTGCGCATGTTCAACACTCTTTGGAAAATTTGCAACCCTGCGAATTTGCTAATCTAAGGATAGATTGCGGACAGGAATTATCGATGGTTGAAAGTTGCGGTCGTAATCGACTTCGAATCGTGGTTCATCTGGCTATTGTTTGTTGTACTTCGAAGTAGCAGGGAAGTGGGGTCAAACGGGCGGGAAGAAAATAAAGTTGACGCGCCTGCGTTTGTGTGACCGAATTCTGTAGTGCTGAGGCGAAGTCGCGAAGTCGCGTGAAGAGGGCCGTTGGCTCACGAACGATGCGACAATCGCAAGTTCAGAATCGTGTTTGGTGAATGTGGGTTGAGTCGAGTGGAAATGGAAATGGTACAAAGTACGGGGAGAAGAGAGAAGAGTGTAGAAAGATTCAGTCACCGCCACCAACGCGCGCGTCCAAGGTAATAGGACAGTCCCTTCCACATTTGTAACTTTAAGAGAGGAGTGTACATATCAAAGGTCAGGGTCGGGGGGTCAAATCAATTAAGCGAGCATCCATTATGAACTGGCCCGGTTACACCAAATACTAACGCCGGCTAGAGCCAGACTGAAGCGGCTTTACATTATCGAGGCACCCTCTAAATGCCTTGTGGCACACCTGCGCTTGACAGTCGCGTGGTAGTACGGACAGCCTTGCAAGATTTATTCTGCTCGTAAGCTTCATGCTGAGATTTCCACCTGTTAACCCATAATCTTCGCGCTTCGATCCCACCTTCAATATGGCCACAGTAAGTATCTTCTTCAGAGACTTTCGATGCAGCTTCTGACCACCATATAGGCCATACAAACAGTCTCGGAGAGCAAAGAGCTTCGAGGCTTAAACCTCATCGCGGCGCATTCACACATTCGCGGTCTGGGTGTAGATCCGGAAACATTGGAACCAAGAGCTTTGTCGCAGGGGCTTGTAGGCCAGGAAAAGGCGCGTAAAGCTGCCGCGGTGATTCTACAGATGGTGAAGGAGGGAAAGATTGCGGGGCGTGCAGTTCTCATCGCTGGTCCTCCAAGGCATGTCGGTCGCAAACCACCAGTCATGATCTACTAACGGGGATATAGTACTGGAAAAACTGCAATCGCTATGGGGATGGCCCAGTCTCTTGGACCAGATGTACCGTTCACAATGCTAGCTTCGTCTGAGATTTTCTCATTGGAAATGTCGAAAACCGAGGCTCTTGAGCAAGCCTTCCGCAAATCTATCGGTGTGCGGATCAAGGAGGAAAGTGAAATGATCGAGGGAGAAGTTGTGGAAATTCAGACGGATAGAAGTGTGACGGGTGGTACTAAGCAGGGGAAGCTCACAATCAAAACAACGGACATGGAGTCGGTATACGACATGGGCAGCAAGATGATTGATTCAATGACCAAAGAGCGTGTTATGGCAGGAGATATCATCTCGATCGACAAATCTTCAGGGAAGATTAGTAAACTTGGGAGGTCGTATGCCAAATCGAGGGATTATGATGCGATGGGAGTAGACACGAAGTTTTTACAATGCCCTGATGGGGACTTGCAGAAGCGGAAGGAGGTCGTCCATACCGTCAGTCTCCACGAAATCGACGTGATCAACTCAAGGACCCAAGGATTTCTTGCCCTGTTCTCGGGAGACACTGGCGAGATTCGTAGCGAGGTTCGTGACCAGATCAACACCAAAGTTGATGAATGGAGGGAAGAAGGCAAGGCAGAAATTGTTCCCGGAGTTCTCTTCATTGATGAAGTTCACATGCTAGACATCGAATGTTTCTCATTCATCAATCGACAGTTAGAGGAAAGTCTCGCGCCAATCGTCATCATGGCAAGCAATAGAGGCAACTCCAGGATCAGAGGAACGAACTACAAAAGCCCTCACGGATTACCCCTTGATTTCCTAGATCGCGTCGTGATCGTTAGTACTCATGCCTACGCCAAAGAAGAAATCCAGCAGATCCTTTCAATCCGTGCCCAGGAAGAGGAAGTGGATATTACACCTGATGCCATAGCCCTTCTTACCAAAATTGGGCAAGAAACAGGAATTCGTTATGCTAGCAATCTGATCACAACCTCGCAGCTTATCAGCGCGAAGAGACGCGCGAAACAAGTATCAATTGAAGATGTACAAAGGAGCTTCCAGCTGTTCTACGACTCTGGTAGAAGCGTGAAGTTTGTCGCGGACTTCGAGAAGAGACTTATTGGCGATGGCGGTAACGTGAACCTTTCTGTTATAAACGGTCATGGTGATGCAATGGAGCTGTCATGAATGCAGTGGGATTTGTTTTAGGCGTTTGGAGCGATTGCCAAATGGGAGTGGCAATTTAAAAATGTTAGACCCATATAGTGTATGTAAGAGTACCAGAAGCATCAGTGCAATGACTGGGGAATTGAACTTAGGATGTGCGTAGCACGGTTCAGGATCCCAAAGGAAAATCAATTGACAAAAGTCTTTGCAATCAAAACTGTGTAATAGTCTTCATTTTCCGCTGACATTTTATCAGATCCTGGGTATCATATCACTCCTCATTTTTATAAATCAGACAAAATCCACAACTCTGCTCCAGCCCTCTTCGCCAATTCTTCTAAACTCAATTCCTTCTGCAAAATACCCAGCATCATTCCAAGCCTTCATCGTGGCACCATCGTACGGGCCCTGTTTTACATCGCCATCTCTGCCGTCGGTCCATCGATATTCCCACATTATTGTGGGCTTGGTGTTCTTAAGTATACTGAAGTCCTCATCACTAGGTGCTGGCTCTACCCAGTCCTCTCCCGCCTCTTTTCGATATTGGCGGATTAGCATCTCTCGTTCTTGCTCATATATCTCGGTTTGGCCCCGCGTCAGGAGTAGTGAAGCATTGGTTGTGATTGATGAAATTGACTTTGAGATTGCTAACTGCACCGGATCTTCTGCGGGATCGACATCCATAGACTCATCGGCTTGCTTTTGCTTTTTTGCCTTCCATTTAGGGATCTTTTTCGTTTTTACCTGTGACTTTCCCAGCCGACCTAATGCTTCTAACACTGTTTCTCCCTTCTCTAGTTGGAGGATTAGATTTCGTAGAATATCGGGTAACAGTTGTGCATCGTCATTTAACCGTTGCTGTCGAAGTTCTGCTTCACGCTTTTCGTGGGCTTCCGCCGCTTTTTTCATATCTTTCTTGCTGACGCCTTCCAGCCAGGTATCGTGTTTCGAATCTGGGTCAGCAGCCTTACGAATGAAGTTTCCGGCATCGTCGAAGCGACCCTCTTCCTGTTCGGCTTTCATGTTGAAGGCATCAACTTTAGGGGCATTCCTTTTTAGCCCCCCAGCCCCAACCTCATCGTCGATACCCTCTTCTGCAGCAAGTGCCTCGGCATCTTCTTCATCATCACTACTTTCCTGGTCATCCATTGCGTGTGTTGATAGCTTGCCTTTCGGATCTAGTGCAAAATTGCCAGACACATGACCGCCACTCTTACTGTTTTCCACCTGGCCTTGAATTTCATCGGCTTCCATGAACCGTACTTCTTTCTCCTTTCTGCCTTTCCCCGGAACGTTCGTAGTTTTCTCCCCACTTACTTCTTCCTCTAGATCTGCAAACATATCCTCATCGTCGTCATCCATTTGCGCAGTTGAATTCTGCGCATTACTGCCGTCTTTCGCGTACCCATCCAGCGCATCTGCAAGACTGACTTCAGGCTTGCCTTGCCTAGCTTTTGCTCTCTCCTCTGCCCTCGCATCGAATCCCTCATTTTCTGAATCACTATCATATCCGTCAATGTTGACGGCGCCTCTCTTGGTGCCTGTCCCTGCCCCTCCAATGACATCTGCTTCGAGGACAGCATCTTCTTCCGGTGCATCGGGCGCGAGGGCTGAGGGGTTGCGAATATCAAATTTGGGCTTCTTTGGCGAGGGCCCGTCATCTGCCTCGAGATGATGGGTACGGGCGAATTGTTCCCCCGCACGATTCGGACGTGCAGCAGAAAATCTAGAAGCCATTATGGTGAAGGCTGACTGAACGACCGGTCTTGTAAAACAATTATGATGAAAATGAGTGGTATGTTGCAGGGGTACGAGGCTGGAGTTATCGGGCTTAAAAGATTACCCGTGTCTGCTAGTCAGGCACGGACAAGGACGTCACGCCGCGGGACACTGAACCGCGAACTAACATCGAGGCACTTCACAAATCGTTCCAGATCATCGAACCTCGACTGGATGAAAGTTGTAAAGCGCCACATACCTGTCAAGCCTGTTTGTACCCAATCTTTCACTTTCTCTTACCAGTCCAGCAAAGATGGTAAGCTCCTTGGTCTTCAAAGCTCGATCGCAAAGTAACTCTCCCTCAGTTCAACCCAGGCTTTCAGTATGATGACGAAGATATGTATAATATGCTTCAACAGCGGCGCGGAGGGGCCATGAAGCGTTTCGACGAATACTATCGATGCTATCCTACGGTTATGCTCCCTGGTCCTAACCGCGATAACCTCAACTATGGTGGCAAGATCATCATGCCGCCTTCGGCTTTGGAGAAGCTCACACGGTTACATATCACGTATCCTATGCTTTTCGAGCTTTTAAATGGACAAGAGGGGAGACATACGCACGCCGGTGTGTTGGAATTCATTGCTGCGGAAGGCAGAGTCTACATTCCAAGATGGGTGAGCAAGTCTTAACGATTTGGGCGTGGATGGAGAAATAACAGTATGCAGATGATGAAGACGCTCAAGCTCGACGACGGCGACATGATTCAAATCAAATCTACCGATCTTGCGCCAGCAACATTTGTCAAGCTACAACCGCAAAATAAGAACTTCCTCGATATTTCAGATCCTAAAGCTGTACTAGAAAAGGCTTTCCGGGATTTTGCGACGGTTACCAAAGGCGATATCTTCAGTTTTACATACAACGATACTGTCTACGATATTGCAGTTATCGAGACGAAGCCCAAGAGCGATAAGATGGGGGTCAGCATGTTAGAGACCGATGTTGAAGTGGATTTCGCTCCACCTGTTGGATATGTTGAACCTACATCAACGCGTGGCAGTGGGACGAGTACACCACGAAGTGGGCATGTCCTTCCAGCGGGAGGAATGTTGCATAATCAAGGAACCATGGCTCAATCTATAAACTATGATACTATCAAGCCGTCCTCCGCAGCAGCTCTAGCAGGTGCTAAAGCTACATCCTCACATTTCCTCACAGGGGGCCAGAAGCTTAATGCAAAGAAGGGTGCAAAAACACCGACTCCTAAAGCTTCCACGCCTGTTGCTGGCACCTCCACCAACCTTCCTACCCCAGCTACACGAATGACGAACGGTCCGCAGCCTTTGAGACTGGCACCTAACAAGCTATTCTTCGGTTACGATGTGATACCACTTAAAACGCAGGCAGATAAGGATAAAGAAAATGCGAATGCAGCTCAACCTCACTTCGCGGGTCAGGGTAGCACACTTCGAAGTGGCCCCGTGAAAGCAAAACCAGAGCCTGAGAAGCAAGCCGAGCCTGACAGGAAGCCAGACCCTAGTGTGGGACGTCGACTGGATGGCAAGAAGGCCTGAACTGCTCATAAAGTTGCTGACGGCGTTATGAATGGGCTTCTTTAGCATTGGGTATTGGCGTAATGGGTTAACAATAGCAGGGTTTGTGCTCCAGAGTTAGGTTGGTCCATTGTAATAGGCGCAATAGTATATGAAACTTGATCGAGACCATGAACACTTCATGGTATCTTGGTGCATTTATGGCACATGTATTCTATAAATAGAAGGCAATTTGGACTTTTTGGACGGCTTAGTGGCTGCACTTTTTCTGGTACAGCTTTTGGGTTTGCGGGAAAATTCTGGCTCCCTTGAATATATTATTACTTTCCTATATGTTTTTCTGTCTCTGTATCCTGATCCTCTCTCAGCGACATTGGAGTTGGTATGCTTATTGGTCGATTGTGGATGACAGGGAGTTGCCGATTACATTGAACACAAACTTATTATAGCAGGCCTCAAGTTGGCTGTAATTGAACCTGAAAAATCACAGAGCAGAAATTCGTCAAAGCGCGACGCTGGAGGAACATTGCGACTAAAGAGTATTAAGCCAAGATACCTTCAAATACCTGTGATGGGGATCCGAATGCAACTATTATCGAGTCTTCAGTAAGCACACTCCTTTATGTGATGCTGTGTCTCCTCGACCTACCTACCTGCAGCTAACGATCTGTCTTGAAAGTCGGTGTAATAGTCGTTGTAATCGACCGCAATTAAGAGCCGCCCTCATTCTTTTTTGGTTTATATCCTTCACCTTCACTTCCTTTACGATAGGTGATAAATCCACGAAGATTTTCAGTATTCCTATCACAGAACTATGACTTACTTCAAAGTAGCAAGTGAAGTCACTCGAAATACCTGGAACGAGCCGACGGGAACATAAAGACACAGAGTCTCTGGAGAAATGTCTTGTTGTAGCTACTATAACGGCGATGAAATGACATATAGAGTATCCATGGATGCTTGAAGTGACAGGGTTTGTGAGGAGACCTTGATGGATCCCAATACAGTATTAACATTCAGATTCACCAGTAACGAGTCTCCACAACCACCAAGTATAGGTGAATATTGTGTTGAGGCTTAGACTGGGGTTGTTATTCACCATCTGCTATATTGTTGGTGTATCGCCTGCTACATGACAGCTACGGAAATAAAATCCCCCCGACTTGCTGGATACCTCTACTTCATCCGACACACTCAATCTCAGAGATTGGGGCCGGCAACCTGTGTTAGAGAGCCTCGGACCTGTTCACCGCCACACTAAGAAACAGAAGACTTACTACAGAAGTAATGAAGTAAGATGGACTTCTGCGAACCCTCCCTCCCTGACCGCGATTCTGGACACCCCGATGCGCCCATTTCATGGGACGATGAACTTCAGCCCAACTCGCATCTTTTCTCGCAAGAAGAGAATGGCCTTACAATTAAAGACGACTGTCTCGCCTCCGTTCGCCGCCTTTCATCCGACAATGATTCTGTTGTTATATTCGTCTCTGGAGTAACACGTAATGACTCCGGGGGTTTCGTCAGATCTGGCTCTGGGGTCTTCTTTTCACCCACCTCGTGCTTCAATATTGCAGAACGTGTGCCACAGGGATATTCATCGACGAGAGAAGTTGCCGAGTTATACGCCGTTCTTTTGTCTTTGTCTCAATTAGAAGAGAATTACTTGCAGGTTAAAGAGATAGACGATCCAGATGGCATATCATCCTTATCAACCACTTCAACCTCTCGGCGGCGGCAGCGGTACAAGGGAGACGCGCGAGCACAACGTCTTTGGAGAGCTACAGCGAGCGTTACGGATCAGAGTCAGAACATAGAAAAATTGGAAGGCACTATCCCGTTTTCGAAGGTTGTCATTGCCACAGAGAATGAGCAAGTTATTCACGCACTTTGCTTCGATGCATGCGAGACGTCCACGCAAGACGCAGGACCAGTAGCATCAGTAATAGATGTCGCACTTACGGACAACCTCTCGGTCACCAAAGGAAAGGAAACGAAAAACAGAACCGCCGATATAGTCCGGCCTATTGAGCACATGAGTCCAAAGTCAAAGACTCACTCGCAAAGAGATGCTAATCAGAAGTCACTGCTCTGCTCCGCAGATCAAAGCGAGAAGGATGAGTTAGTCACAGATGTTCGTCAAGCTATTGCCCGAGTGGAACAGTTTGGAGCTAGTGTCCAGCTCTGGTTGGTTGATCTTGACAGTGTTGCGGACGCTTCGAGACTCGCTAGGGAAGGCACTTTCAAATTGAGTAGAATCGCAAGTCTATATCAAAGCATCTTCCATGAGGAGTTGTATGATTCGCTTCTTGCTGGTCAGATAATACCTCGCAGCATTTCCGGATCCCCCAGATGATTTGGCTTTCACCAATACTCCAACTCGCTTTCTTATTTCTTTTCCAGTCTCCCTCAGACATTTGGTGCATTACGCGCGCGCTGCTTATCATTTGAACTAGATACAGCATTAAGAACATCCTTAGGGCTATCGGTCATACCAACACTCTTTCTTTATCATTTTACGGATTGCATGAAGTCTGTTGCGAGTTGATTCTGAAAGACGTGCCGTTTGAGTTTTGGGGGAACAATTTTCGAAAAGTGTAGATCAACGCAGACATCCACCCCATCAACAAACGGCTGGGACGATTGCCTTCTATTTTGATTGTGAAGGTCGCTTAATGACGGATTCTGAACTCCGATTTGGACGCTTTTGTATACACGATAGTTCGCCGAACAAAAAAAGGAAATTGGAAGAGTCAAACGACGATCAGCGCCAGGCTGTTTACCAAGAACAAAGTAAAATGAAGGTCTCCGATCTGCTGTGCAATGACGAACAAGCTATGTTTAACATGTCCAAAGAAGACGCAGACCCGGCCAATTCATTGTCAGAGAAGATGAAAATCTCCAACCTACTGTGTAGTGAAGAACAAGCTATATCTGACGTATCCAAAGAAGACACAGACTCGGCGAATCTGTTGTCAAAGAACAATTCCTCGGTTCCGACTGACGAAAAAAGCCCAAGAGATGAAAGAAGCGAAGTGTTGGTACGGAATAGACCAGAAACTTCAGCGCAGAGCGAGAACGACCACTGGACGAACAGATATTATGATTTCCAGAGATGGGGGGCTGAATTTTTGCAGAATCCTCGACTTAAGGGTCTGCGGTTCCGCACCGAGTCTAATCCACAGTCGATTGTAGCCTGGGTAGCAGGAGACAAGTCGGGAATCTGAGCCAAAACACTTGGGGAGTTTGGCTTGGGCCTTATGGCGACAATGCCGCGGGACCTTTTACCAGCCACTATCCATCCGGAAGTATTCAAACCCACGATGATTTCAACGAGGAAGACTCTCATCTTGTCGGTACTATTACCGCAGCTATAGAAGCATTATCAATTTTGAGGAAAGAGATAAAAGAGGCGAAGCGAGCTCGGGTCCACATCGATCAAATAGTGATAGTGGCTGACTCGGAAATCCTCACCGACTACATTTGTGGAATTATGCCCATTGAAGCTATCAGAAGCACCTCGCTAGAACTAAGCCAAGCTGTCGAGAAGTTGAACAGCAAAGTCGAACTGTTGGAGAAATCAGGAATCGAAGTTTTGTTTCATATTGTGGAATACGGACTAAATCAACACGCAAGAACACTGGCTGGAATGGAAGCTGATCGCATTCTGTATACAGTGGATATTGTATCATCAACGAAAGTTAAGCTACCAAACAATATGAACAATAACTGGCTGGTATAGACGCATTCGTTACACAGTAAATCAGCGGTAGTTGGGTTCATGACCCTTGAGCAACAACTAGCAAAAATCCAAGCAGATCAGCGTTTATGTGTCTAGTCAGTTCAATACGACGTCAAACCGACGCAAGGCCTGGATATTTACGAAAGCGTATCTTCTTGGAACAGCCACCCCACATATCTATAGCCATGAGTGAACAACCTATGATCTCGGGACTGTGAATTATGCCATGCTAGAAACGTTGCAACAAAAGTTCATTGAGGGAATATGCATCGAACAAAAGGGAATCGAACGTGTGTCGAAGAGATGCAGCATACACCACCGGCCCCTAGAGCAACACTTAAGAACACTTCAACACTTTGACTAAAACCTTGAAGTCAAGAAGAAATAAATTTATTAAAGAATTGTGGCCAGCACGGCGGGTTTATTCCCACATACATTGGGCACTTTCAACATATCCGTTTCGAACTCCATAGAGGGTACTTAGCCCATCACTCCACTCTCCCTCTTCATCCAAGATGGCTTGTCCGACTTCTTGCCCTGACAACTGTTCAAGACGCTGACGTTTCAAGGCAATATTCCACGAAAATGACGAATGTCCCACGCCTGCAAATTCTTGTGATTTAGTCAGTACTAAGAAGTCAACGAGCGCTTGCTGGTCCCAAGTAAGACTTCTTAGTTGATCTTGATGTTTCCCTTTGAGGAGGGCATGTTTGTGGGTAATGTCGATTCCCCAGCCAAGAGCTGATTTTTTCAAACGTTCGACATCTAGAAGATTTCCAGAGCTCACATACATCAGGCTTATCTGCGCGGCACCCGCATGCTCCAGATATGCAATGGACTGGCCATCATAATGCATAAAGGGAGCAGGTGCAACATGTCGACGATCGAGGTGTTCACCAAATTCTGACGTCCGGAGATGAGCGCCAAAGAAAGATGGTGTTATGATCGAATCCGAGATATTGCCATCCATGTCGTGCCACTCTTGCAGCTCCAGTAAAACAGCAGTAGCAAGGCTACGGGTGTCTTCGCGGAATTTGAGAAGCTCGCCGAAGTCGTGCGCGAATTTATGGCCATCAGAATGAATTGGGTAAGAAAGGAAGGATTGCTGGAGATCGATAACGATGGGCTCAGTTTTGAGCGTCCCTTCCTCATGTCTCGGTGGGATATGATCCTCGACCCATTTAGAAAAGAGTGAGGGCCAACTTTCTGGATGTTCCATGCCTGTAATTGGGCGATTGAGCACTAGGGTTTCTGGCTGAAGCTCTTTTCGACGATCACTGAAATGCTGCTCCGTATTCTTTATGAGTAGCATTTCCGGGCACGATAGGCGCATGGATTGGACAAAGTGATCGACATCAAACATATAGTCCATCGATTTGAGAACCTCACCACGCCTTCTGCCTAAACCCGTGTCTGTCTCAGGATCAGAGTGGACCGTTGATTGCCGGGCTATGATTTTTGGTAACACAAGCGCCGCGCCTGCTTGAATCGCGAATCTAGCACAATTGAGTATTGAGTTGCGTACATGCCCAATACCATCGCGATTGTTGTCGCAAGTAAAGATGAGACTGGAGTTCCATTCCGTATTCCCGCAAACTTCCTGGATTGCTTCCGATCTGACAGGCGGGAAATCGAAGACGTCTGAGGTCTTTGTACTGTCGATACCAGAATTTGTGTTCCACAAGCGCTCTGGTGCGTAGGGTCTATCAAAGGCTACCCAGAGCCATAAAACAATGAGTATGCCGGCTGCAACCGTGATATATCTGCGGTTCACATTTGAGGGGAGTGACATGTTGCTTTGATGTTATTAATGTTGTTACCAAGGAATAGGAATCTTTGGACACTCATCAGCTATGGACATGTTGGACAAGAAATACTATTTCTAGGTCTTGAGCACGAGCATGTTTCACAGAAGCCGTGCGAGGAGCTTAAGTCGTTTGACATGTTTCCCGTCGTCGCATTTGAGTATACATCATTATGTAATCCTTATCCACCTTGTCAAGCGAGTCATGTGATATGCCCCCTTTTCATAGATGCCAAGCTCGCGGTGGACGAGATGAGGACAAGTCGAAGCACGATGTCTGCTCAGAACCCTTTACAGAATGTGATATTAGGACAAATAATTTCAGTAGGTTTAACAAATTTAAATTCATTTGAAAGGAAATTCCAAGTTAATCTTACGCTTAAAAGCAGGTTCGGCCGTTTATCATATCCTCTGCGAGCCGAGGTAGAGGTAAATTGTGTCATACGACAACCAGGAAGCAAAGTTCCTGAATAAACGACACAGCATTATCAGTAGGGACGATATACACATAGACAAATGCATGGGATGCGTACTTGCTATTTGCGCATGACGCCTCTTCTATCAAGTGCATGAGCTTCCGTCGATTCATCGACGAATCATGGAAGATATGACGATGATGGCCATCTGACAACTCGCAAAGCCAATGTCTTTTGCACGCTATTTGGTTTATTATGTAAATATAATAAAACAAATATTTTTTGTAGTAACTAATCTGAAATTGAGTTGTGTTCCAAACCTTCGACAAGTCCTGCTGTGGCTTCCGGTATCCTGCACGTACTTATTCATATGCGACTTGGCGATCCCCAGTCCTTTTCAAAAGCTTCTTCAACTGCCTTCCAGTTCCCGTCCCTCATCGTCATAAGCATCCAATAATTTCCATTTTCATCCTTTCCAAGAATCGGACCGGCATTTCTCGTAGAGTAGCCTTTGCTGTATCCATTTGTGTGGATGTAAGTCGGCCTTCCAACCCTGTTTTCTTTCCCTTTGCCTCTCTTCACCACTGCTGCCGAGAAGTCGATGTCGTGAAATTTTGCTTTTGACCAGTTGCTAAAGACAATCATCAGGCAATCACTGCCTCCATAAATGACGTGTCTTTTGAGGCGCTTGGCCTCATACGCCAATGCTTCTTGCTGAGCGTACGTGCCTTGTTCTATGAGCGATCTACGGACGAGATGGGCGGTGTGGGATAATGGTTTGTCGTAAATTTCTGATAATCGAACGAAACCAAAAACCGCCTGAACACAATTCGAGATATATGGTTTGCCCTCTGGAAGAAGAGGTGATGAGCCATTCGATTGAGGGGAAGCGAGCGTTGACCGCAGACCAAAAGCATTCATCACGACAACAGTGCGATCCTTCTTGCCTTTGAGATACAGAGCAGCATAGCGAGTCCACCAGGCGCAAATAACATCGCCATCAGAGAGGAAGGCTTTTGAATCTTTCGCCTTAACTTCGGAGACCGCTTGAGATTTCATCTTTGCAAGGGTCGAAGCTGGAAGACAGACCAGACGTGAGGTTTCTTTGGGATACAGAACCGCCTCGAGAATATAATTGATGACGAATACAAAGAATCCGAAGCCATTCAAGCTGTAAGGTTTTATTGCAGACTCCTCGACACAAGTCTTTCCGAAATTAGCAAGAGGATCTGAGTCAACGCCTACAAGGTCTGGAACTTCATCAACACGACCGTTAAGACTGAGAATCCATGCTTTGAATAACTCAGCTCGGCCCATAGCATCCAGCAAAGTGTGTGGCCATCCGACAGACACAAGGGTAGCATCGTTGAAGGATACAATGTGAAGCGAAAGCTGAGGTCTATCTTGGTACAAGTAATCGTTAATATGTGTTGGATCTTGTTCATTGTGAGACAAGGAGGACCATTTGGAAGTGCCTGAATATATTGTTGGAACGGCATTGGCGGTAGATTTTGGCAATGATGAAGCTAAGGAGTCTTCTTCAATTGAACATTCTCTTTGGTCATGGGTGTAAGTGAATGCTGGCCGCTTGGAGGAAAACTCCGAGGGAATATGGTATTCTAATTTCCCTTGATCCTGTTACAATGTCAATACTAATAAATAGTAATCGCCATAGTTGGCCACAGTTTCTGCCTCTTTCATGAGTGTAAGCTGGAGTGGGTTACCAACATTTAGGCGAAGTCTTGCTCCAAGCTTTTTCCAATTTCCATGCTCCAGGAGTGTCTCCAAGGAAGAACGAAGCTTCTCAGGATCTAGTATGTCGTCGAAGCGAAGCATTAGATATAAAATAAAGGATTTGTTAACCGAAGTGTCGTCCATAGGATGTAAAGGGAGCACTGTATCGGTCGCGACACGTTCAGGACGAACGAGTTTGCTTTTGAAAACACCCATCTTGCACAAATTCACAAGTCTACCCTCCTATGTACTGGGATCCAGAAGCTTGATATATGAAGTAACAAGCAAGACAAGGAATTCTCGGCATTATATAGCAAAATCCGCGGACATGCAAGGGTAGCAATCCTAAATTCAATACATTGGTTTCCTCGTAAAAAGTGAGAGAGGCAGCCATATGTTGGGCAGCGCAAACCAAACTTCAGGGGTCGGGCTTATGATACCCTTACTAGGGCTGACGGCCCAGAGAGAAGGAGGAGCATCCCCTGTTGTTAGTTATGCATCTGAGAGGCTGACATGTGTAAAAGGGAAGATAAGGTATCCAATCGTAGTAGCAATGTTGGTTCATCGTTTGAAGTGATGTATACGGTGACTAGAGCAGGAAAGCTCAATTTATGAACAGAGCAAGAGTGGCCGTTCCTTGTCCTTACGTCCCCTATCTGGGGTTTGTAGCAACAAAAGGGTTATTTAGTCATTTGACCAAAATGCGGGACACCCGTTCGCAGACTTACGAAATAAACCCTACCAAAAATCCGATCTGAACCAACGGTTGCAAAGCTTACTGTCACCAAAATTCGCATGTCTGTAAACTCACGGCGCAGCACAAAATGCCCCACATCATTCCAAATACAGAATCGGGAGCGTTAAGTAGAAAGCCAATAATATGTCTGCTGCAAAACGTTCTTGAGTTAGGATGTCTTGAACTACGCTGAAGTATCAAGTATATCCCGCTCCAAGAACCAAGTCCATGATTCGTTCCATTGACCACCTGAATTGACCAGCGGCACAAGGAAACAATGCCTTACGAGAAGGGATGAGTTTTCACATTCAAGATAGCTGGGAAACGACAACGTGCGCAGTTACTATAGAATGTAACTTTTGAAGCGCATACAAAGACTCGAAGCGGTGTATTTAAAAAACTTGTTCTCGTCACGCAATAGATACTGATTGCTGACATACTTGTTTACCAACTATCAACAACATATTTAAACATGACTTTGTAAATAAATCAGATTGTCTTAGTGCTACTCGACAGGAATTGACTAGATGTTAAGTCTAGAAATCATTTCACTCGAAATGATTAACTTCTCTGGCATTTTGTTGATGGAAATCTTTGAGTGCCTACCCTTCACAAATCACCACACCTTGAATCATGATATATTAACAAAACAAAGTTCAAAGAGCAAAGAACAGCTTCCCTGCTTTGAGTTTTCTTGAAGTTGTCGTCAGATTTCCTTCGCTTGAGCTCGTAAAATCAACGTTGCAGGTTACACTACAGTAAGACAAGGATGAGCGAGTGTCTTTTGGGTCAATCTGTCCCCATGTATTTAGAAGTTGTGAAGGAAGCTGCGGTTGGACCACTTTTGTTTCTAGTCTACTCTTGGAGAATAAAAATGATCAGAACACACTAATTTTACTTTCTCTTTCAGGTTGAAGCCTACTTAGTTGACGAACTTAACAGCTACCGCTCGGGAACAGTTGGGATGAATTTAACCATTGGAAATTCCGGACCGCAATACCCCGCATTTGGAAGACATTTGTTCAGCGAATTTGCTCGAATTTATCACCTCACAAGATTTGTGTTACTGAACTTCCAAGAATTCTGGTTGGCGTCAGCAACAGTAAAGTTCACCATGAGCATGCACTCAATGTCGCAAGATACCATCTCGATCGAATTACAAGCTCGCTTAATCTTTCTTTGATGTTTCGTATCACCTCCTGAGAAAAGGGGTCCCCACATTATATAGAGGCTGAAAGCAAAGTCACTGCATCCAATGTCTTAAAGTTCACTTGCATAGCCGGCTGCCGAAATGCTTAAAGTATTTTTCCCAGTTTCAAGGCAGCGAGATGCACGCTAGAGAAACCATTAAATTGTATAAAAAGTCACAGCCGGAGGATGTTCTCTTCGTGACTGAGCCTGAAAAGTTAAACATCAAAAAATACAAGCAAATATGAAGTCTGCTTTTACCTCTACCGTACTGGTAGCACTGTTAGCAACCTCCACGACGGCTTTGCCATCTCTTCAAACCAGCACAAAATGTCCAGTCGTCCTTGACGGACGCATCCCAAAGACTTCACCGCCCTCAACATTCGACACGACCTCCTCACCATTCAATCCCAAGTACGTCAAAAGTCAAAACCTAACCTGGGCCCAAATTATCAAATACCCCCACGTCGAGCCCTCCAAATTCGATAAATCAAAAAACTCAATCCCTTTTGAAGTAACAATCTCAGATGCCTCTCTCTTCGTCGCAGGCGGAAAACTTCAACCTGGATTTCGAAGAGCAGGACTTCTCCTGGGAAACGGAAGTGATGCTTCAAATGAAGGAGTTAGAACATTCCACTGGAGTATTCGCCAAGACCCGCGACGTTCTATGAATCTGACGCATGAATACATGAATGTATGGCATGAAGCGGGAGATTACTCTAGCAATCAATGGAGTTTGAATGCTGGTGCGATGTTAGCGCAGGATAAACCCATCGATACGAATGTGTCGACGGTGGGGTTGGATAAGCGGTTGTGGAAAGTTTTGGATAGGAGAAATAACGTGATTTGGACGACGAGGATCGAGAGGGATACGTGGCAGAATTTTGGGATTGTGATGGATATTCCTGCAAAGTATGAATGATTGAATGAAGACGTTTGTGCGAATACTAATATTGGTTATAGTACGCTTCAGGTGCTCTATTCAGAGGACTATGAGCCACTCAGACCGGTTACTAAACCAATTCACAGTGATAACTCTGGTGGCGGCCAATACCAGATCGGGATTCTCAAGAAACCAACTGAGACAGAGACGGTTGTTTTTGATGGCTTTCAAGAAAATAATATTGACGAGGGCCAAATATATGGTGGCATATTTATCGAGGATAGTAGCAAGGGTTGCACATCTCGGTAAGAATTCGTGGTCAGGATGGACTCTGTCTTGGGACTGTCGTACAAGTAATTAGTTATGGAAAACAGGAGGCAAGGTACCAACAATACAACCACAACGGCGTCAGAGCTGTATTACACATTTTCATTGAACTATTTATTCGACCATACCTTGGAACGCCCATTTCGAACTCCATGTAAGTAGGTACATATTTACTCATACAAAGCACTTTCCATTTGGCCTTTATACCTTACATTCCACTATGTACTCTTCTTCTCTTCGAGAGTAAATTGAATAGCGCAATCATCAGAAAAAATCATGGGGTATAGTGCGTTCTCCTCCCACCTTCTTCCTAAAAGTCCAATAATGAAAATCGTCAACTGTATTTCCGTCCCGTTTCAATCGTAATAAACACAAAAATGGCTTGTTGGCGCGGCATTTAAACAGACCATGTCGAAGTAGAATGGTATGGAAAGGCGTGGATACAAGTGACCAGCCGATCAGAGCGCCGAGAACGAACGCAGAAAATGGTAACCCATTATTGGTACTCGCCATGTTATGATCTTGAATGGTGCACATCGTGAAATCTTGAATTATCCAACTTCACGTTTCCAGTTCAGTTTTTCCTTTTTTGAGTACGCCCCCAAGACATCCATGGCAAAGTTTGTGGCTTCGGAAATTGTGGTCCAGGGCCCAACGACATCTGTGACACCAAGCTCAGCCATGACCAATCTAGAAGAATGGTATCGAATCCAGAGCCTGTCTCGCTCCCTGTCGTTGGCTTTTAGCAATTCGAGGGTTTTTGCTTCCCGGTTCATATAACTGATAGACTCCACACCGGAACGTCGTAGCTCCTCCCTTATGAGTGCTCCCAGTGCAGCGGCCAGAGCTTGCAGTATGGGGAAAGCACGGCAATTGCCGTCCATAAACTCCCATAACTTTATCAGAGACTCCCAAGATCCAGAAGAAATTGGGCGCTTCTGCAGCTGCAGCTGTCGCGTTTGAGCATTGAATGCGTTCATATAGACAGTCAGAGCCTCCAGTCCAATGCCCAGGCCTAGTTTTCTTTCAGGATCCGTTATATTATCGCGCTGCTTTAGGTCCTTGAACTTCATTATATCATCCATCTTATGTTTGACCTTTATAGCAAGTCCCGTCAGGCGCCTTTCCTCGGCATGCAGTCTCTCAATCTCGGCACTTTGTACCCGAACCTCACCGTTAGCACGAGGCTTCTCTGCGCTGGCGGGTGTACTGATGGCTGTTCCTTGAGGTGTACGCGCGTGGCCGTCACTGGAATCTACTCGGCGCATCGCAATTGATTTCATCGCATCTCCTCGCTTCGGGGTAGCTAGTAAACTCTTGTCACTTGGATTAGTGGGTGCTGGCGACTTGAAACGAGGTTTGAGTTGAGTAGCGCTTGGTTTTGGGGTTTCCTCTCGTTCTTTCTCCTTCTCTTTTCGCTTAGCTGGCGGATCGGGAGCTCGTACGTCACTAGACTCTGCAGGTCTCTTTTTGCTGGGTGGAGGCGCTGCCTTTGCTTTCGGAACAGTTGCCACTGGGGTGTCTTCTTCGGGGTCTGAGTCTTGACTTGGGACAACAGGGGTATTTTTCTGTGTTCCAAGCCTGACTGCCTCTAGTTTTATAAAATCAGCGGACGGTTTTGCTTTTAGTCTTAGAAGCTGTTCGATTGTCTTTTTTGACGCCTTTTTATATGGAAGCTTTACGATAAGAGACGGCTTGGTCGAAGATCCAGACTTCTCGAGATCCTGCGGCTTACTGGAATCTGCGTTAGTCTTCTTTGGAGGGTGGCCAACTTTCGACTTTATGGTCTTTCGGGCAACACCGGGTGTATCCGGTTGCCGTGCCTTTTCGTGACGCGCCTCAACCGTGTTGAGCGCAGCTGTCTTTTGTTCTGCGGATTTCTGTTGCAAACGAAGAAGCTCTTGCTCTACAATTTCTGGGAGACCTGGCGATAACAATGGCGGCAGAATGAATGGAGGAGACTTCGACTTGGGAGGCGTGGAAAGAGGTGATGTTTGAAGAGTAGAGTCTTTCACGACAATAGTGTCTTGACTCAGATGCTTCGGTTTTGAAGGTGTATTGGAGGAGGAATTTTTAGCTGAATCGAGCTTGCCAGACTTCGCAAACCCAGAGGATGAGACATTGGAAACAGGACCATTATCGAGATCAGCAGGTAGTGGCGATAGGAGTGGAGGGAGGTTATGTGGTTTCTCGGAATTTGGTAGCTCCGACTGTGTTTTGGAATTAGTTTGGTCCGCGAGCTTGGAGTTCTGACCAAGCTTTTTGGTCAAATTCGAAGCCTGTGAGGAGGTTGCTTGTGGTTTTTGAGCCTTTGTTGGAAATGGCTTCGAGTCTGAACGAGGTCTCGTAGAGCTATTTGGTGGTGCTGCGGTAGGGCGCAATTGGTCAACCTTTGTTCGCTTCTCGGCCGGGTTTACAGCGGATTCCAGAGGTCTTTTCTTAGAATCAGTCGCCTGCTTATCTCGACGCGGGGATTGGGGTCGTGGAGGAAGGCCATGTTTCACTAGATGTGCGGCACGCTGTTGATCGTTCTTTGAGACGGAGATGTTTGTTTCTTTGCTTTGAGGAGCACGGCGCGTGGAGTCGATATTACCGTTCATGCTCAGACGAGACTTCTCTTTTCGCTCTTGTGGTACTGAGCGCGGTTCGTTTGGTCTTATGAGCTGCGTTAGCATTCTGCAAGTAGTGGATTTGGAGGGCTACTAACCTCTCTTCACGAGCACCTTTCTCAAATCGGCTTGAGTTGACAGCAGAGCTAACGCCGTTCTGCTTCCCACCTGCCAAGCCCCCTTCCATAGAAGGCACCCGAGACATTGGGGTATCCGTAGACAAAACACTTGTATTTCGTGAGTGGCTTATTTTGCGCTCTGCATCAGCAGCTAGTGGCTTTGGAGAAGGCTTGACTCCTGTCTGCTTCATGTTCTTGTAATCTTTTATGGAATATTTCACAGAAGCTTTCTTTGCGTCTTTATTGAAAGGATTCGGTGTCGGCGTATTGCTGCGTGCATCCGCGCTGGCTGAGGTTGGTCCCAAGAATTCATCCTCCCAATTACCTTTTGCAAGAGCAGTCCCTCTATCAGCGTCGGCGATCAAGGTCATATACTGTAGGGACTGCACTTCCCAGGGTTCGAAGGGGGTGTTTGTGTTTTCGTGCGGAAACCGGGGGAGAAAGGGATTATTGGTGTTGACTAAGAGGAGATGTGGAATCTAGAAGGCTGTTGTCAGTCGGTGTAGAGGGGGCCAGAAAGTGACGAGCTTACATGGGGGAGGTTTGTTTCTCTTAGTTCGTCAATTTCTTTGTTTAAAGATTCAAGGGCGATTTTGTCTTTCGGGTTGATTTTCGAGGCGCCCGATTCGGCCCTCTTACTTTCCATCGCGGCCAACTGAGATTGTGTCGAAGCCAATGATTTGTTTGTTGTGGTGGACTCGTTGGGCGAGATGTTTCCTCGATACTTCGTCACTGTCGCGAGACGGAAAGCCTAGGGCAGTCGCGAATAAAAATGCGACTCGGCTGCGCATTCACAGCTAATACGCGCCGATGTGTGAAGTAGCTAGTAGCCACTTCTCGGGTAGTTCGTGTGGTATCTCTGGTGTTCGATCGTGCAAGCTCTTGTTCCTCAGATCAAGGGCAGCTCATTGTCGCAAACCGCGGCCTCCAACCCATGCAGCATCCAGCGCGCCCTCATAGAAGCATGTGCGAGGAGCCTCAGCTGCAGAATCTCCAAGTCGCATCAATTTGACGCGGGCGGCAGTTGTGATGAAAACAAATCGTCGATCGGGTATTTGGCTGGCGTTGGTGTTGCGCGGGGGTTGATTGATACGGTTGTGGTGATTGCTTCGGATAGAGTTCCTGCGCTGGATGGGAATTGTGGCTGCGCTGAGACGTGGATTGGGAGCGGGAGGGGATGATCAGAGGCAGAGGCCCACAAAAACGATAGACGCGAGAGACGCGCAGGATCCACCGGGGGTGGGCTTGGGCTTCTGCTGGTTGGGTCTGGTCTGGATCTGGAGTCTGCTCTAGAATAGTCCGGACCGGTTTTAGTTCTTCGGGGTTACGAGTACCATCCTTTCAAAGACTTCTCGTCATAACGCACGCTTGCAGCGGTGCTCGCGAAAGGTACCATCAGGCTTTCTTTACTTTAAACACTGTACTGTACAATGTGTCATGGAAGTAAGGCCGAATTGGGCAATTGCTGCATAAATACAAAAGTCACGTGGATTGCTCCATCAAGAGTATCCTGTACAAGTCATTCTCTATGTTCTCGTGTCTCTTTTGAGACCTCCTCCAGAATCGTGATGAATGCCGTTGCCAGTATCTTCATCCGATAAACTAGGCCTCTCCGCTATATATGTTGCGGCCCAACATTTTTCCAATCAATGTACTGCCTACCTCGGTATGCATATGCTGTGAATTCCCCCACCCAAACAAGAACCGCAAATGCCCTTTGATACGCCATGCTAAAAAGAAAACGCCCTTTATGATACAGTCACAGATTCAATATCAAAACAATGGTCACATAACCACTTCTTTCTTATTTCGCGGCCAGATTTCGCAGCGCACTGGCGGTGATAGAAACGCCCGGGACAATTCTAGCAGCAGCTTGTCAGCGACATCATGAGATAAGGTGAGCAGTAGCAAGAAAGGAGCAGCTTACATTAGTAGCTTTGCCCCGGCATGGCACACCACTAGCAGCAAGAGCTACACGCTGTCCACAAACGCAATCCAATTCACCTCGAGGTTTTGGTGGCAGCTCATCATCAATGTCGATATCCATTTTCGTGGCAAGTCTGTTTTTTTCCACCTTCAACCTAGCTAGAAGTTCATCGAGGTGACCTTCAGTAATGTCACCTCGGAGGATGAATGTCTCGCATTGCTTGACAAACTCGGCTTTTCTCGAGTCTTTCTCAACTAACCATGTTTTGTGCTTCTCCATGAATTCCGCGATAGCTTGTGGTAGATATGTACGAGTACTATATTGCTTCTGGGTGATAAAGGGATTCCAGCGGTTTATGTACTCCTTTTCTTCAAATCCAATATCGCTGAAGTCATAGATGATATCGCGATGTTTATGTTCAAGCCAGGCTTCATCTTTCTCCTCATCACTGCTCGAAAGGTCATCCCCTGGTCGCAGAGCCTTCTTTGTGATCGTGTGAAATAAAGGTTTTCGGGTCTTAGGAACCTTTACTGCCTTTCGTGATGTAATGGTCATCTTTATCGGCTCCAAAATTGTTTGCCCGTCTGAATAATGGGAGGTGTCCGGCGAAGACCTCAGGGAATCGCCTGATGATGAAGAAGATGAAGCTTCAATGATTTTGTTACTCGACTCGTGAGCTCTTAAGTTGTGTTGTGGACCTTGTCGGCTTTTCACCCAAGTTTTGTCACCACTGAGATATTTCTCCAAATCAAAGAGGGTCAATGGTTTCCCGAGCTGAATGCCTTTTTGTGATTCACCGTGCGAGGTTGTATAGTTGGAGACCAGTTCTACGAAGAAACTGATCCGTAGCGGATTTGAACGACGCAAAGAGAATTTGAATTTGCTATGCTCATTACACAAATGTAATCTCAGCTGCTGGAGGTTTTGGTTTGAGCAAGCACAGAAAGGACAACTAAGCCCAAAAACGACGTTACAAGGTCGAACCTGGGCGTCGGCAGCGTCGGCCTTCCCAAAATTATAAGAAACTGTCAATCCATCCCTGTTTTCTTGCTCCGAGCCATCCTTCGGATGTGTTTTTGTTTGTTGTTTTCTTGGTGAACGTCCTTGAGCCTGAGCACTTAGCGTTTTCAGGTTGTATGTTGCCACTTCTGGGCGGTGCCGTTGAGAACGAACATTAGGGCTATCTGGCGTGGTAGTCTGCTCGAATTTTCGTTTTCTTGATGGAGTCGTAAAGCCGTCTTCTGGGACAGCGGTGATAGTCTCCTCTCGCTTGGGTGATACCTTCTGCGATTCGATCGCTTTATGACTGGCTAGTGTATTTGCCTGTGACCATGAAATGTCTAGCTGTAGTTCATAGCTGGTCCTCTTTTTCTCACCGAGCAGAGTTGAAGTAAGTGGTAGAGCTCGGGACTGGTCAAAGACTCCAAATATACTTGCTGTGTTGCTGTAAAGACTAGTCTCTGTCGCTACTCCATCAAGGGAAGGTTGCAGATCGAGCCCTGGCCAGTACTTATTGAAACCGACAGGTTCAATATTGATCTGGAGCCTGTAGCTATCTGCAAAATCAGGCGTGGTCTCTAGATACTTTCCATATCCCTGGATGCCCTTGTTTCTGCTGCTTCCTAGTTTTCGATTGACGTAAAAGTCTTTAGTTGAGAAGACAAACGGCCTATCTTCCGGTCCCAGGAACTGCCTCTCAATTTTTCCATCTCTGTCAATAGCAAGACGCAACGTGTATCGATGAACATGCCGGCACTTGAGATCAAAGTCCCTGCCTTCATTGCGCCAAAATATGGAGACATAACAATCGCATTCAATATCAACAGGATTATTTGATATTATAGAGTCCAGGGACTCACGACTGTCAGCCTCTTCGGAGCTTATGATGCCCAAAAGATCGATTTTCAGCGCCCGCTCAAAATTGGTAAGATGACTGGGTACTGGTCTTTGAGCAGGAGTCCCTGTGTACACTTTGCGTACATGGGTTTTAGCGTCCACTTTTTTTGATCCAACCACTATCGGCTTGCCATAGAAGTTCACAGGATCGATTCCGTTTGATCGATGGAGAGCCTTGGGATATGTCCTGCTCTCGTTACTGACTTGCCCCAGAGGCTGCCGACAATAATTATTGTCCTCATCTGTTGAAATCTCAGTTCTCCTCCGCTTGGCCGGTGGGATAATTTCTTGCAGAATGGTATGATGACCATCGGGTGGCATTGCACTCCCATGCACCTTGGGAGCCCGGATTGAAGGGCTAAGTATAGAAAGCGTTGAACCCATTTGCATTAGTGAAAAGAGTGTTTTCCGAACATTTCTCCGCAAGAACGGCGGATGGATCGATTTGGCGTAAGTAAGGTAAAGAATGGAAGCACCTGCTTCAGCAGAGCTTGTACTCATTGCTCATGGTTTTGATGCAGGCGCATCCGCCTAACGCATATGAAGGCGCATGTCCCAATCGACAAATCAAGTGACCGTACCTTTATATCAATATCATGCATTCGGCCGCCCCAAGACAAGAAGTAAACTTCTTCTCGGATTCGATCTGGTAGGATGTGGTGAGTCGCAAATGCGAGGATTAAACAACGCGTGAAAGCGCGTCCGTCGGAGAGAAGTCAAGTTATATGGTGAGCGGGATTATATATAGTGTATTTTCTCTGAGAGAAAAAACCGCTGATTAGATTTCGGGGAGAAGGTCGTGTTTTTAACGGCTCGATAGGATACGAAGCATACAGAACTCGGAGAGTCGTTGTTGATATGTGAGGGAAACCAAAATTTATCGCGTAGCCTGTGCCTCCAACGTGGAAACGACCGGGATTATGGACTATGTCGGACAGATTCTCAAGAGACCTGTTCCACATTGGATGGTGTTTGCCTTAAAAGGTAAGGCGTCGTTGAAGTAGAAGCAGGGACTAAAGTGGAGCATCTCGATAAGAAGTCTTATCGCAAGGCTGACGTTTTAGCTCAGATTTTAATCGGCCTTTGTTAAAGTAGTGATTCACTTGCGCTGCTGCTGCACCTCGTCGACTGCAAACATTTGATGCGCGGATTCACTTTTCCTCCCGACCAGAACAAGTCTAGCTTTACCATATGTTTTGACATATCTCTTCAACAAGCGCTAGAGTACACATCACTGCAGTTCAACCTCAAACCAACCTCGGAGGCCAATCAACGACCTCCATGGCTTCCGCTTCGCGCAGATCGGCTCACCATGCGCCTCGTGCAACCAGAGCGAAACCTACCATTTCTTACGCCGAACCATCGTCCTCCTCTTCCGATGATGATGATGATGATGATTCCGAAGAAGAAAGCGCAGACTCGAATCACAGATCGAACACTAGGCGCAGTCCTAGGAAAAGGCAAACCCACCATCATGAACGACCCAGCCGGTTGCGACAGTTTCGAGAGCAGCAACCTTCGGAGGACGAACCACAACAACTGCAACAGCCTGCCCTGAAGAAACAAAAACGATCCAGAACCACGTCCGCGAGAGTAACGAGATCTTCAAAACCTAAAAAGCGGTCCAAGACTTCAAGGCCAGCAGATGCAATTTCGTGGAACACCGTTATCCCCTCCGGCGTCATTCCACCATGGCAGACACTTCCATATCAAGTCCTGCTTCAGATCTTTGAATATACCGCAGGTCCTTTATACGACATCAACTCATTCCAACCGTCACTCTCACAGCGATTACTTTTGGACATGTCAAGAATGTGTCGCGCCTTTGCTGAACCAGCGCTGACTGTGCTTTATAAGTCACCGCTGTTGATTCCAATGATCCACGCGCACCAGTTGGTCGATGCTATCAAAGCAGATCCAGCGTCTCGCTCTCTCAACTACAGACGTAAGATCAAGTCACTTTGCATAAATGTCGGTCAAGTCGCTGCATATACACTTCCAGGATATGGGCTTCTTGATCTTTACAGCCTGATCAAAGACTTGCCTCTTCTGGCGGACCTGGAACTGTACCACCAAAAAGACATGTCACCGTTCAGAGATTTGGAGTCAACCATCAAATGGACGTATCCTCAAAATATATTCGATGCATTGGAGTACTTCGATCAAGATGCGGATGCATCGAAAGGAGAAAAGACAAGCGTTTGCAGATTACGAAGTTGGCGGTGGTCCTCTAGACTCGCAGGAAAGACATGGCCAATTGACAAGCTTATCAAGGTACATCTTAAACCATCATTCTCTGGACTTCGGAAGCTGGCTATTGTGAATTACCAAATACCAAACTCCAGCAAGAATGAGGAGGACCCAGGACATGAGATCATCCTCGCGGATTCATTGAAGCCATTAAAGAATCTGGATCATCTGATCCTTGAGTCATCAACCCTGGTTAACAGCAAGTTACTTCCAATGCTACCTAAAACCCTCCGCCGTCTAGAGATCACAAATTGTTGGGAGGTGAACGCAGAGGACCTTGCAGGATTTCTTAGTACACATGGCCGTCTGCTTCAAGAGCTTACGTTAAACCACAACACCTCTTTGAGCATCTCGTTTTTAACAGTCCTCGGCACAGCTTGCCCTGACCTCGAAGTTTTCAGAATGAATCTCACCTACTATAACATACATGCCACTTATCACGATTCCGAACCTGCTTTCGAACAATTGTTGTATCCGGGAGAATTACCAACCTGGCCTTCGAAGCTACAGCTCATCGAGCTCATTCAATTGCGTAAATGGGAAACCGAGGCAGCGGAAATGTTCTTTCAAAGCCTACTGGACAGTGCCGCCACGCTTCGTGATCTTCGACATTTGACTGTCCAAGCTATCTTGAATATTGGCTGGCGGGATCGCGCTTCATTTCGAGATAAGTGGTTAGGAGATATTGAACGGGTATTCAAGCGAGTTACAACTTCTCCGAGAAACCATGCTACCATCAAACCTCGACTAAGCACAATACCTAGCACTGTTAGCATTCCAGAAGTAGCCATCCCAGTCCGGGAAACAAAGGCGAACGTTAGCCAGCGACCATCCAGCGTGTCAAGTCCAAGTTCTGTCAATAACTCACTCTCCCAAGAAGTAACGTCGACTCGTCGCTCACAACGCTCCCGTGCTCAACCGACGAAACCCAATGTTTACGTCGAAAGTTCAGACACCTCTGACGACGAAAAACAAGAGGATGTTCCTTTCGCGCCCAAAGATAGTACACGCCGTGGGAACGTGCTATCGCGCGAACTCAACATCCTCAAGCAAACTGCTGGAATTGATAGTCCGTTTGCCTGGCCATCATCTCCTGGAAATAGTGAGAACAAGTCTTCGGATAGCGACGATGCACCGCTTCGACTTAAAAGTAAGAATGTCGATGCACAAGTTATACAGGGAATGTGTGAGGTAGTCGATCTCAGAATTGACAATCTGAGACCTGCCGAGAGACAAGTCACCGAAGCTGATTTTCTCGACGAGGAAGCACCTGGAGATGATGATTGGAATGGCGAGGATATTGATGAATAGCACGTATGCATGGTGATGAGGGGTTCAAGACATCACTGGGAATTACTTCATTTTCTTTCAAATTATTTGTCTTACTATCAATGATATAGGCGCGTGGATATTACAAGGTGTACAGGTTTGCGGATTACAGGACACAAGACGGGAAATACTTGTATTATGAATATGCATTGGGCGGATTTTATGACCCTGGATGGATAAACATGTCTGCGACAATTAAGGAAACAGGATTTCCCGGAAAAGGCATCGAGGGCGTTGGTCTTAAAAGGCTGTGTGGATAGGGAACAGTCCATATTATATGTGTATCATAGTACGAAATGAGATAATTTGTATTCTACATCGCATTGTTTTTCAATGTAAACAAAGTGAGAAGACACCGATTTCAAACATGTATCTATCTTCAACCATCATTCATGCTCGTCTTTATCTATACCTAGGTACTTATCTATCATACACCAGCAACTCCACAATATCCAAACGCGCGAACAGCATTAGCGGCTACGCTCTCTAGAAACGCCTTCCAATGGAATCTATATAATCATTCAATCCCATAAACAATAACGGGTCTGGTATGGTACATTACGTCCCCAATCTCAGAGCCTGCTTATACAAAGTTCCCCTATCCCATCCCAATACTCCCAACGACGCTAATTTACAGAAAGCTTATTCTCCTTCACGTTAATCAGACTACTTTCCCTCGGTCTCCATGTTTCTTCCTGTCTCGTTCCCGGCGGAAGCCAGGATGCATTACTCGTGCCGCGAGCGCGGCCGCCTCGACCGGGTGGATCGTCGGATCTCTTGTCGTCGGAGGGGATGGAGTGGGAGAGGGCGTAGCCGTTTGAGAAGCCACGGATGTTGGAGGTGGCAGTGGGGGACTCGAAGATGACGCTTTGATTACGACTTGAGGAGGTATTGGACGTTGGGAGGAGGGACTCAGATTTTATGTTTAGGTTTGCGGCTTTGCGGTCTGCTTTTTTGTTGTTTTCGTTGGTGCGGTCGTAGAGGTAGAGCCCAAAGAAGGTTAGGGCGATGCCGAGACCTTGGATTTTGGTGGTGGGGTTTTGAAACCAGATTATGGCTATTACGACGACAAAGACTCGCTTAATTAAGGAGGCGACGGAATATGTGACTGGAGACACCATGGAGAGGAGGACAAAGGCTATGATGTTTTGTCCGAAATGGAATGTTCCATTGAAGATGAATTCAAGTGCTAGACGACCGTGGTCGAAAGTACCTTTCTTTTGAGTAAGATCCACGGTTCCCGAGGAGAGGAAATCGAGAATAAGCGTCAATCCTTCCGACCAGAACCAGATTGGAGCTGTTAGAAGGAACGCCATTCCAGACGAATAGCATAAGAGATTAAGTTTATCCAATTTCTTTGTATGCGTATGTTGACCAGCAGCCTCTGCTGCGGCTGCTTCATTGAAGAGGCGTTTCGAGAATATGTTCTGAGTAACAAAGATAATCGCGGCGAGGAAGGCATAAAGAATGCCAAATATATTGCCTTTAAACTCGGCAGAGCATGCCAGCATTACACCCAAGGTAAGAGGGATAAGAGAAAGATACGTCGTAAGAGGGTAGCGAATGTCGAATATAAGACGATAGGCGAAGACTGTGAAGAGCGGAGAAAGTCCTTTAATAGTATGTACTAGAGATACGGGAATTTTGGCGGTGGCCGTGGAAGAGAGTAGATGTCCTCCGATTTGAAATGCGGCCAAGGGCATAGTTGTTACAATTACTTCGCGTGTAGGATATCGTATGCCGTGTCTTAAAGCAGGTACTGAACTTTTCAGATTTGGAAATACCGTCGACAGCCAGGAGAAGAAGAGGCAGAATGATGCGACAAATGCGAATTGGATCATTGTGAGAGTCGCCGGCTTGGGGAAAGCATTAAGAATGGATTTAGAAGACGTATTCGTAAGTGCGCTCGAGAGATACCAGATAATACAAAGAATCTGCACATTTCACAATCAATCAGTATTGTATTTGTATTCTGACTGGGAGGATTACGAACAACTAATTTGGGCGAGACAGGTGCTTTCAACGCATCGCCTATCTCATGAACATTTGCGCTCACACTCCCTCCTCTCCCTCGTATCGTCCTGAAAGCATCGCTCAAGCTCTTTTGTCTATCATGTCCTCTGCCTCCTGTACTCGTTGATCCATTGCCCCAAGCGCTTCCTCGTACACCACTATCTCTTCGCGGCTGCCACCGGTCGAGAGATGGCGCGCCATTTGAATACCCGTTCCCATTACGCGTTGGGCTTGCAGAATACTTGTATGACGATTGCGCATCTGTGGGCTCTACGTGGTCCGGGAACTGTTCCATCGATGATCGCATATTTGTCTTGGTCGTGTCGCCCGGAAATTTAAAATTCGAGACCCGGGTCGCCGAGGATGCTCGCGTCGAGTGAGGCATAGTAGTTGTGGAGTTTCAACGATACGGCTGTCGAACTGGCGACATATTGGAAGATTGATATGGTCCAGATATGTTACGATGTCAGTGGTGGGGCTTCTGTATAGTCTCGAGTTGTTCTCCTGACTTGAGAAGTTGAGGTTATCTGGATAATCTTCGGGTATTTCCTGACGCTAAGCTCTATTCATAGATTCCACGGCAGCTTTCACCCATCTTCCCATCGCCGATTTTCCAACCCCAAAAACCTTTCCTCACTATTCATTCTTGCTGTTTGATACAACTTATAAGAAAGAGAACAACATTCTACCTTGAGCTAAAATAAACTTAGTTCAACCCCTGTTTCCACATATTTCCAAACTTCCAACGTCATACCACAGCCCCTACGCCTTCGATATTACCGGGCTCAAAGCTGTGGTGTGGGTAACATTTTGACCGTGGGATAAACCCGTCCTCTTGATAGCATTGGTCAGCATCATACAGTATAACGTGCGGGTACCCATAGTTTATCAAGCTTGCAGGGCCGCAGATTTACCTTTCTCCGGGTTTACTCATTGTTTTTGTTGTTTCTCCTTGGAATTGCTCGGTGTTGTACGTTGAACTTGCGATTGCGGATTTTGAGCTGAGCATTCTCGGTCAAGATGGTAGTGGACGCAATGAGTGCAAGTGTAATTGTGACTCTGTGGTTGGTTGATACCTGGAGACAAGGCTCAGGTCGTACGGCATGAAAATCAAGTGGTTTTGTATGGCCTGTTGGTGACTGTTTCTCGGATGATTTGCTGTAGATGTGGTAAAGTTTTTATGGTGGAACCGTACCTACTGCAATGCTGCACTGATATCTATCTTACCTCCTAACATGGATACGGGGCAATGCGGAATCTGTAAATGATATAAGACTTTACCTATCTCGTTCATCATTAAGAATCTTTCTCTTCATCATCATCATCATCATCATCATTATCCTCATCCTCATCTGCACTTTCTCATTCCCAAATCACTCAGTCATCCCGTCTAGCAGAGTCTTATATCACCTCCAGCAAAGCAACATCCACAATGGAACACATATCTGCCTCGTCCCTGAATTCTCTTCCGGAGCGAATCGCCTACCTTTCATCCTTTTTATCACTCACATCCTCGGACACAGAAGCACTTCTTGCGGCCAAACCACTTATCGCTCCACTGATACCCACAATTCTAGATGCTGTGTATACTAAGCTATTAAGCTACGATATCACCGCTCAAGCATTTGTGCCGAAGAGTAAGTACTCTCTTATATTCAATATGACAGGAGAAGTGCTGTCACATCTCGGAGTAGTTTGGAAGAGTGATTACGAAAGTCCGGAACAATTCTCGTCAAGTCAAACAGATGCTAACCACTTTTGAAAATAGACACAGATTATGAGGGTGAAACGGTGAAAAATGTGCAGGAATTGACTATGGAGCATCCTCAGATCGCCTTGAGGAAGGATTTCTTGAAGGCAAGATCCAATCAACTTCTTGCTCCAATCAGATTCCCTCTCTCTATTCAGTACAAGAGCTTGAGAGGGACGAGTGTGTCACACTTTGGATCTCCAAGTCCTAGTCTCATAGAAAAGTGATTTTTGAAAACTATCTGAGAGTTCCCAATTCATGCATCCAGATATATTGCAGAAAGGACGTCAAAGACCTTCACTCAAACATGAGAGTGGCTCTTGGTTTTTCCTATTTCCCTAACTCAGCATTATCTTATTGCACAATTCTTCTCACTCACATCACAACCCCAACCCCAAAAGCACCAGAAAACTAACACCCACCCAGAACTACCTCGTCCGACTCGTCAGCACCCCCGATTTATCCCCCACCTCCTCCTTCTGGACCTGTACGTCCCCTTCTATCCCCCCTTTTAACGCTCAAACTAACTACCCCAGACCTCAACAATGTTGGCATCCTCCACACCGGCCGCCCCGGCTTCAAACACCGGCAAAACCGTCCAGAACTACACGTCGCATACATCCACATGTCTGTGCTCCTGGGCTACGTGACTGATATCGTGATTGGCGCTGTTCTTGGGCTGGAGGGTGTGGACCTCGAGATGAAGGGGAGGGTGTTGAGGGCTGTTAATAAAGTTATTGTGAGTTAAAAATCTGGGGTGGGAATGGGGGTGTGAAAGGGGTTAGGAATGAGGCTAATGAGTTGCTGGCAGTGGATTCAAAATGATCTTATGGCTAGACATTATATTCCTGGTTCTGGGGATCAGGAGACGGATGTTAAGCTGTCCATGGGAGGTGAGGGTGGTGGATGTCCTTTTAAGGGGTAGGTGTGATTTAGTCAGACGATGGGTGGGTGTTAGGTTTTTTGAACGGGTGCGATTGAGGTGCTTTGGAAAGGAGTTTTGGGAATATCCACTTTTGCTTGTTGAGTTTCATGATGACAATGTCAGAGTATTGTCGCGTAATTGAACTTCTTATGCTAGAGTGTTTCTGAAGTGTGTCTATCTTTGAAGCTCATGGTTGTCCTTTGAAGGTGCCCGTACGTGTCTCTACTCGAGCTAGGTTGCTGGAGCATCGGTCTAATGATCAAAGACGATGCGATATTTTATGTCTCTCATAATTTTGCGTTGAAGTGATTCTAAGGCATGTCTATCTTTGAATCTCATTATCGCCCTTCAGAGGTGTATATCTTGACACCGACGAGACCGATGTTTCTGACGCTCAAAATTCCTTATGATCAACTTACTAAATTTTTTAAACCCTTCGTGTAAGATTGCTCTCTACCAAGAAAATCTTTCTACCCCTTCTATGCCTCTTGTACTTCACCTCAACAGCACTCTATGTCGCTCTAGTTATTAGCAGCCCACTCCCTATACCACTCCAAACACTCGGCGTTCGCCACACTCGCACTAGTCTTAACGTTCATCCCGCACAGAATCTGTTTCACGGCGACCTCAACCCTATAAAAGTCAGCTTGTCCTCATTCCCATACCCTCAAGCTTAACTACAAAAAGGAAATAGGAGCAACTCACTTCTTCCCATTCGTCGTAACCGGAATCTCCACACACTCCACCACAACCCCGGGCACATGTCTCGCGCTCAACTCCTTCCTTACTACCGCCTTCACCCTCTCTCTCACCCCCTCATCCAGCGCTCCACCAACCACCATCTTCAAAAACAACACCACGGTCTCATCATCATCGCCTTCGCGCCTCCGGCCAATACACAACGCGTCTTCGACCTCGGCCCCAAAGAACTTAAGCAGAACGTTGTAGATCTCCGCGCTGCCAAAACGCACACCGCTCGGTTTCAAAATCCCGTCAGAACGACCTAACATCACCATCCCCCCCGTGACGGGATTAAAGCGGATGAAATCACCATGATGCCACGCCCCCTCGAAGGTCTCAAAATACGATTCTTTGTATTTCTGCGCCCCGGATGGACCGTAGAACGTGACGGGCTGGCTGGGGAAGGGTTTCGTGCAGACTAAATCCCCTGGGGTACCGTCCGTGATGGTCTGGCCGTCGGGCGTGTAGGCGAGGATGGCCATGCCGAGTCCTTTCTGCTGGATCTCGCCGCTGAAGACGGGGGTGAGGGGGCAGGGCGCGCCGAAGAGGGAGATGATGTCTGTGCCGCCGGTGATGGAGGCAGTTTGGACGTGTGATCCGAAGGCGGTGGTGATGTAGGTGAAGGTGCTGGGGGCGAGAGGGGAGCCGGTACTATAGATTGTTTTGAGAGTACTTAAATCGAGGCCGGCGGTTTTGGGGAACACGTTCTTTTGTTCGAGGACGCTAAGGTATTTGGCGGATGTGCCGAAGTGTTTGATGCGGAGGGAGTCGATTAGTTTGGGCATGGTGAGAGGACCATGGGGGTTGAAGGGAGAACCGTCGTAGAGGATCAGCGTTGCGCCGACTGAGAGGCCTGAGATAAGCCAGTGCCACATCATCCAGGTTGTGGTTGTGAAGTAGAAGAGGCGGTCACCAGGGAGGACATCGCCGTGGATGATGTGCTCTTTCTTGTGTTGGATGAGTGTGCCACCGCTGGAGTGGACGATACATTTTGGTTTTCCGGTTGTGCCGCTGCTGTAGAGGATGTAGGCCGGGTGACTTGCTGAGAATTTTGGGAATTGTATTGGTTCTTCTGATGAAGAGGAACTGCAGAATGGTTAGTATACATTGGCTTGGTACAAGTGTGGTGGTTTCGACTTACCGACTAAGAAATTCATCATAACTGTAAGGAGAGCCATTGGGTGGTTTCAGAGAAGGGATTTGTGCTTGTATGTCGGTACCAGGAATAGCCTCGAAGACCACCAGTGCTTCCAATCTGGGCAATGCCGCTACAATCTCTCTGACCTTTTCCGTTGTCGTATGAGTCTTGCCGTTATATAGAGAAGCATTATCTGCAAATAAAACTTTAGGTTCGATTTGTTGTAATCGATCCAGCACAGCTCCTACTCCGGTATCAGGAGATACTGCTGTCCAGATAGCTCCGAGCGAGGTGGTGGCCAATGCCGCGACCACGGCGTTTGTGTTGTGGCCAATAAATCCAGCTACACGATCAAGTGGTAGTATTCCTTGGTGTTTTAAAGCTCTCTGGCATTCCGCAACCTGTTTCCGTAGTTGACTCCACGTCACCTTGTTTGTAGTATTCTCGGTGACTGAAATGATGGCAAGGTCGTCATCCTTGACAGATCCAGCAGGATGTAGAGGGTAGAGAAGATTTTCGGCAAAGTTGAGTTCGATGTTGGGAAAGAAATCTGGGCGAGGGTACATTGGTGCATTTTTAAGGAGTACCTGAGGCAATTAGCATGATGTTGGCTTGCATGATTAGAACTAGGTGGACAGCTAGTTTCCAGATGGTAGAAGTATCTGAGCGAGGGAAATATCCATTAGATACATGTATGGTTCATCAGTTAAATTGCAAATTGAATTTGTGTTATGTTACAAAAGTGTGAAGTAAAGTAGAGCTCATCTGATCACGGATACGTATCATACAGCAAGACGAGAATAATCGCTAATAATAGCGAGAATATAGAAGGAAACCTGCGCGGCAGAGGTAACTTGATGCAATTTGTAGGAATGATATATAGAAAAGATAACATCACGTGTGTCAGAACAAATGCTCACTCACCTCGTCGAACAACTCTTCACTCGCCGGCCCCCTCTTCTCACTATATTCCCCATTCTCCGCAATATCCAACTTCCTCCTCTTCGCATCCGATGCATCCTCCTCCCCTTTCCTCCTCCCAGCATGTAATCCCGTAAACAAAGCAACCTCCCTCCAAAACTCGGGCACATTCTCAATCGACCAATCATACAAACCCTGATATCCATCCAACTTCACATCATATTTCTTCTCCACCCTTACCTTGAACAACCACATCTGGGTAGTTTCCGGCGCGGGATGCGTCCATAACTGAATCGGTTGTGTCGGGATCGGGTCGCCCATGCTGGCGTCTGAGGTTTGGATATGATGAAATAGTCTCGGATCGGATGGGAGGATTGTCATTGGAGATATGTGTATTACTATGTATGAGGATAAGCTTAAAATCGGCGTGAGGTTGAAAGGGTGGACTTTTGTGGCGGGGAAGTTGCGGAATCGTCCCGAGGTTTTAGTGGGGGGAGGTGATTGGTCAATGGCTGGTGTCGGAAGCGGATTGGGAGGGCAACCATGATTCTGACAGTTCTGGAAGTATGGGGATTTCAGCCAGAGGGTCGAGTAGTTTGTTTGCCTAATCGATACAGTAGATCTAAGCCGCTCCTTAAAGGGTATTTAAATGACGTTGTGAACGATAGTGTAAAGGAACCGTTGGAACGGAGGTAGTGGTCGTAAAGTCATTGATTACTGACGGCACTTGGCTGATGGTCGCCTGAGTCTGACCACACTGCTTATCAAAATTATTCTTACCGCATCCAGACTCATTGCTAGACTTGAAAACATACCCAAATGGAAAAGGAGAGGTTCGATTAGACGTTGAAACAAATTCCTCAAAATCCTGATTCTCAGGACTTTGTCTTTCCTCTCTTGATCGAAGCCGAGGCGTTCGCTCGGCGTCTAGTTCTCAGTCTCGAAGGGTCTGAAGAATCGCAATGCCGAGAACAGCGCGTTTCCACGTGAGCAGAAGGAACCTGGAAGCTACTTCGAAGTAAATGGATTTTCGACCTGCATAAGCTTACCTGGGTAGGTGCCTAGGTAATGCAGAAAAATTATGTACAGCACAGTAGTCGACTGACTAACGACCGATGAGATCATTCTTCAAGCAGCCGCGGGAGTTGCTGGTTGAGTTCCATTAGCACTGCACTTTAACTAGAGTTTGTTGTTATTGACAACATCCATCTCCATCATAGAAACGTTTGTGGCATCGGTAAAGGCTATCACGTATCGAGTTCCGGCGACAGGACAAGAGTGCAGAAAGCCACGAGAGTGTGGAACGACCAAGGAGAGACCTGCGAGGGCGAGGCTGTGACTTTCGTAAAATTCCTGGCGATCTGGCGGTTCAGCAAATCATTTGTTTCATGTTGATCACGGTAATTTGGGTGAAGCTTTTCATAACCAAAATCTGATCACGTTTCTTGCATCCGCCTGTCAAATTGTGCTTAAGATGAAAAATTATACTTGTGAGTTATTCTGACTGGTGAGATCTCGATCTCGATTCTCGAAACAGCCCTATCCGCTGATTCGCCTCGGTAGCAAAGCTTCAGCCCCTTTCCGTTTTCTGAGCTTCACATTGGACAATTACCAAAGCCGAAAGTCCGAGAGGTGAGGTGCGAGGCTGAAACGAATGAGAGCCTACGACAATTCTGGCATGAGGTTTGTTCCGAGTGCGAGTCAGCGAGATCGTTGCTGCACCAGCTGCAAAAGGGGAGAGGAGATGCAAATCATAGACGGGTTTTACACATGTTGGCGGCCGTGTAACTCGATGATTCGTACGGTGCGAGCTGTGATGAAAAGGAGGACCAAAGAGATAAGCAATAATCGACGATCAATCGAGTCAAGCGATGACTTTGCGATAGAACTGCAGAACCTGCGTGACACGCGATGGCATGCTTCTGCTCGTCCCATTCCGAGCTCTCCGGTGTTCTGTAAACGCCGAAAGTCAAGCTCCCCCGTCCATCAGACTCCTTCCGACTCAATCTGCGTGCATCGCAATCTTAATCGCACCAAGCCCACCCACCACCACCCCCGTCATCACCCCCCAGCGCCCAGTCCAGCCATCCGTGCTCCCTCACTCGCGCGCCGTGCTGACTGTTGGGCCAAACTCCCAGGCGTTCCGAGAGCTCCATCAAAATTGCTCTGCTCCCACCACCTTCTCCTGATCTCTTCTTCCTCTCCCTCCTCCTCTTGCGAACTTGCCTCTGTCTCAAATTCGACCTGCTACCGCTTTGTTGCGACAGCATAACTCGAGTAGGTGTGAGCTTCCGTACCTGGATTTCCTTCAAGGTTGCCTTCAAAGCTCATTCGACGCTTGCAGAAAAGACCGATATTAGTGCAACCGCTTTTCTGTGGTGCCACTTACCCGCCTGTCGTCAAGTCGAAATCAATTTCTCCCCTAAATCAGAGACGCGCCTGCCGTGGGATTGCAAGTGTGAGATCCTTTCTACGTCGCAATTCGAAAGATCACAGCTCGATATCCATTCTTGGTATGTACATTCTCTCGTTTTCCCCTAAGAATACTCTTGATGCGAAGCCTTTGCTCCCGCAGTTGGACGGGCAGCTTTGCAGCTGTCATTGATCGCCCAAACAAAACTTTGGGTACAGCATGGTCCAATTTGCCACAACCTTTGCGAATTTACTTTTCGTCAATTGACGAGTGTGTACAAGAGGATATCTTGCTGACTTTGTCTCTCTGCTCACAGCCCCAGTCCGCCACGGTTCAATAGCCCAACCTCACCGCTGCCTCCTCGATTCATCTCTGCGCCTCATTGGTTACGCCAGTCGAATATTTCCCTCCACCGCGATCGCATATTCGTATAGCATTGCTTAGACCCGATTAGACATATTCGAGGTCAAGTCCAGCAGACATTTCCTCCCTGCATTGAGCAGCAGATTTTGATATTGTTCAACATGCCTCAAAGACTCCCACGAAACCCTTTTGCCAGTTCTACCACAAGTGCGGTTGCCATACCGCCAACAGACAAGGTCTCTCCCCGAAGACCGTCGACGTCCAAGGGAAACCGATTGACTCAATTCTTCTCATCTTCGCCCAAGAGCAAAGAGCAGCAATCGGCACAAGAGGCACTTCTCGCTGCCGTTGCAGCACAACAGCAGTACCTCCTCAACAACCCATCACCACAAATTAGTGCTCCTTCTCTTTCATTACCGACAATTTCACTATCCACCGCGAAAGCTGGCGAGGCGAACATGGATGAGCCTCCTACCACTCTGTTCCAACCACCTTCCTTCGCGGAAGCAAAGAGACAAGCAAGAATTGATGCTCAATTCGGCCCGCTTGGCAGCCAGAGTCATCGATATGTGAGCAAACACATGGGTGGAGCGCTCTCAAAGCCGGTCATAGACGAGCCACCATACTACTACGTTTTGACAACCTACATCTCATATCTCATTCTCATTATATTCGGACACGTTAGGGACTTCTTTGGAAAGCGTTTCAGACCAGACCACTACAGACACTTAAAGGCCGCCAATGGCTACGCCGCGCTCAACAGCGACTTTGACAATTTCTACGTACGACGACTCAAGTTGAGAATCGATGACTGCTTCGCGAGACCAATTACTGGAGTTCCTGGTAGATATGTTTCCTTGATCGACCGCAAGACGGATGATTTCAACAAGAACTACCAATTCACCGGTACTTACACAGAAACTCTCAACATGAGTTCCTACAACTACTTGGGTTTTGCTCAATCCGAGGGACCTTGTGCGGATGCTGTTGAGGAGACCATTAAGAAGTACGGAATCAGTGCTACCAGCCCTCGTGCTGATGCCGGTACTTCTGATTTGGTCCTGGAGGTCGAAGAGCGAATCGCCAAATTTGTCGGAAAGCCCGCCGCCATGGTCTTCTCGATGGGGTTCTCAACCAATGCCACCTCGTTCCCAGCCTTGGTTGGAAAGGGTGATTTGATTATTTCGGATGAACTCAACCACGCCTCTATCCGTATTGGAGCACGTCTCTCCGGAGCCATGATCACCTCGTTCAAGCACAATGATATGGAAGACTTGGAGCGTATTCTACGTGAAAACATCTCTCAAGGTCAGCCACGTACTCATCGACCATGGAAAAAGATCTTGGTCGTCGTTGAAGGCCTCTACTCCATGGAAGGAACAATGTGCGATCTTCCCGGTCTTTTGGAACTCAAGAAGAGATACAAGTACAACCTCTTTGTCGATGAAGCACATTCAATTGGAGCTCTTGGCCCACGTGGTCGTGGTGTATGTGACTACTTCGGTATCGATCCTGCTGAGGTTGACATTCTCATGGGTACATTGACCAAGTCTTTCGGTGCCAATGGTGGATATGTCGCTGCTGAGAAGCACATTATCGACAAACTTCGATCTACAAACGCAGCCACTATCTACGGCGAATCCCCAACCCCTCCAGTTCTCATGCAAATTCTTAGCGCTCTCAAGATTATCCAGGGTGAGATCAACCCAGGCCAAGGCGAGGAGCGTCTGCAGCGCATCGCTTTCAACTCTCGATATCTTCGTTTGGGATTGAAGCGTCTCGGTTTCATTGTTTACGGTCACGACGACTCGCCAATCATTCCAATCGTATTATACAACCCCGCCAAGATGCCCGCTTTCTCACATGAAATGCTTCGTCGAAAGATTTCGGTTGTCATTGTCGGATACCCCGCCACTCCACTCATCTCTTCTCGCGCTCGATTCTGCGTTTCCGCAGCTCACAACAAGGACGACATGGACCGTTTGCTCGCCGCATGTGACGAGATTGGCAATGTTCTCCAGCTCAAATTCTCTACCGGCGTTGCTGGAGGAGCAGAACATCTTCCTGACGGAGTTACCCCAGAAATGGAGGATGAGTGGAGGAAAGCCAACGGCTTACAAGGCGTGGTTCAAGCTCCTCGTTGGACATTACGGGAGGTCATCGCGAATGGTGTACAAGATGTTAAGCAGCCACTTCGGTAATCTGTTTCTGATTGGCCCTTGAGCCGGCAGTCTTCAGTCCCCGAAATCGGTACCGCACCATACCGCCTACCTACTGCCAACTTTGTTGGGCAAATCGAGTTGCCCTTTTAGCTGTACACGACCTGTTTTGCCGCCTGAACTGTTTTTCATGTCGGACGCAAGAAGCTCAAGAGATACCCTTTGCTGTTGTCGCCTCTTCTTTTATATTTCCCGGGGATGTTTCAAGGCTTGAAGAATCCGATTATGTTTGCATCTTTTGTTTGGTTTGATTGGAGGCTTTAAATCTGGCTTTTGCACACAAATTTGCATTGTCATCGGCGTTGATAGAGAGCATCACTTTGGAGCTCGCGCTTCTAGTCGATGTCTCGTTTTTCACCATACCTTTCCCCACACTCGCTTGGAAGAATGGAGTACAACACGAGTGATTTGGAATGGGCGGGATGGTGGATGGGTAATTATTAATATTTTAATGCGAAAGTTAAAGCATGGAGTGATGGATGGGATGAAGTGTGCGGTGGAACGGAATGATTAGAAAGGTGTATCGGGGTTATGGATGGTGTTGTACTGTATATATAGGATGAAGTTTATGGTTGTGGTATGAGTGTGGTGGTTGATGATGGATGCGTTGGGGGTGGAAACTTGAAAGAGGGTTTCGATTAGATAGTTGATGAATGAGAAGACTGGTCTTGCTCTATTGTCTTTGCCCTCCGCTTGAATCTTGAATGGTGTAAAGTTTCTTGTGACTGGTCCTATTGTCTCTTGAGAAGTCCTGAGAGGGCAACGGCGTTTGGATGGCTTTTGGAGGTTGCGGTGGGTGGGTGTTCTTTGCTAGACTCCATAATGAGTTGGACTGCTCGGGCTGAAACAGTGCTATTACAGTTTCTGGGGAATCATGATTACATTTACAGTAGGCTGCCTCAAGAGGCTTTAACTACTGGATATATTTTCATCGAGAATTATACGGTTGATAAATTAGGTTAGGACATGGATAGGGAGAGAGTTCATTGATAGAGATTTCATTGATAGAGATTGTAAAATAGAGAGGTTGTACAGTAGAGAGGTTGGTAAGTTAATTCCTTCGTTCATTTGAATTCAAAAGCGGCAATATGGCCTCAAATAGCGCTACTTTAGTAGGAAATGGAATGAGCAATGATATGGGAGTACAATGGGTTAGATCATGAACCTTCTGGTAAGCGATACTCTCAGTACCACAACTCCCCCGGATCCACTTCATCTTCATAATCTACCTCCGGTTCCGGCTTCTCTAGACTCTCGTGATAGAGTTCGTCAAGATGATCCTGATCCATTGCTCTCTTATGTAATACCAGCATATCTATCCACAAAGTGCGATCTTCCCCATCTGTTCTAAGCTGTCCATATCCTGGCATTTCCTCAAGATGATCCATCAGATCCCATACCTCGGAAGCAACGTCTATTGGGGGTATATCTACAAATCTCTTTTTAGCAACATGACCCAGGTATAGCATGCGTGCAACAACCCGAGCATACGCTGTCTCTAATGGAAGCCTATCGTTAGTCGTAAGCGCCCAGTCAGGACCCAGCTCTTTCATCCAAGCGAAGAACTGACGGGAGTTTTCTGCATAAGCCTCCTCATCCATAGACACGATGACCGTAGTATCTTCGTCTTCCTACGGCACCTCCGAATGTATCACCATATTCAGATGTGCATCCCCGTCGGTTTTATCATCGTTTCTGGATAACTTGTTTGATGACTGCTCGGCAGAGAGGACATTGTGATCCGCCGGCTTTGAGCCATAATTGAATGCATTCCCAACAGAACATGTGTTCGCAGGGGTAGGTGATACACCAAAGTTCTCGTGTCCCATAACATATTGAACATTCCTCGCCACCCTCAGATTTCGGTTGCGAGTCTTGTTCTATTTGTTTTGGCATTGGCAAGTCATTCGTGCATACGTCACTGACAATGGTACCCATGGCTTCTATACAATACTCTTGCTGAGTAGATTTGGACTGATACTTCCTGAAGTATTCGGATCCAATCTAGGCAAGGACTTGAAAGTCTCTTGTGGAGAGAACTTCTTGTATGGTATATCCCAAGGAAAAGGAGTCTGTATTAGAGGTAGTAAGATTTTCTTGTTTTTCCAAAACAGAAGTTCGTGTTCCTCTGTTCGGTTCGGCTTTGTTTGGTGTTTCCTGACTTGTTGTCAGAATGGAACAAAGGGTTTGGAATTGAAGGTCTTTATGAAAAGTAAATTTGTAACAGAGAAAAGCTGGCACGAACAAGGAAAATCAGGTGTTCTGCTTGAAAGTATTGAGTTCATGAGAGTACGTGGATATTTCCACAACTTATTGACGACTTAGTGACCGACAATGCACAATTCAAACAGAGATTTTTTCAGGAGCCCAATAAAGGAAATTCCAAAAGTACGGTTATCATATGAGAAATTCCTTTATCACCTCGAGATGAATCCAACATGGGTACAATCGTGTACAATCATGTTTCTGGAGTAGCGTGAGCTACAATATTCGTAAACGATATATCCCAGAATCAAACCAACATGCAACAACTATTTCAAAAACATTGTTATTAATGGGGAAAAAACTGCTGGGCGACGCATCAAGAGGTTGCCAGATACGGTAACGTTTATTGGAGTGAAACTTGGTTGGGTATTTTTTCTTTGAAACTTTTCCTGTAGCTGTTCATTCTACGAATCGTCAAAACAGTTTAATCCAGAAGTGAAGTATATAATCCAACTCTGTCCACTAAAGTCTATGAGTCTAGTTCAGATCCTAAATCCTACACATCCAAAAATTGAAGTATCAATTCCAAGCAAAAATGTCAAATTTATCTACAGACGCGAAAGTAGGGGAGAGCGCGAAAAACAACACCGAAGAGAGCTCAACCAATGTGGCTACAAATGTACCAGATACCACAAATGAAGAAAAGATGTGCCCTATCTGCCACGAAACCATAGAGACGTCAACTACAATATGGCCATGCCGCCACGAATACTGCTACACATGCATAATCACATTTTTCGCAAGCGTGGGGAGTTATAGTGCAAAACACTGTCCTATGTACCGCGGTATCGTTGAGCTTCTCACCTACGAGAAGCTAAAAGACGGGGTACTGACTTGCGAACTTGAATTTATTGACACGAGAACTGCGAGCGATATGGTCTATGGGATATCACTTACAGAGGAGGAATCGAAAGCACGTTGGAACGACTTTGCCCGAAAGGAAATCGAAGCCATCAAAAGAAAGTTTTTACAGCAGTTGTTAAGCCAACCTAAAGTCAAAGTCTCTATTCTGGAGGTAGCAGTGACGCATTATCTCGACAGCACTTTGCAAGGAGATGCTGCGCAACCAGGGATCAGATACCAGCTGAAATCATCTGATTGTCTGTATCTGGAAGAATTGCTTAGGATACGTGGTGTTCCTGAGCGAGACAACTCAGACGAGGAAGGACGTGTCAGAATAGTTTACCGGAGACTACAACACATTAAGATCAACCTCGCATATGGTTTTCCTAGAGCAGCTGACGCTAGAAGAGATCTATAGAAAAGGCTAAGTGAGTTGAGTAGAGCTGAGTAACGTAACTTGCTCAAACTCAATTCAACTTGACTGAATTCAACTCATACTCCAGTAACCCTTAGATAATCCGACAAAATTAACTTGACTTGACTGAATTGATACTTCAGTGACTTTTAAATAAACCATCCGATCAATTGAAGTAAGCTACGACTACATCTGAAATAGGGAAACAAAACCACAAAGCAGTTTTCAAAGTCGCGTGGCATCAATCCATCAATGATTGCAACCTCAACAGAACTATGTCCCAATTTCCCGAATTAAATACCACGTAACGACATAATCACCCCTATCGATATATGAATCTCTACAACGACTTCCAGCACTCTATGTGATAGAATCCTTGGGAACAACGCTATCCCCAAACGTACTTCTCGCTTAAGATCTCTCAACCAAAATCCGTCAATCTTAAATCATTTTTCTACCATTTTTGCTACATACGACCACAGACTGAAGAGAATTGGGCATCCCGTCCGCTCTGCCATACACAAGCTTCAGATCGGCAGATTAGTAGTTGGGTGGGTGACCACCAGCGAATACCTGCTGTTGTATGTTTTGCAATTTTGTCCTTTGACTATTTTTGCATGATGGACGGGGACGACTGCGCCTCGATGGGAGGTCAATAGAGCTAGACATCTCAAGTAAAGTAAAGGAACGTGAACCACGATACAATACCGAGCTCTCGTCCAGTACGTTTTTACTCTAAAATACTAGGTGGTTGTTGCCTGCTCAAGGGGGTCTGCGTTGTGGATCAGGAGCCAGGAAATTTCTCGCTTATTTTTGGTTTGTCACTCGTGATCTTTTTCAGATCCATCAGTCGACATCCTGACTAAGGCCTAATCAATATACATGATTTGCTCCTGGAAAGACAAGTGTTGCACACGTTACCTTCCGTGAAAGTAGTAGAAGCTTATAAGTCTCAAGGTTGTTTTCTGATCATGGTGTCAAGAGTTCAAGAGAACTATCAAACTTATCTACACTCATTTTGGTAACTGAATTGTCAAAACTTTACCCAGGAGAGTCTATGCGTAATGTGACCTCCTTATTGTCCTGAGCACATTAAGGTTTAAATTCGACAAGTCCCGTTTCTCACGAGAAAGAACAAGAATTTGAAGGATATCAACATGTCTGGCGCCCTTTTCTCCTAATGTGATATTTCAAATTCCAGGGAATTACTACTCATGGAGTAGAGGTGTTGTACTGAACCGAATGATTGTTCTTCAGCCCATAATTAATAGCATGAGTTTGGACACACAGCTAATTAAAAATAATTCTGTCAATATAATTGTTGCCTTGGTAGAATCGCTGCAAGCATAACGCTATAGCTTCTATCGCGACAAAGTAGGACAACGTTCAATCAATGGCAAACTGTGACTTGATATTGTTGGTACGTGAAAGCGCTATTCTCTTGCGTGTGTAACGTGGATAAGGCTGAGGCTTCTGAGGTTTGACAGACCTCGCTCGTTACGACTTGAAATGGTATCAATTAACAGCGCAAATCATCATATCATGGACCATCAGACAAAAAATTTCAGAGAAACAGCAAATTGGGCAGCAATACATAACATAGTTTGGGTAGCAATTAATCGCGTTTGGAAATATAAAGGTAGAGGTGATCTCTTCACGCCCGGCTTGGGCGTTGGTCGCCCAGCTCTGGTGTGTCCATCTTTTGAAACCGGGGAAAACAACCATTACACCCTGGTTGATCAACGAAACCTACCTTCGTCTAGATTAGAGCTCCCAATGAGCTGGAAAAAGCAGGCGATCGAGCTGCCAGATTGAGATTGCAAAAAGAATAACCACTTGGTCGGTAGGGCTTGACTGTCTAAGAAGCAAAAGGAAAGTGGAAGAGTTGCGTTACACCAAGGCAGCCAGAAAACAGAAATTGACTGAGGAATGGTGGACAAGGCTCAGTCGTCTGCCATCTTCGACTCGCGGTCGGTACACCATTAGCTTAGCTGAAACGACAGCCTTATCACGTCGTAGAGTAATGACGTGTATCTGTGGAAAAAGAAACTACATTCAAAATGATGAGCTCAACCTCAGTATGCCTCCTGGCGCCTTTGGGCGACCAAAATCACAACTAGCATCAGGGCATATGATAGCTAGGTTGGGAAAAGCAATTCTTGCCTGGAGGACAATTTTGAAAAGAATGCGGCTCTGCTCTGGACCCGTTCGCCTATAAGACTATCAATTGATCGGCCTCGCAATATGCTTATTATGCTTGTGGGACCATTGGAAACCATATTTCAAACCCTGTTATATCAAACGTGATGTATAACCACTTGTGCCGAATATGGTATCTCGGTCACCCGGTGAGTGGGTTTGGAAATAACGCACAAGCGAGAATGAAAGATAGCCATGCAGCCACCTCGGATCCGTACGACCACAAGTGCAAGGAATGTCGTACATGATAGGCGGCTTCGTGTAGAATTTACAAGATGCGTCTTGATTGACTGCGCCCGGTTTGATAGTCGTGATAACGTTATATGTCAGTGCTACAGTACACCCGAACGACCATGGAAAAGGCATGAGCACAAGATTGGCGCATCTAGAAAATTCCGATGAATAGGTGTAGACGTAACATTCCTTTATTCCACTTGTGTAATTCCCTGCACCCGTCAACCAAATGTATGGAGTTAATCTGGCTGGGAAATGGTTGAAGAGGGAAAGATCGACGTATGAGGGGTAGGATAGAGGGGTTGTCCTGCACACCATATGTGGGGTAGACAAACCATGCAGGATAGAACTGTCCTTCGAGCCAAAGAGAGGCAGTAAATTCCAACTCCATCGTTAGCAGTGTAAATTGATGAACGATAGTGTCCTGGTATCACCCGACCTATAAAATTCTGCCCTTGACCCTGACAGGCGGTCAATCGTGTCTATGAGGTGCGTCGCTTGTGGCGGCTGATAGATGAGCTCGAACGTCAGTCAGAAAGCACCGTAGAGCAATTAAGCATTGTTGCTAGAGGAGTGCGAACCGATAAGTATCAACCGAATCCTAAAGTGCTCGAAGGCCGTGAAACTTCCTGGAGTACTGTCATATAATTGTCGGATAGGCTTGTCGTTAAGTGCTGGTACATAGGTAGTGTGATGATTTCCAGGTTGATGGCAATATTTGGCCATGACAGAGTCTTTCATGGATAACGCACCCGATTGATTGCTTCTGCTTCTGGCCTAACAATGGGTGACCGCTGGCTGCCGCTTGTCTCAAGACGAATGGAGAAACTGTACTTCTTGATAACGGGTCGCAAATGCATTCGTCGCCCATGTGTGCGTAATCCAACAACTGTGAATGACCAAAACAAACGCTGAATCGAAACCAATCGATTCGATCCTGAAAATGTTGCTTGTTTTCACGCCCGGACAGCTGTCGGCTCAGAATGAATGGCCCAAGCCGGGCGTCCCTCGCCTTGGAGGCGTCATCAAAATGAGAGGTTGTCGATGGATGTGAAGTGGTTCGCAAATGATTCGCATTTGCCTCGCGTAGTCAAGAAGACTCAGAAGAGCGGTGGGGACTGCATCACCCACTTTCCGTGCTGTTATCATTTGGGCTGTGCGAAGATGTTGGATTTATCATGGTATCCGCCTGGGGACACTTCCACGCACACAAGTTGATCTTGAGACGACATGGCTATCACCAATATTCTCGTGTTCCAGGAGAGTAGGGACGAAAGTAGTAGCGCTGTGGCGCGGTTTGTGTCACATGACGTGGAGCCGGGCCTTTCCAACGACATTGCATTGCTTCATATTCTCCTCTCCTGCACAGAGCTGCAACCTTACAGCCAACACACAAAGACGATCTATCCGTAGATTCAAACGCCCAGATGGAATGCGTATGACCTGCGAGAGAAGTTCTGATTTCCCTTTTCCTTCCATCCATCTCGACCGGCTTTATGCATATCCAAAAAATGCGCAGCAGCGCAAGCTGAGCGCCAGAAAGGACGAGTGCAGCACTAGTGCTGACTGGCAGCTTGCCCTCCAACAGTGGTGTTCCAGTAGTGCGCAGGGCTCTGCCTTGTGTACTTTGACGGGGCGTAGAGATGGTAGCCTTGTTATTGCATCCCGGCGTGTGAGTGGTAGCCTGGTGACCGTATGAACAATATGCACGCTGGATCGTCTTGATTCGACATTCGATTCAAGACATGCCTTCTTGAGAACGGATGTCCCAGTAGCTTGCGAGCCACATCGTGCGTGCGACTAGCGCCTCTCATATAATACTACCACCCACGCCCACCTCTCATCCATTGACAAACCACCGTCCGCCTCACTCTGCTCACAGAAGAGTTTCTTTTCTTCTTCTAGCCACCAAGGCTGTTGCTGATACCCTTGTGCGGCTCTGCGGACGACCTCGGTATTCTACCAGCAAGTGCGTAGACCATCTTATATCTAAGGCTTCGCCATCCAGTTCGCCCGGATTCTCTTGTCAGTATCGATCCGCCCCAAGAATTTTCAAGCAAGAACAGAAAAGATCACCATGAATCCAAACATCCCTATTCCTCCACCACCACCTGGATGGAGGGGAGGACCTCCTGGTGGACCTCCAGGTGGCCACCCCCCTGGACCTCCAGGTGGATTCCCTCCTCCTGGGGGTATGCGACCTGGTCCCCCAAATCATCAAGGACAAGGCGGAGGACCCCCACCGCAGAATCAACAGTTCAACCTGCCTACCCGCCCAGCAAAAGTCAATTCATCTAAAATCGTCGACATTACTCCCCCTCGAATAATGGATGAGGCGGCAAGCAGGAAAAAGCTCACTACGTACGCCGTATATACGGTGAAGAAGGCGATCCCGAGGGGTAAAGAATTACCAACATGGGCACGCGCTGAGGTTACAGAGGAGAGATTGGACCAGGCGGATATTGCCAAGCAGGTCAAGAGGTTGAATGAGAAAAGTTCCAAATCGGTTGCAGAGCAGAAGACAGCGCTGGCGCCTAACCAGCAAGGCCAAGTCGTGAAGGTACTGGACGAGCTCATATCAAAAGAGCGCGACTCGAACTTCATATGGTCACTGGTCCAGATCGACAAGGAGGAGCGGATCATCAAGGTGAGGAAACCATCGTCATCCAAAAGGGATTCGTCTTCCAACAAGAGAGAGACGACAACTTTAACGATCTATGCGATGAGGGCGCCACAGCCGCACGTCAACTGCAAAATGCTCAATGAGCTAATCGAGAAGCATCGCGTAGAGATGCTTGTGCAGCAGAACCGGCCATCAATGCCCAACCAGCAAGGGCCTGGCAATATGCAACACAATAACAACGGCCCACCACCAAGGGGCAACAGTAGTGGACCAGGTGGACCTGGTTTTGTCACAATGCCTCCCAGAAACAACAGCCCAGGGCGACGGGGAAAGAGTAAGAGTCCTGGACCTACAAACCGGAGGGGTTCGAAGAAGTATCACGACTCCGGATCTGACGGTTCAGACTCCGACTCTGCAGGCTCAGATAGCGAGTCGACGCGGAGTTCATCCAACGCCACAACCATCAGCTCCAAAGGACACGGACGCACTGGCAGACGTAATAGCCATTCGAAAGCCCAAAATCGATCCTACTCCCGTCACAGACCTGAGCACGCCAGGGAGCACAAAAAGAAGTACTACGTCGAAGATAGCAGAGATCCGTCACCCAGACGCCCATTCGATGATATGCTTGCTCGTCAGCCCCTTCGCCCACCATTTGTGCCCGAAGTTCACCGAGGGATACCAGAGCCGGGCTTCGACGCCGTTGCTGCTGCGTATCAGGCTGGCAAGATAGACGCAGATGCCGAAAGATTTGGACTGAACGAACGTTACATCCCTCCTCCGCGTGCCATTGAACGACCTGTTATTATCGAACAGCCGAGAGCAGTCGTATCATATGGGAGACGTGAGAGTTTCGCTGGTCATCCAAACTCTCCGCCGCGCATCACCCAGGCTCGATATTCCCCTCCCGTCATATCTCCTCGCCTTTTGCCTGAGCGATACGCCGAAGGTCGTCTAGGGTATCGTGATTTCCGCCCCGAATCACGTGGATATGGATTTGACCGTCGCGAGTTTCGACCAGAACCAAGAAGCTACCGCCCTGAGCATCGGGCTTCCAGAGACTACCCGTCGGATTATCACGATGAACTGGACTCCGAGCGATCATTTTCGCCGGAGCCACCAAGATTCCGTGGAGTCGACTATCATTCCAGGGAGCGTGATGCCGAGGAGTACATTGACCGGGAACGACCTGTTTTTGAGCGTCCCCCCTTTCACCGTCGGGTGACGGAACCGCGAATTCCTCCCATTCGCAACGACCACCATCCGTTTGCGCCGCTTCGTCGTCGTTATTCTCCGTCTACGAGCACCACAGATAGCGGTGGTTGGTGAAAACCCATCGTTCGAGGCCAAACATCAAATTTCCCTTTGTGATTTTCGTCCTTCCCTGTAAAATGTTGCGTGTTGATATTGGACTGGGACCTGTGATCTGCTTTACTCAATCAGTACTGTTCAGAAGTCGGTGTTGGGGCTTGATTTGTACTTACTTGGCTTATGTATAACGTGGGAAAGGATGTCTCTATTACGAAAGAAATGACATGATATGAACGAGTTTATAGCAGTACTCAATGATAACAAACATTAGTTAAAACTCAGACTTACTGTGCATAATTGCATCCTCTGACTTCGTGAAGAGATTTTTCGGCTAGAAGAAGCAAAGAAGCAAAGAAGCGCCACGCATACCATAAACTTTATGGATGAAAGCAGTTTATATGCGCTGTTAAGAACGGGGGCGTGGGATGTCCCTGGGACACTTGACTGAATATGAGAAGATTTCAGTCAAATCATACGCCTGGTTTGCTGCGCATCATGTCACTTGAAGCTGGAGAAGCGTTTCGTTGGACTCGGTAGCCCGAAGGACCCTTATGTCTGCCCAACGACCCCACCAATTGTGGGATGGGAAAAGCATTGTACATCCCAAAACTCGTCCGCAAGACCGTAATTTGAGGTTACATGCATTGATAGAAGAATCTCGAAAGCGATATCGCTTTCGTTCACGTGTCGCGTTGTTTGCTGCTGCTGGGAGAAGAAATTTTGAGCGACAAAGCGCGACGGCGTCACAAGCGGGGCCGTGACATCTAACTACCCCCACCAGCTCAGCTCAAAGTCTTTCGATAACAGCACCACACCCAACCTGCAACATATCTCCTGGGAAATCTTTCACTTTACGAATACTACCAATTTCTTCACAACAATACCGCAACCATGCCTCGTCAATTCTTCGTTGGTGGTAACTTTAAGATGTGAGTGCAATCCCCGAGATACTGAGAAGCTGCGGGGTTGTTGAGGGAGCTGGCGCGGAAGTAAATACGATTGGCGTTAGGACTATAATTAACACTTGCACAGGAATGGGTCTGTTGATACCATCAAGAAGATCATTAACCACATCAATGATGCTGAGAAGGATCCAAATACCGGTAAGTTCAACTCGAGGTTCGGGAAATGGAACAAAAAGCCTTGGTGAAACATGAAGCTTCTCACCTTGACTTGGGGTTTTATCTCGAACAATAGCTAATCAATTCGTTTTATAGAGGTCGTAATTGCACCACCAGCTCTCTATCTCCTCCTTGCTCGCGAACATCTCAAGGCTCCTCTCGAGGTCGCTGCACAAAACGTCTTTGACAAGCCAAACGGAGCATTTACTGGAGAGATCTCCGTCGACCAGCTCAAAGACTCCAACATTACATGGACGCTCCTCGGACACTCCGAACGTCGTGTTGTGCTCCAAGAAGACGACCAATTCGTCGCTTCCAAGACAAAGGCTGCTCTTGATGGCGGTATCGGTGTTATTTTCTGCTGCGGAGAGACCCTCGAGCAGCGTGAGAGCGGCGAGACTGTCAAGGTTGTCACCACACAACTTGCTGCTGTCAAAGAGAAGGTCCAGGATTGGAGCAAGATTGTCATCGCATATGAACCAATCTGGGCTATCGGTACCGGCAAGGTCGCTAGCACTGAACAAGCTCAGGAAGTCCACGCTGCTATCCGTGAATGGTTGAAGAAGGAGGTCAGCGAAAAGGTTGCCGAGGAGACAAGAATCATCTACGGTGGCAGTGTCAGCGAGAAGAATTGCAAGGATTTGAGCAAGCAACCTGATATTGATGGGTTCTTGGTCGGTGGTGCCAGTTTGAAACCTGCGTTTGTCGATATCATTAACAGTCATTTGTGACTTCGTGGAAATGCGAAACTCTAGGCTTACGTTTCTATGATTGATGAGGGTTAAGACTGGAAAATCGGTTGGATGAGCGAATAGACCATGATGATCATGATAGGCAGCAGGCAGTAGGTACCTGGACTTATATATCCACTCCAATACATTACAAACACTTCGCTCCTAACTCACCTTTGCAAACTCGCGGTCTAAGCGTTCGAAGCGCTTTGAGCCTTTCACAAGAAATGCAGTTTCTTTTGCTCCATTTTCGGACACTATTCAACTGGATACTAGGCTAAGCAATTCCCAGAACACTTTAGGACTCATCTGGCTACCTACATAGCATAGGATAATGACACGATGTCACGAAAGCTTCAAGAAAACCCTTCACCCAGAAGAACCTGATATTTATTTCAACTCATTTTACCAGTCACAGGGACAATGATTTATTTGATATCACTTGGACGGAAATTTGTCAGACAAACGTACTTTTTATTTATGAATAGGGTCGCTACGGTGTTAGCTCGGTATCGACTCGACATCAGTGAGTTATCAGTAAGTTATCTGCCGCTTGTAGAGCAGGCAGAACTAAAACCCATTATCTAGCACAGAGCCTCCTTCCTCAGCCCCTTGATATCAACACAAGTTCCCCTTGGATCATGCTCATACCGATCAATGTGATAACTAATCCTCCCATGCGCCGGCAACACAATCGGTTCCCACTCCCACTGACCCTCCTTCGGATCCGTCGTCCCATACACAGCCATCGTCGGGATCTCCCACGCGCCTCTAAAACACGCGCTATCAGTATCAACATCAAAGCTAAAATGCCGCCTCAGCAGCTCACGATGCGCCGATTTCTTCTCCTCTTCCGTCAGCTTTCGTCGCCACATCGCGGACTTCAAGGCGATGATGTCGTGGTCCAGCGTCACGCCGCAGAAACCGAAGCCGATCCCGTCTTTGCCGATGGCGATGTGCATTATTACTTCGGTGCTGCGGACTTGGGACCAGCGGAAGCGTCCGATGCGACGCGTGCCGTTTATGGCGACGTCGGAGATGGTGTAGGTGCCCTGGGGGATGTAACTAGTTTGTTTGAGGGTGGGCGTGGGGTTGGCGAGGTAGTGGAGGAAGGCGTTTATGTCTTTGATGCGGAGGATGGTGCCGTGGGTTATTGGGCGGTGGCGGGTTGTGTCCATTTTGTTGCTTTTGTGGTGCAAGTGCAAGTGGAAGAGGAAGGAAGTACATAGAGAGTTCTGTGGAGGGAGGAGATAGAAGTACCCCATATCTTGCGAGCTGCACTGTTCTGGTAGGTTGTTGAAAGAAAAATCTTCTTGAGTTGAGTGTTCTAAGTTTTCTGTTTTCTCACTAAATGTAATTCACCTTTTCAGAGGGTGGGAAAAGAGCTGAAGGCAAGATTCGCCGTATCCTGATAATGTATATTTTCAAGAGCGGGCTTAAGAAACTCTCTTCCCAATGTTAGCGAACTAAAGACTATCTTATTCGAAGCTCTTTAGTCACTAAAAACAACTTGATGCAAAAGGTTTTTGAAAAGAGACCCAGCTTAGGAAGATTACTCAACGAGACAAGAGATTGTACGGCCATTACAGATACTGTCATAAAGAGAATAGACTCTTCGGATTTGCATGCAAAGTTTGAGATTTGTCGCCATTGACAATATGTTGAACTTCCAAAAAGAAGCCTTTCAAAAAGAAAATCGTCTCGCTTAATCTTTGTCCTACTCTTTCAGCAAAGGGGTGAGCAAACACCACTGAACAGATAGTAAAACATTAGAAGACTCATTAATATAACTGTTCACCCATCTTCCACCTGCTAACCCGATCAGTTCTCAAACGCCAATTTGACTCTGTTCTATTCAAGTCACCACCATCCACCCACACCAAATCCAAACCATCCACCACGAACCATGACTTCAATAACAACCAGCCAACTAAACTCCTTCCTCCTCTCCCTCGCGATCCCCACACGCGGTTCCTACACACTCACTCCCGGCCCCTACACCCTCGCCGACAATCACCGCACCGGGACCCTCCATCTAACCATAACCAGCCACACCTCACTAACCCTGCACATAAACCTCCATCCCTCTCCCACGCCCCGCGTCGATTTCCTCACCGTGCTTCTCCCCGGTTTACAATGGAATGAGCATTTCGACGTGCACGCGGGGTGTAAGGGGGCGGTGGCGTGCTGCTCCAAAGAGGTAAAGGGGAGGGGGAACCGGTGGTGTTGGTTGCGGGGGAGGGGATGGAGGTTGTGGTTTTTAGGTATGAGGGCGTGGAGTGTCGGTATAGGATTGTGGTTAGTGGGATTGGGAATTTGCCTGTTGTGTTGCGGGCGGAGATGGGGATGGAGGGGAGGGGGTCGAATGTTGTTAGGGCTTCTTAGGGGCTGGGACGTGTGAGACTTACTAACAAAAAATACTCGTTGCTCTTATGTCGGCGGACTTGACGAGACAAATTCAAACCATTGAATCCAAAAACATTGCATAAAACAACTTCCACTTCCCCTCACGCTCATAAATAAAAAGAAAACTATAATTGTAAACCTTACTATTCCCATAACATTTCCCTTAACTTGTGTTTGCGGCTTTAAATATTGTTAAGTCTGTGTATGAAGAGTTAGATTTCAGTAGGATAGCTCCTTAACTCGAAATTTCTCGCTTACGACTTGACATGAATGTTTCCCTGTCAGAAAATCCATCGGTTCGCAAATGAAGACAAAGTCGACAATATTGCTTAGCAGCATGTGCATGAATTTAATTTTAGGATCTTGGCTTTAATTCTGATTAGATCTCCCCGACAGGCGGTGTGTGCCGTTGATATCATGCTCACCGTTCGAATGAGACTTTTTGAGTGCACCCGGGATCGTGCATGTTTCCTAACTTCGATCGTTTGACTATTGGAGAACAGGAGGTGCAAAATGGAAGATAATACAAGAAGATTTTTTTGAGGATCTCTGAATGGATGTCGTTGGTCCATAAAATTGGCGTGTCATCATTCATACGAAGCGGTATATTCTCACAGCACCGAGTGATTAACAAAGCAACCAAAACTCCAAATATTTTCTTAGTTATCTTGATTCAAAACCCGTACTTTTGGACTAGTAACAGTGTCGTGTGCATTCCTTGTGAAAGTTCTGGGACCGTTGTTAACGGCGTTTGAAACAAAGACCGCTTACCGTAACTTCCTTTGTTCATACCAACCCTATATTATCCTATACACCGCACCTCCAACTTCCTTTGTGTCAGCGCACCCGTCATGCCTAGAGAACGTTCAACCCCCACAAAGTAGTTTCAAAATGGCTCCTCGCGAACTCGTCGTCAATACTTCGCTGCTGACGTTGCAACAACAGATGTTCAACGAAGCAGCCGAGCGATATGCGCAACTTGCGCAACGGAACAAACGGAGGAATTCGCTGAGATCTGCGAAATCTGTTGTGGATGGAGATGAAGGAGATGCTGAGCAGTCACCGAATAAATCGATTGAATCGCCTAGTAAACGGCGAAGGTCAAGCCACAGCACGCGCCATGTTGCGTTTACAACAGAGGTCGTTGAAGGCCAACAGGCGACCCGGCGAAGGAGTTCGGTGAGACGAGACAGTGCGGAAATCTCACCGAGAAGAGCCTCTTTACGATCCTCTATGAGTCCAAAATCACCAAAACATATTCCCTCGAATACAAACTCAAGCGAAGCAGCTCCAGTTCAAATCTCGGCGCCTCCTCTAAGCCCGAAACTTCGAAATCCGTATCCGCTCAAGCGACGAAATTCCCTGCGCTCACACACACACTACCCGAATCACTATCAACATAGCGTTCCCACGCTCCCACCGCCGAAGCTCTTTTTACACCGTTGCGGCCGTGCGAATTGCTCGGCTCGTTTTCGGTCGAGGAACAAGTTGCACGCCCATATCAGAACCGTGCATGGACATGTGCCGCTGGAATGGATGCGTAGCGGCAAAGGACCAGGAAAGGACGGATTTGCTGAAATGGCTGCGAGATGGAACTGCCATATATGTGGAAGGGCTTGTGCGGATTCGAGGAGGTTGAGCAGTCATGTTGAGAAGGCCCATGCTGCTAGGGAAAGTGTTGATAATGGAAAGAGCAGTGAGGGGGGAAAGAAGAGTAGTGAAGCGGAAGAGGAAGAAGTAATTGTGATTGAGGATTGAATGAATGGTAACTTTTCTACCTACCTGGTTGTACTTTTTTCCTGGCATGCAAATCCAAGTGAAAGAATGAACTGTCTGCTTGAGGCTACAAAATCGAGCAAATGCTCCGTTGTATACCATACTCCGACTAGTCCGTACCCTTGAGATGTCTAGTATTTTGCTCCACAGATTAGCTCCTTCGCTATCCAATATTCGCGTATCTCTCTTGTAGGCATTCCGAGAAACCTAAAGAAATATAATATATATAACCAACTCAACACTTCTTTTTACCTTTGCTCTCTCTTAATAACATGGCTCTGTAATCACCAGAACAGGGTCTTTGAAGTTCCTAGTAAGAGTATCAGGACAAAGCAGGTAAAGTGTCATTTTGACTCATCTCGTCTCGGTCTCCAGTTCAAGTTCGACACCGAAGAATCTCCTCCTGGAGTCCACCAGGCTGGCAGTGATTTCTTACAAGGCTACTTGACCCATACAGCCTCGTAGTATAGTCGCCGTCTTGAGCAAGCCTCGGAAGGTGTCTAGGCACAGCACTCGGTCCTCCATCTGGATGCAATGCAGGCGGAAAAGACGGCAGATCTGTACCTGCATATGATCCTCGTGCTAGATAGAAATGAAGGCGTCAACATGTCCAATAGCTAGAATCCACACCCGCTTATCGATTCCAACCATGCTGTGCAGGCATGGCGAAGTGTCTAATCTCGTGAGTTTGACAATCAAGGGACTTCTAGACGCAGGAGATACATATTTCGTGCTTCATATTGATCGTGAAGGAGCTTCAGATTCTTCCATTGACCAATAACAGGACCACAAAGTAAGGCGTCATTGGTAGGCATTTTGAAAGGCAGATAACCAGACTGCTGGTAACAAAAGTCCCCTTGCTGGTAACCAAAGAGGACCTCGATGTCGAGAAGTTTGCCCGCTTAGAGGCGAAGGCCTGTGCCACTACCAGGTACAGCCCAGTTCTCCACAAGGCTGAGCTTCTTTAGGGAATTTCGACCCAATCATCGATCTTCCATGTGACTCGGCCCATCGGCACTTCACGCCGACTTAATCCCGAAATTGATGGACCGCAAACAACCGAACTCGTTTGGTCCCTACTCAAACATTGGCACACTGGTCAGACGGTCATATTGTACCCGCCAGACCAACCTCGCCCTTCATTGAAGCAAATTCGGTGGCGCTTATGACCCCTCATCACCTTAACTGGTGATTAGGTCGTCGTTCGGTGGCATGGCAGCGTGTTAGGCCTTTCAGCACAGCCTAATCGACCAAACAACCACAATGAACAACGTGATGCAGTCTTTGTAACGCGTCTGCAACAGTCAGGCAACACTTCATATAAGTCAAGCAGCCTTCAACAATTCATAACGTTCCTCCATCGTACACATCATACAAACAACTCGTTGTACACAAGTCCAGCATCGCTCGGTTACTGATATAATCCATCACTCTCACAACTGACAACATACCACATATTCACGACTCCACAGCCCTATAAATCAACATCAAATATCTCGTTGATGCCACACTCAACCTCTTCCACCTCCACTTTCCCCTCCACCTCCAGCACAAATATGTCAGATTCTCTCGCACCACCAGGACGCTCATTCTTTGGGTCGATCCGAAAGCTCGGTCGCAAGAACAGCAACAGCAGCACCAAATCTACACACTCAAACAACTCAGACACTTCAACGCGATCAGCAGGACCCCGAAACCCATTTTCGGGAAGCGCAGGACGACGAACTCCCAGCCCAAACCCAAATCCATTCTCAAATGCCTCTCCCGCAACCCGTCGTCCAGACCGTCCGGGAATGAACGCTTTTACCGTCCCTTCCAATGAGCCACCGCCAGCGTACACCCCAAGCCCAACCGCGAAATCTGGTCAAACTGTTGCGTTTGAACTGCCATCCCCATCACACGCAGCACCACCACCGATCGCATCATCATCAGCACCAGGTGGCGATGACCCGTACTCCTTCCTTGGAACATTCGACACGGTTCTCCTCATCGACGACTCAGGCTCTATGGCCGGGCGTTCATGGCGCGAGGTTTCACAAGCCCTCTCCACCATCGCACCCATCATCACTCGATACGACCAAGACGGAATCGACGTTTACTTCCTGAACCACAAATCCACCGATGCAGGTAACTTAGCAGAGGGCATCGCACCATCCGGCTACAGAGGCATCACCCGCGCCGAAACCGTCACAGGAATCTTCGAGCGCGTCCGTCCAACGGGATCAACACCCACCGGAACCCGCGTCCAACACATTCTCAAACCCTACCTTGCCAAGTGCGACAAGGAGCTCAAAGCCGGCCGAGACGTCAAGCCACTGAATCTCATCGTTCTAACCGATGGTGTTCCAAGCGATGATTTAGAATCCATTCTCCTCAAGGCCGCGCAAAAACTTGATAACTATGATGCCCCACCCTCCCAAGTGGGTGTTCAGTTTTTCCAAGTCGGTAACGAGAATGGTGCTAGAGAGGCGCTCGAGGAGCTAGATGATCAACTCAGTGAAAGGGTTCAGGGCGGTGTTCGCGATATAGTTGATACTGTTACCTGGACTGGCGGTGTTGCAGCTTCTGAAGGCGGAATTGGTCTCACAGGCGACGCGATTTTGAAGGTTGTCCTTGGCTCTGTGATCAAAAGATTAGATCGCAAGCGTGCGAGCGGAGATGTGAGCAGACCAAGACGCTCATAGATATTTCATATTGTACATTAGGGGCGGATACTTTGCTTTGTGGCGGCGTTTCTAGATGGCTTGGCAGGGGATAGGACTTCATTTGATACCCCCAAGAACTTCACCTTTCTCTTTATTATCTCATAGGACAAAATTATTAAGAATAGTCTGAGTTGTGTGCTCTTATAAATATATTTCTACACTATTTTGATATCTCGCTTAATTGTGACGCTAAGACCCCCCTTTCATGACAACCCATCGCAGAGGACAAAACTAAGTGACAGGGTATCGATCGTGGAAAAGCACCATTTACTGAACTG